TCAGCCTCGCTCCATGCCCCCCCCCCGCTCAAAAAAAAAAATCTGGTAAAAAGGGAAGCAACAAACTAGGAAGCCAAAATATCAATTGTCCTGTTCCCTATGCATCCTTTGTGTGTGGGATAGTTTTGTAATAAATGTAGTTTTGTAATAAATTATGTATTTAAGTTTTACTTGGGTTATTTCACTATAAATTAACAAGTGCAATAGAAATACACTTTTCATAGCCATCTTTATTTCAAGGATTCGTTGTGGGTATAGGGGCACAGTAGTCTAGAAATTCTACTCCATCCTGGAAACAAAAATGCAGGCTGTCATGACAGCTAACAGGATAGGTCAGAGACGTGGTGTTGTCTTACCTCTCACCTTTAACAAACAGAGTGTCACTCATCATAGAGGGAATTATTTTCTAGGAGAACAAATAGAGAAACTTTGAAAAATAATCTGCTCTGCGTATGCTGCAGTGACTCTATCCCCACCCCACCCCCGCCGCCACCCATCTCATGCTGATGTGCTGCACCCTCTGAAGAAGACTAACTCAGACCCACTGAGATGTTGTGGCACTTTTTGTCCACACCTTGTCACCGTTTTGCTGAGTGACAGAACTGGTTCTAAAGGGCCCTCTCTTCCATAAAGGAAGTGTCATCACTGCTCTAGATTTCAGATTTGGTCAAGTATAGCTGAAAGCAATGCAGAAGAGAATTAAGGTTCAATTCTTGGGTCACTCACCAAGTAAAGCCTATCAAAAAAAGCAAACAAGCAATGTAAAATCTCTCAGAATATCATTATGATTAATAATCTGAAGTGCTGCAAGGGCAGGTGAAAAGAGCCTATGATAAAAAGTTCACTGCATGGGCCATAAGGTAGATCAGTAGATTTATCATGGCATAAACTATTTTATTTTTATTTATTGTGACACTTACATCCCACGTTTCCTCCAAGGAGTTCAATGAGGCACTTATGGTTTATCCTCAAAACAACCCTGTCAGGTAGGCTAGACTGAAAGACAGCGACTGGCTTAAGGTGTAAAAAGCTTGTTTCTCTCAAAATATACATTTTTAAAGAGCTGAAACACTGGGGAAGTGTGGCATCTGGTGAAATGTGCAGATCAGGTTAGTTTGATTGATCAGAATTCACAAAGATTGAGTGTCGTAACGTTAACAAGTGTCGTAGGATGGTGCTGTACTTAAGCAAAGGTCACACTGAGACTACAACTGTATGTCCATTTACCTGAGGGCAAGCGCCAATGGACTCAATGGGACTTCATTCTGAGCAGATTTCAGTCACCGTAAAATAAAATTAATTGTATATTGTTATGTATGTGACATTTACATATGTAACATTTACCTACCTACCTACCTATATCCTCTACAATTATGTTAGTGTGCATGTTTTATTTATTTTTTTAAACAGAGCCTCCTGAAAATAGGATTTTTGAATATTAAAAATGGAGTATTCTTTCATGCAGTTAGAATTCCAAAGCCCAAGGAAGAGATATAGCTAACAACTGAGATCACCAAATTATCCTGTGTTTATTTATATTGCCTCAGCAGATAAGAGCTGTAAGAATACTAGATGCTGTGGGGCCTCAGCATTTCTTTTGCCAGGATTTTCAGTTTGAGGCTTCCAAACATATACTTTAATCCAAATTAGTAGGAGCTTCAGAAAAGCACTTTGGCAAAGTCGCAGCTGGAAGGATTTTTGTCATTGATTTTGCCAAATGTAAGAAAAACAGGCGTTAAAAAGGAGGCAGAAAGGAAACTCTTGGCACTGGCATTCCTTTTACTTTTTAATATAATTTTAACATCAGGTTTAATTATGAAACATTCCATAATTTTGTTCACTCCATAATTTTCATGCATTGGTGAAGAGGCTGTTAAGAAAGCTTCTCTCTTTTTAGAATTAGGAATAGCTATCTTTGTCTTGTGTAATAGCAATTCATAAATCCAACCTCTTTCACACACCTTTTCATTTTTGAAAGGTTGTTCCCTGGACAAAACTTGTATAGTTAACTTAATTTTCCACCCTCACTGTGTCAAACCTGGAATTCAATTTGATGGGCAGACATGTACTTTCATGTGAAACCACTGGTAAAACTGTAGGGCAATCTAAATGCATTACTTAGCATTACCTGCAAGCAATCTCAGTTAATAGCAGGTACTGATGAAAATTTCTGAGATCCAGCACAATTAACAAAGTACGGTAGGCCTTCACTTCCTATACAGTATTGTGTAAGATCCCCTTCCTCCACCAGCGGTTAGTGTCAGATCCTCTTGAGGTGGTTTTGGGTCCATCTCAAGCTACGTAATGCAGTTCCCTGACTTTACCTCAGTGGAATGAGCTCTTTCCCATTCTATTCCAATCACAGCAGAAGAGCAAAATCACATAAGGAAACAAGCGAAGTTGCCACTAGGACCACACTCCACAGTTATGACCCAAACTCTTTCTGTCATTAGACCTGTCATAACCTGGATCGGGGTCAGCAACCTTTTTCAGCCGTGGGCCGGTCCACCGTCCCTCAGACCATGTGGTGGGCTGGACTATATATTTTGGGGGGGGGGGGTGAACGAATTCCTTTGCCCCACAAATAACCCAGAGATGCATTTTAAATAAAAGCACACATTCTACTGATGGAAAAACATGCTGATTCCTGGACCGTCCTTGGGCCGGATTGAGAAGCAATTGGGCCGCATCTGGCCCCCAGGCCTTAGGTTGCCTACCCCTGACCTGGATCATTTCCCCAACTCTTCATTTTCATGGGTGGCCCCCTATGTCATGCAATTGTCTCCCCACAGAGGTGTGCCTCACATCTTCCTTATTGTACGTTCTATAGTGTGCTGAAGACCCTCTTTACCCTCACTTTTGGCATGTGTGTGTAGGTAAAAAAGGTAAAAGGTAAAGGATCCCTGGACGGTTAGGTCCAGTCAAAGGTGACTATGGGGTTGTGGTGCTCATCTCGCTTTCAGACTGAGGGAGCTGGCGTTTGTCTACAGGGAGCTTTCTGGGTCATGTGGCCAGCATAACTAAACCGCTTCTGGCACAACAGAACACCATGATGGAAACCAGAGTGCACAGAAATGCCATATACCTTCCCTCTGCAGCGGTACCTATTTATCTACTTGCACTGGCGTGCTTTCAAACTACTAGGTTGGCAGTAGACCCAGGTGTGTCTCAGAAGAGATGACAAGCAAGGCATTTGGACTTGCAGCATACCATTGATCTCTGTGGCCATGTCAATAGCAGCACACTGCAGCTTTGATTAGATAAACTGCCGCTTTAGCAGTTAGGAAGGACACTCCCTGTATTGTCTGACACTCCCTTGTCCATGTCAAAACTGGATTTTCAGTGGGAAACGTAAAGCTCCATTTGCCCTGGTTAGCTATGGCAAAATAGAACTTCTTGAGCCAAGGCACCATTAACAGGACACACAAAATGGTGGTGGGACTGCAGCACCATGCTTTGTGGACTTTTCAGAACCCCCACACCCACCTAAAGCTCCATCTTGGAAAAGTAAGAGTCCAGTGAACACAACGAGGACTCTTGGAAGAGTGGCCTCGTCAACCTAAAAATGCTAGTTCTTCATCCCTAGCGGCTACAGATGAGGAAGGGATTGAAGTCTCAAAGCAACTACAGAGTAATGGTTTTACCAGATAAGATTTTTTTTAAAAGCTTGGCAGAAATTGGACATACCTTGCTCTCTTGATAAGAGGGCAAAAAACCTTACTGATATTTGTCATTCTCTGCAACAAGAGGGCCAAATCTCTTTTCTTTCCTTGCATACCGCAGCAATAAAAGAGCAGTAAGAAAAGAGAAAAAAAAGTGGTCCAAAAACAATATTTTTAAAACACTGGAAAAATCTTCAAAGCACCCCAAAGAACTGTCAAAGACAATGATTTCAGAGCAGGCTTCTGAACAGAGCGTCTCCGCCAGGGGTAAGAGGCTGGAATTTAACACAGGCTGGAGTCAGTTTGGCTAGGAGGCTGCTGCAAATGACCAGTTTCTGGCAAGGGAAAGCATCTATCCATCTCTCATGGAGGCAAGAGGTCACAGAGAACTTGCAAGGATATGAATAAGAGGCCCTGATTCAGGCACTTTATTTTTGAGCAAAATAAATCTACCGCTGCCCAAGGCAATGCTTTCTCTGCAGTGGCACTGCTGTTTTGGAAAGGCCTCTCAAGGGAGCCCACCTTATCGCTTTGTTTTAAGAGTGCCACTAAAACCTTATTACCAGTAATTTCAGCAAACAGGTTAAGGTCCTTTTCTCTGTAGTGCTAATGTCTTCTCTCTCTCCCCATCACTGCTGATGGCTGCCTTCAGATATGCTTACTGTATGGGGGATCTTATTTTGGTTACACCAACGCCATGCATTTAAAGCACATGGCTTTCCCTGCCCCAAAGACTCCTGGAAAATGTAGTTGCTAAGGATGATGGGATTGTAGCTGTCGTGGGGGAAGCTATGATTTTAGAAGTGGTATAAATGTGACTTGTATCTATCATGTCCTGTTTAAGAGAAGCAAACAATCAACTAAAAGGAGGCAGAGCCTACCTTCCATTTCTCTCCTGCCAACCTACCGTATTTTTCGCACCATAGGACGCACCGGACCATAGGACGCACTTTGTTTTAGAGGGGGGAGAACAAGAAAAAAAAATCTCCCCCTCTCTGCCCAGCGCCCCTTCAGCGAAGTGGCAGGCGGCGCTGCGCAGAGAGGGGAGAACTTTCACCCTCTTGTTTTCCCGCTCTAAAACAAGGTGCCGTTTAAGGGGCGTTCCGGCGGCCACCTGGGAAGCCTGGAGAGCGAGACCCCTCGCTCACCAGGCTTCAGGTTCCTGTCGACCTGCTCTTTGGGGCTGGCGGGGGTAAGCCCACCGCCAGCCCCAAAGAGCAGTTCAGGGAGCAGCGGAAAGGCGCAGCGGAGAGGCTCCTGCCATAGCCGTGCGTCACCTCTCCAGCCGGGAGAGGGTCGCGGGGCTATGGCTTCTTTAGCCCCGCACGCTCTCCCGGCTGGAGAGGTGACGGGCGGCTATGGCAGGAGCTTCTATAGCCGCCCGTCACCTCTCCAGCAGCCCCGCGCGCTCTCCCGGCTCTTGCCATAGCCGCCCGTCACCTCTCCAGCCGGGAGAGCGCGCGCGGCTCTAAAGCAGCCCCCCGCGACCCTCTCCCGGCTGGAGGGTGACGGGCGGCTGTTGAGGCTCTTGCCATAGCCGCCCGTCACCTCTCCAGCCGGGAGAGCGCGCGGGAGCTAAAGCAAGAGCCTCAATAGCCGCCCGTCACCTCTCCAGCCGGGAGGGTCGCGGGGCTGCTAGCCCCGCGCGCTCTCCCGGCTGGAGAGGTGACGGGCGGCTATGGCAGGAGCTTCTATAGCCGCCCGTCACCTCTCCAGCAGCCCCGCGCGCTCTCCCGGCTGGAGAGGTGACGGGCGGCTATGGCAAGAGCCTCAATAGCCGCGCGTCACCTCTCCAGCCAGGAGAGCGCGCGCGGGCTAAGCAAGAGCCTCAATAGCCGCCCGTCACCTCTCCAGCCGGGAGAGGGTCGCGGGGCTGCTTTAGCCCCGCGCGCTCTCCCGGCTGGAGCGGTGACGGGCGGCTATTGAGGCTCCTGCCATAGCCGTGCGTCACCTCTCCAGCCGGGAGAGCGCGCACGGGGCTAAAGCAGCCCCCCGCGACCTTCTCCCGGCTGGAGAGGTGACGGGCGGCTATGGCAGGAGCTTCTATAGCCGCCCGTCACCTCTCCAGCAGCCCCGCGCGCTCTCCCAGCTGGAGAGGTGACGGGCGGCTATGGCAAGAGCCTCAATAGCCGCGCGTCACCTCTCCAGCCGGGAGAGGGTCGCGGGGCTATGGCGTCTTCGCTCCATAGGACGCACACACATTTTCCCTTCATTTTTGAAGGGAAAAAAGTGCGTCCTATAGAGCGAAAAATACGGTATTCTTCCTTCCCTGAAAAGTCCGCCACATATTAGCACTAGGAGACAAACACATCGTTCATTCCATTGTCCACCTTACCTCAAAAAATCCCAAGTTAAAATATTAATTGTATTGCCAAAATACTTACTTATTCTTTGATATTGGTGCTATGCCTTGGGGGTTACTCTGCAACAGTGGAAATGGATCTTCTGCCTAGGATCCTTAGTACTGATTATATTACGTTAATTTATCCTTTCCTCAAGTCAGATATTAAGGTTATAACTGCCCGTGGCCATGAAAACCACATTATAAGTGCCCCTAAACAAACATAGCCCAGGGGGTGGTAGCTTTTCCAGTTGCCAAACAGCATTTTCTACAAAAGGTGGTGATGATTAAGTTTTGCATAAGCAAGTTATTACTGGAAATGGATTTTCAAACTGTGATAACATAAAAGGTACAGCTAGCACCTAGTGAGACATGGAAAATGGTTAGAAACAAGAGTAAATATTTACAATGCAGGCTGGAGCCAATTCAGCTAGGAGACATAAACTCTTATACAAGTAACTAGTTTCTGGCAGGCAGAGGAGAAGCTGTCCATCTGTAATGAATGATACAGAGACCAAATATCCATGTTCTATGTATTGTGCATGATTTCTTGTCTTACAGCCAAAACTGTTTTAAAAAAAAAAAAGGTCCAGAGAGTCATAGGTACCCAGCATTGATATAATACTGTAAAAGCTTGGATGAAGAGTGGTATATAAATTTAAAGTGAAATAATAATGTGTGGCTTAATTTTTCATCATTGGCAGAACGTATTCTTATCTGATCACATCACCGCTGCCTGAGAATCTTATTCCATGTTTGGCAACTAAGGGCAACTAGCTTGAACTAAGGTTAGATTGAGTGTTGAATACATAAAAAGTCGTAAACACAATGTTTAATGCTTTCCAGACACCATAAATTGTGAGTATCAGATAATTTTCACTGAAAAGCAAAATCTTCTTGCTGTTGTGTTGACCATCATGATGCTGAATTAAGCCAGCGAACTCACATGAATGTGCACTGACCTATATAGCAATAAACTTGCATGGGGTACTGCAATACATAGAACAATACAGAATTGTTATGAGCCACTAAATTTAAATAACAGTGATGTAAAGGAAACTGGAAATAATGTATTTTTCCAATATACCATGGGGAGATAGGCACAAAAAGCAGAACACAGGTTTCATGATTTTCAAAAGTAAGATGTTGTTATGGATTCCTTATTCCAGATTTGAGGAACTATTAGTAAGCATCCACTGGCCGCATTTATACTTACTAATTTATCAGCTTCCAATTCCAAATGCAAAAGTAGACAGATGAGTTTCAGATGTATGATGGATTGAAAAGGTTTAATAGCCTCTGGATCCTAGACCTGGGTGCGGGGAGGGAGCAGGTTTATGGTCCCAGAAATGTTGGTAAGAAATGATAAACTGCTGCTGTATACAACACAATTTTTAAAATGCGCAACAATTATTACTGACTTTATTGCATATCAAATACAAAAAAAGAAAATGAAATCAATCTTCCTAATAATAAAAAAATCTTAATCATTGTATTATGTCTATTTAAGACTTCCAGATGTTCACAGTTTAAGAAGCCAAACAATACTATTAGTTTTTTCTAGAGGTAATGGGTTAAAAAAAATTGTGATAAAAAATGTAGTCAATTATCATTTGAACTTTAAGTACAAAAATAAATTAAATAAGGGTCAAAAAACCTTGTGCAATAATCTGGTATAAACAAAGTTAATGAAAAAGAACTGTTCTTAACTTGTGGTTTTTGCTTTGAGTTTTTAAAAAATTCAAAACAGTATTTGTTCTCTGAAGTATCCATATAATGTTGAGGTCCAGATGTGCGTTCTTTGCTTTTAGTCTCATATATATATACATAATTATTTTTGGCTGTCTTTTTCTTCCTTGGCAATCCTCTTTGTCACTCCACTGAAATATTTCTCACGAAAGCTATTGTGACATTTGTATGGCAGGTACTGGCTGTCCAATATGTGAGAATCACGGTCTTCATCCTGGTGTTAAAATACATTGTTTAGACATACAGTATATATTGCATCCGTGTGACTCAACAATTTTCTTCAGAATTTATTTACAAGATATCAAAGGCACTATTAAAAACAAGCTTGTAGCTTGGTCCTAGGAACTGCTGTAATGGCAAATAATAATTTTGGATGGAATGTATGCCATTATGTTATCAGCACTGTCACAATTTTTTCAAGTCTCCACCCCATGCTGTAGTCAAATGCACCTGTAGTTGGATCAGGCACAAAATCTGTTGTTGTAAAGGCACAATGACAGCTTTGCCATGCATTTTCTGTGAATCAGTGGGATACTTTTGTCATCAGATATGGGAATCATCATCATCATCATCATCATCATCAAATGTTTCACATAAATGATCTCAGCAATCCTTGCAAAAATCATGCAGGTAGGTCATTATTATATACCATATATTGCAGGTGATGTAATAATGCTCGTCTAAAGCCACCTAATGAGTTCACAGCAGAGACTAGATTCAAATCCAGCCCAGCCTCTCAGACACTATGCTATCATCAGGTTATTTTAGACTGAGATTTTGAAGGTTTGAAACTTATTTCACTCCCATCCTCCTTGACTGGTCTAGCTATGTGACTTCTTCCTGCAACACATCTGGGTCTTCAACTGAAGTCTGTTCATCATGGCAAATTAAGCCTCATGTCCTTTTAAGCCCACCAGTTTATTTCCCTGACCAAAAAAGTAGGAAGGTTATTTGTTTATGTGCAGTTTGGAAAGACTGCAGTGATCCACCACTCATCTTGTCAGTGGCATAACTTTACCTTTAGAAAGCTTAAGTGCCAAGTTATGTTCCAGTCTTTCGACTTTATCAGTAGGCAAGGGCTTCCAGCATACATAAATAGGTAAAGGGACCCCTGACCATTAGGTCCAGTCGTGACCGACTCTGGTGTTGTGGCGCTCATCTCGCTTTATTGGCCAAGGGAGCCAGTGTACAGCTTCCGGGTCATGTGGCCAGCATGACTAAGCCGTTTCTGGCAAACCAGAGCAGCACACGGAAACGCCGTTTACCTTCCCGTCGGAGTGGTACCTATTTATCTACTTGCACTTTGATGTGCTTTCGAACTGCTAGGTTGGCAGGAGCAGGGACCGAGCAACAGGAGCTCACCCCATCGCAGGGATTCGAATCGCCGACCTTCTGATCGGCAAGCCCTAGGCTCTGTGGTTTAACCCACAGCACCACCCGCGTCCCTTCCAACATACATACTCTTGAATATATCAGTTGACAGCTCTTGAGCAAGGTAGATTTACAATCCTTTCGTCAACGTCTGGAGAACACCACACAGACTACCCTGGTTTACTAAAACAAGCCAACTTCAAACCTTGGCTTATAAACCTGGCGTATTTCAATGAACTATAAAGATTAACGACAATTCATTGCTGTGTCCAAATGTAGCCATTAATTTTAGGTCTGGTCGAAAAACGTTGCTGGAGTTTGATGAAACACACCCCAGAACAAGTTATAATCTGCATAAACAGAACTGCTTTGTTTACTTATTGCCTTTATATTCCAACTCTTCTCCAAGGAGCTCATGGTACATGGTTCTTCCCCAACCTCATTTAATCCCCACAACAACCTTGAGAAGTAGGTTAGGCTGAGAGGCAGTAGCAGGCTCAAGGTCTGCCACTCAGTGGACTGGGGATTTGAACCCTGGTCTCTGAGGTCCTAGTACAACAGTCTAACCAACACTGTAGCTTTATGTCTACGCACTAAAACTTAACATACATGGATTTTATACTCAAGGGCTACAGCGGACTGGGGAGTTAATAGGGAAAGCCCAGTAGTGTTTGCCACTTCATCCTTTGCTTTTTGCTTTTTAGCAAACTCAAAAATTAAAACAAAATGCCTTGAAAAGAGCAGTTTAGAACCTAGCTTTGTTATTTAAAAAAACAACCCTGCTGCTTTAAAAAAAGATGAAGAATTTGGCAATGATTTCTATTTATTTAATTTCACCAGAATTTCGGATACATACATGTACCTCTAAGAGATGTACTGTTGCAGTTACACAGGTTTATTTGCTCAAAGCAATGCAAAGTGGGTTTTTTTAAAAGAGAGACTAAATAGTGAAATACAAATCTATTAAAACAAAACAGAAGGAAAAAAAAATACAAAAAGCCAGTTTTCCACCATGTATCTCTGTTTTCATATTTTCCCCAGTATGTATATTCAAATACAAGTGCTTAGAATAGGTTATTGATGTGAAAAATAAAGGTTCTTATTTAAATAAATATTTACAATGTGCTAGTCAGGTGTGTATGCACATTGCATTCATTCCTGAGTTACAGTAGTAATAAATCAGTTTTATTCCTTTAAATTTTTAAATGTTTCCTTCTTTAATTATTCCTGAGCTTAAACTACAGACAAACCCAAATTTCACTTAAGGGAATAAAATCTGCAAACGCTCACATCTCTCCAGGCACTACATCCCACATGCTTCTGAGTCTGATTTCTGAAACAACTCATATGTTGAGAGAGGTTAGAGTCAGCAGAAAAAAGATTATGCAGGTAAATCCTTGAGAGAATGCAGAGTGTAAAGGAAACTCAACCTGCCAGTCAAACATTCTCAAGGGAAGATTATTATGTGTTTGCTGCCCTAATAGCAGGCTCTCTTGTGCTGAGCTGTGCTGAGATCTCAGAATTTCATCAATCAACACAGATACAATTTTCAAGTGAAATAAGGAGCCAGTCTGCTTTTTAAAACAATCTCTTTCAAAACTATTTACAGCCCAAGATGAAACTAGCTGGTGTAGTGGTGTAATACCTCCTCAGCAACCTTAGCATAGCGTTCACCAAGCACTACACTAGGACAAAGTCACAGGGAGCCAGCTCAGTTCAGAAGTGTATAATCGGGATAGGTATGTGTGCATAAATATATGGAAACTGTTTCCGTGGTATCATAGTTGTCATATAAACAGTAAGTTAAGACAGCAATACTCAAGCTTATGCTCAGAGTGCTAAGAGTTTGTCTGCTGAGTTCAGTGCAATTGCTGACCATGGGAAGGCGAGGAATATTAATCTCTGCACTATGTTCAGCAAGGACTTGGAATGTTCCATAAAACGAAGCAAAGGCAGAAGTTATTCCACTAACAGTATAGGCAAATAGTAAGGTAAAGGGACCCCTGACGGTTAGGTCCAGTCGCGGACGACTTGGGGGTTGCGGCGCTCATCTCGCTTTACTGACTAAGCCGCTTCTGGTGAACCAGAGCAGCGCATGGAAACACCGTTTACCTTCCCGCCAGAGCGGTACCTATTTATCTACTTGCACTTTGATGTGCTTTCGAACTGCTAAGTTGGCAGGAGCAGGGACCGAGCAACGGGAGCTCACCCCGTCGCGGGCATTCGAACCGCCGTCCTTCTGATCAGCAAGTCCTAGGCTCTGTGGTTTAACCCACAGCTCCACCCACATCCCTTGTATAGGTAAATAGTTTACTGCTAAATATGTCATGTTTTGGACATTATCAGACAGACCCCTGTGCATTTGTTGCAATATTTTCCCTTCCAAATACAGCTTCTCGTGATGTAGCAGACGACCATCTAAAATGAGAAAGTTTTGGAGTGTGACTTTTAGGATTCTGTTCTTGTTGTTCCTACCATGCATTTCCACATATAAAAACCAGGTATTTCCATGTATAAAAGTTGGATAAAGAAAGCAAAAAAAGATAATGCATGGTTTTATCTTTCCATTTTAAAGAAAATATCATCACCACATCTGCAAAGGAACATGCATACATCTGAGAGTGCACAAATCTCTTAATAAAATCCCTTAATAAACTGCATTAGAAATTGATGTGCTGGTATGCCCTTGTAGATGAAGGTAGGAACTGACAGTCAACTATCAAATAAAATCCCAGTCACAAACAGAACACAGCAAGGATGCATTTTTACTTGATATCTGAGCAGTGTGGTACTTTATTTAGAGGGAGGCCACTTATTTCCAGAAAAAGTTACAAACAGCTGACGCTCATATAATTCATGTTCTGTTAAATGTGCTTAAGGCCAACAACACTGGACATATAGGAAACTTTTCTTGAAGTATTACTATGGGTTTGTGTAATTTAATAGTGGTGTAGAAGTTGGCATATCTCTTCACAGGGTGTGAATCAGATATGAGACTACAAGGCAATTCTATTCCAATCATTATTGTTAAAGTTTAGAAGGAATGCCAGCCGTGAGAAATTAATGCATTTACTGACTAAACGGGTAAGACGTGTTCAGAACTGCAAAATCAATTGCAATAGCTCTGGAAAAAGCATTCAAATTTTAACAGATCTAGAGAAGGATGTGCAAGTGAAATTTCTGGTTAGGGTTTTCCATCTGTATTTTATGAACACAGCCGTAGGAAGTGTCTATTTGTTCATTATGTTCATTTGTATTTTATTTCTCTTTCAGTATGCATGAATTTATTCTTTGGGTTATAATGATCCATATGAAACTAAATGGCTGTAAGATCTCCCCCCCCCCCCCAGGGAAATTGAATAATGGCTTGTTGCTAAAAATATATTAAATATTGATCTAAATCTAAAGAATCTTTTTGTCAGTGGGGCCCAATGTATTTGGGGTGTGGACCAATCATTGGGTGTCTAGCAGCAGAGGGAGGAGATGTGGCGTCTGGGGCATGCAAATACACCTGGCATGGACCAGGGAGTGGATGCATCCTCTTTTGGGGGCTGCTGTCAGAGGAAGAATCTACCTCCGAGGATTCCTACTGATAAACTTATATTCTTCTCCATTTGTGTTTACTGAGATCTTAACTATTTTTTTATCCTGATAAATTTTTGGTCGCTTTTTAAGTGGTCTCTTATTATTTATTTATTTTAAAAGGGAACTTCAAAGCTGATAATCAGACCCTTCACCATGTACAAAGCCCTATCTTAATGCTGCATTTAGACGACCCCAAAGTATAATAAAAGTTGTTGAGGGGAGAACAGAGGCTCCAAGGACTGTAGGGCTAAAATCCAGACAAAATGCAGGAGTAGCCTCCTAACTGAACTTTAAAATCCAGCCAGGAATGGACAGGAAGCTGTTGTTCATCTTTGACTAAAAAACGTTTGAAAACTGCGCTCCTTTTAGAAGACGACAACATTTATTTCCTTATGCTGCATTGCAAAGTAATGCTCAGATATGTATTTATTTATTTTTTAACAGGGCTTGCTGTCTTCAAGGTGAGGAGCACAGAAAAATACATAGCATGAACAGTTATGCATACTGACTAAATAGCAGGTCCTATTTGGGAACTTAGAGCCAAGTAACACACATGGTTTTCTGCATATGATAATGACGATGATTGATTACCTACCCTTACCAGGGCGGGTTACGACAATGAAAACACAATGTTAAAAACAATGTACATAGAATAAGGTGTTTCACTCTCTTCTACACCCCTAGCAGGTATTTACAAAAATATACACAAGTTTTACCGATTTCAGTGGGGCTTAGAACTACATCTTGCAACATAGTATAATAGAAACAGCAAAATTAACCGTTCTCGTTACTTCAGTTCTAACCAGACAGCACCTCAAAACCAAAATAATAAAAATAGAACAAGAAATTCCCCTGCCTCAGTATTAACAAGTTTACTTAACGCACATGTACAAGTAAGACAAGCGTCCTTCAATCACTGCCGCCCATGTACATCAGCGCAACAAGTACTTTGGCTTCCTGTTTTGACATTTATGACTCTTTTACAAACCTTCTAAAACCAACTTATAAAAGCGCTTTATGGCACACTGAGTCTGGTACGGTGAATTCCCTCCGTTTCTACAGTAGAAAAACCTGTTCCGAATCTGACAATTGCTATTTTGCGAGAAAGCCATCAAAACAATTACCTCAAAATCTTTCACTTTTTCCATGGTTATCAGGTGTCTCGACGTGTGGCTGGAAAGCGTCTGTTCACAGTTGCTAATAAGTTTCAGGCATGGGTGTCGGGGTATAATCTCTTCTGTATATCTGGAAGAAATAAACAGTCAAAGGGCTACAAGAGCTTAGGAACTGTAATAAGTGAATCTGAAACAGAACAGCCAGAGGGCTGATTCAAACTGAGTTAAACTGTACACTTCCACATGGTTCACGGCCTTATTAAATTTCCCAGAAACAATGTATGCTAATTGCTTTCAGAATCCACAGCCACATGTGTAGCACAAAGAGAGAACAAAACAAAAGACAGGATGCAGGTGAAAGTTTGGCTGCAAACAGGAAAAGGACGTTTCATGTGGGTTTCTCTTGCGCTTCAGCACCCAAACCATTTAAAGAGATTATGAAAAGATGTCTGCCAGCAAGCATTCCAATAAGAACTGTCCTTAATACAATGCTTAGCTGCTTTTCAGCTCTACATCCATCCAGCAAATATACTACTGCCATCCTGAGCTCTTTGGAGGAAAGGCAGGATATAAATGAGATAAAAGACAGACTGCTCAGTTGGTAAATTCCTTCCCAAACTACCCCCACCCCCAAAAAATGACCACCAGAAATTATTTCAGCTGCAATTAAATCTAGCCACACCTAAATTCCTTAGCAGTCACCAATATATCCTCAATTCAAGAGCAAGCAGTACAGTAATATGCAGTATGTTTGTCAATTGTTCTGATAATAGCTAGTATACGGTGCAGCGTAAAACCGCTAGCACCTCTGCAAAGCTAAGAAGGGTCCAGAATGGTTTAAAATTGGATGGGGGACCATGTGTTGAGATTCCTGCATTTGCAGGGGGTTGGACTAGATGACCCTTGGGGTCCCTTCCAATGCTATGATTCTATAATTCCATGTCATCAGCAGAGTTAATTGAGAACGACCCCATTCTTACTGCTTCCCAACCGCTGTCTAGGACACCCTTTCCTAACCTGGGGCCCTCCAGATGTTGGATCGTAACTCCATGATAACTGGTCATGCTGGCTGGAGCTAATGGGAGATAAATGCTACATGCTAAACTAGCTTATGCATTTACCATGTATTATTTTTAGATATGTTATGGTACCCTGCAGACACTAACTATTTGTTTGTTTGTTTGTTTGTTTGTTTGTTTGTTTGATGTCTTTAAATCCCACCTTTCTCCCACATTGGGACTCAAGGAGGCTCACAACATGTTTAAAACATTCTTATAAAATCCAACATAATGAAAACAAACTAGTTAAAAACAATAGTCAAAATAAAAACAAAATGTATCTAAAGCCAGCATTAAGATAGCAATTACCCTGATATCAGTTCAGTGGCCAATATCATCTGCACCTGGTTTTCAAAGGGCTGTCAGAATAGGAAGGTCTTAGCCTGCCAGTGGAAAGATAACAAGGAGCGAGGCAAGCTCACCTCTCTTGGGAGGGAATTCCACAGTATGGGAGCAGCCACAGAAAAGGCCCTTGGCTCTCTCTCTCATGTCACCAACAACCGTGCCTCTGATGCTGATGAGACCGAGAGAAGGTGCTCACTTAAGGATAAGTCTGCCCCAGGGTTCCCCTAGACCACGCCCACCCTTAAAGTCTGCAGAAGTTACCATGTAACATATTAAAGACATTCAGTGTATCTGAATATATACATACTCTGGTTTATACACAGGAAGCCAGTAGACCAGTCTTCCTCCAAGTACCAAGTATTCAGCTGCAAATTTTAACAGGTCGAAAAGGATGTCACTCAGATGATAATTGGAAGAAATTGAGATGTGATTTTCTGCGCTGGGTAAAATTTTGAAAAAATAACTAATTGGTAGCAGCTTCATTGTTATTTTGTACTATTTAAACACAGCATGCTGATTTCACAATAAGAACAGAACCTGGCGTATAGCATCCATCACAGGTTTGTCAGGTCTCTCTCCCAATTTTGCGAAGGTTAAAAAAACACATTGAAATATGACCTAGATTTATGCTGGCCACAGAAAGAAACCAGGATTGCACCAGAACTTCATATAAAATTATTACTGTGGGTAAAAACAGAGAGCAGTTCTGGAGGGGAAAACAAAATATAGTGAAAGCAGGGATGGGAAACATGTCCCAGAGGGATTATCAGAGTTGAAGCCTGACAAATTCCCACAGGTTCCAAATCAGAGTCAAAAGTAAGCTAAAGGCAACATAATTATATGTGTGGGTGGTTGCATGGTAGAAAGGGAAGAGGCAGTGCATATTAAAATAAGGCTGTGTTGAGAAATGACAATACAATACCACTTCATTTCAATTTCAGGAAAACTGCCTTTCTGTCCAAGTTTTAATGCAAAGCACCATCACAATAGGATGTAGATTATAATGTGAAATATAGAACTGGGCCATAACAAACCCTGATTTGGCAGCAGGCACTGTCCTCATAACTTACTGAACATTGTATTAGTTTAGTTAATTAATTACATTTATCGCTTCACACAGCCTGAAGGAGTCATAAGCAACATACAAAAATAATGAAATACAGTCGTACCTTGGAAGTCGAACGGAATCCGTTCCGGAAGTCCGTTCGACTTCCAAAACGTTCACAAACCAAATAGCAGCTTCTGATTGGCTGCAGGAAGCTCCAGCAGCCAATCAGAAGCTGTGGAAGCCCCGTTTGACGTTCAGCTTCCAAAAATAGTTCACAAACCGGAACAGTCACTTCCGGGTTTGTGATGTTTGGGAGCCAAAACATTCAGGAACTAAGCCGTTTGAAAACCAAGGTACGACTGTACAAGAATATAATGATATATCCATCACAACAATAGAGACAGACTAAAATATTTGGGATTTCAGGCACTAAAAGGGTTGCTACCTGCTATCCCAAGTCCGAAAAGTTATCACATCATAGTGGCGAGGCATGGGATTACGGTTCAGAAGGAAACCTCCACTGACATTACTGAACAACTTTCCCCACCAGTTTTCTACCTGCTACTGGGTAACTGCACCAAGATGCACACTAGGTGCCAGACTCCGATGTCAAAATCAGAAAGAGGCTCCCCATTTTCCATATGGGAAACATGTAGTAGTCAGATTCCTAATCCCTGTTGTCAAGGCTGCCTCAAGTCTCAGCTCACAAAAGACCAACGCCTATGTCTTCTTATATACAAAGGTGTTTATTGCAGTTCATTGTTTGCTTGACATCCTAGGCGCGCAGCCTTACGTCTCTTACGCTTAGACCGCTGAAGTCCCCTCTGAGTCAGTCCCTCCCCTGCACCAATTTAAGAGACTTGCGCTGCTCCACCTCTTTCTCTCCTTCCTTTTCCGCAGGGTCCTTCTGCCCGCTGGGGTTTCGCCCCTCCTGCGGGCTTTGGGACCTGGCCCCTCCTCCGGGCTCCCTGTACTTCCGCGCGCCTCTACATTTGAACTAGGCGCGCACGCCAAACCTCTAACTTTCCTTTTGACAGTTACACTACTCCCTTCACTGCTCCCTCCCTTCCGGGAGGGCGGCTTGCTCTTGCCCCCTCCTTTCTCTGCTGCCGGAGCTGCTTCCTCTGACACACTGGAAACTCCACCCCCTTCGCTGCACTCTGGTGGGGAGGCTGGTCCTGACGCCCAGCTGCCACTTTGGGATCCTCCGCTGGCCCCCTGCTCCTGACACGTCCCCCCTGGGGCTCCCCCTGGCCTTGACCACCGGCGCCCCCCTTCTGGGAATCCTCTGATTCGCTGGAAAGACTCATGGAATCTCTTGAGTCATTGTCATCCTCTTCCTCGCTGGCTTGGAATTCCTCCCCATCGTTCTCCATCTCCTGCCTACCCTGTGCCTCTCTCCCTGAACCCCTGACACCTGTGTTTTAAAAACACGAGAGACACACTGACAGAGTGGTTGCTACGTACATACAAGCAACGTAATTAAAAACAGCCCTGTCGGATTTGTCGCTGGTTTGGCAGAAGGCTGGGATGTTTAGCAATATGCAAAAATGCTTCTGAAGCCACAGCTGTTTTTCTATTTGGACACCTGCGTTCTCAACCCACCGTTTACCTACCCTCTTTCTGCCATCTTTGCCATTTCCTTCTGCGAACCGGTTCTTCTGGTGGCTTCTCGTATGCCGTATGGAGCTGTGCAGATCAAGAATGTACGACACGTATCCATCAGTACAACCTGTTCAGAAACTCCAGCTGGGGCTGAAGGCAACAGTGAGCATTCGAGACAAAGCCTGATCCCTGGAACCTGAAACTATGCTAACTATAGAGGTTTCAGATTCATTTCAGCCAAATTCAAGACACTTTTTCAAAGCCCTCCATGCCTCCTTCCACACATGAATAGCCGCATCCACTCAGGAATAGGCGCATCTCCACATCTTGCAGCCATCAGAGACACAGCTAATAGTGATGGGAGAGAGGCAGCTTTCTTTATAGTAGCATGGAAGTCTGTCGCAGAAAAATCTGCTTGGCTTCTAGATAGCCAGGGCACCAACACCACCCTGTAACCTTTTTATTTCTTTAAAAAAAAATCCAGCAGACTATAGCCTGGTTTTTTATCTCACTGCTGGGTACTTGGTTTCTTCCTTTGTTTTTCAGACTGTTGCTTGCCATTCATATTTTATCATTGTGTTTGAGCTTTGGGCAGCTCAAATGATCTGGCAAACTAAGATACAAATAAAATTATTATCATAATTTATTCACCCTTAAAGCACAAGGTCTCATAAACTTGATGTTTTTTCTTTCTTTTAGTAAATCTTAGTAAGTTGTGCTTATTAAGAAATTATAAAATTTATTACAGTATTAGATTGCTTTTACATCAAATGAATTATTTGATGTAAAAGAAGAGGCAGCTGTAGACAATGCCTCTTAAACTTACACTTGATGCAATGATTAAAATGTGTATTTTTAACAGATCACACTTCCTACTGTTGGAAAACCATCCATGCATTTTCTAAGCTATTAGTATGTTTTTCTCCATCCATAGCTAGTGCACTGTTTTATTAAGAAAATAAATGTCTTTCGTACTTGTATGTGGAAACTGTAAAATTTAGGAACTTGGTACATATTTTCTTAGTAATAAGCTTCAGATATTATATATTCCATGTTCAGATATAACTGCATGGTGTCAAAGTGCTAGTTGAACATTATTCACAGTCTTAAAAGCTGCTTAAGACTTTTCAAAGACACTTGGGGGGATATTTTTGTAGTCACTAATTAGATAGGGGTGTTTAATTCACACTGACTTGCAATTAACATTATGGAGTTAATTTCCAATTTTGCATCTGAAGAACATTTCTCTGCTCCCCAAATATTGCCAATACCTACAAGCATTGCCTTGTAAAGGCTGTGTATTCAAAAGAAGGAGATCGAAGAGTGAATTCTCCTGTTTAATAAGAAATGGCATATCTTTTTCACGAACAGCTTCAACAATCAATACATAGTGAGAGATGGTTATGTTTTGTTTTCCTAAGCTTCCTGTTTATGAATAGACATGAAAGAACATTTAAATTCTTTAACAAATTACTGGCAAGCTAATGTATAACCAAACTGGAAACCAAGAATTTTCAGTATGGAAACATTCCAGTAAGCAACTGTATATTAAGATCACTGCCACATTCAAAATGGCTTCAAAGTGCTAATCTCAGAAACAAAAAAGAGAAAAATTGAGTGTTTCCCCAAAAAAGATACAACTCCTAATAATATACACATTCAATGTAAAGAAATTTACATTTACCGGTACATAAAAAATTATTCAGTGGATACTTGCAGGTGGTCAAACTACAGACCACAATCTGTTTTTACAATGCAAACTTGAAAGCTGCCAGCTTCAATATACGGGGTCTAGATGTCAGCATGAGATTTGCGTTTAAGGCTACACAGAAGCATGTTTATATCCATTATGAGGTTGAGATGCAATCAGGGAAAATATGCTTACTCTCAGGGAAAAAAGCTATTTTAGCACTACTAGTCCCAAGTTACCGGGAACTGCTCCTGCAAGACTTCATTCTTCATAAAATAAAAGATGCATGAACTGAGGAGCAATTGGCTCACTACCTCCTTGCAAACAAGTCAGCAAATTTCATTCAGTCTGGATGTTATTGCTCTAGCATTCTCTTTGGAAGAGCAAACTGTATGACAAGCTTGCAGATGTTTCCATTATCACTACAGACTGAATTTATGAATCATACATATTTTAGGCTGTGCATTAACTTACGGTCTGTAATTACTGCATCAAACTTCACCCCCTTCCTCCATATGGCTTTTGATGCATCAGAAACTAATACGTCAAGGTAGTGCTTCTCCAAACCATACTGACGGAGGTTCGCTCTGATATTTTCATCAGGTCCTCTCCACTTCTGGTTCTTCCTGCTAGCTTTGCCTGGGAGCAGTGGGGAGTAAATAACACCAACTCAATTTCATGCCATATTGGATTCAAATGATTATCCTGTGGCCTTCAATTCCTGCCGCAATTTATTTCAGTTCCGCTCACATAAGGTATCTCTGGCAAACATTTCCAATTTTAAATCTATAAAAAGCACAGCTACTGAACACATCCCACATCATCCATAATAAGTACAAGAAACTTAAAAGTTATTCTAATAGTGTAAGAAAATGAAGTAAATGCCATGGACATAGTTTGGATGCCATTTAACCCTTAGAGCTGCAGCTTTATTTATCAAGTGGCTTTGTAACTTCAAAAAAGGTAAAGGTAAAGGACCCCTGGATGGTTAAGTCCAGTCAAAGGTGACTATGGGGTTGCAGCGCTCATCTCACTTTCAGGCCGAGGGAGCTGGCGTTTTTCCACAGACAGCTTTCTGGGTCATGTGGGCAGCATGACTAAACCACTTCTGGTGCAACGGAACACTGTGACAGAAACCTGAGCGCATGGAAATGCCGTTTACCTTCCCACCACAGCGGTACCTATTTATCTACTTGCTTTCAAACTGCTAGGTAGGCAGGAGCTGGGACAGAGCTACGGGAGCTCACCCCATTGTGAGGATTTGAACTGGTCAACCTTCTGATCAACAAGCCCAAGAGGCTCAGTGGTTTGGACCACAGTGCCACACGCATCAAAGAAACATTGGCAAAGGTAGAAGTGACTTCTTCTTTGAATGCGGTAACATGAAAAACTGGAACTCATCCATCCCTTTCTCTGCTGTGATATGTGAGCTCAACACATATCTGTAATTTGTGTGTCTTCTGCACAACCTAAGCATGAGTTCTATATCTGCTTGGAGGTCATACATCTCATCGTGCAGCAGATGCACAGGGATCACGTAAAAAAGGAAACTCCAACATGTGCAGGCAGTTCCTAGGGCAATCATGTGTAGGGATCTGTACATTGTGACTGCAAAATCCACAGGGAAATCTCTACATTGTGAATGCAATATGGTGTGTTCTCTTGTGAAAAGTACTACTCAAAATCAAAGCATTTTAGGAAAAACTTTAGTAGGGTTTTTGACAGTTACCTTAATTTCGTCTTGGGTTTGGGTGTAGGTGTTGGGTGTTACCTGACATAAACGTGAATCAAAAGCAAACAAAAGAAAACTTGCACTCTCATTTGCATCATCCACTGCAGTTCCATTAAAAAAAAACCCTTTCTGCAGTCAACTTGCCTGTTGCGCATGATCCACTATGCCCAGGAGCGCATAGGTATAGAGGGTAGGTTTAAGTGAATGCGCCCGTCTCTGACCAAGCTTGAACAGGAAGATCTCTGATTCTTTTCCAAGATCAAGCAGTTGCTAAACTTGTGTAATAAACCAAATAATTACATTTTCGCTGCTAAGAACTGAAGGCAACATACCCAGTCCATGTACGGTGTTATAATCTATATCTGTCCCACATACGTATGCTCCAAAGTGTGCTGAAGCGATAAGAAGTCCACCTGCAAAACAAAGAAAAAACCACTTGGTGCTGACAATGCAACTATTTGGGAATACAACAGCAAAAGGTATTTGATACATGTATTTCATATTGCAGAAATATAGCAGAGAAGCAAATAGATGTGTGCCAAAACAAATAACGCCCCTCAATGCCACATGTTGCCTGGCATACACAACTGGCATACACACGTATTATTTAAGAAGGGTGTGAAACATTGCCGGCTAGAAGGACAAAGGCAAGAGCCTATTTCTGAATCTAAATCAGATCTCATACTTGACATCAGCCCCAAACTTGATACAGCACCATTCGCCTTTAATCCCTTGAACGTCTTATGTCTTCTGCCAGAAAGCCTTCTCTTCTCATATTATTGCAATTGCTTTTAAATTCCCTTTATGCCCATTGCTACTTGTGGTTTATCTTGTCTTGAATATATATATATATTCACAGAGCTGCTTCTAAATGAACAATATAAATGGGATAAACTCGCCCCCTGCTGGTATATCAGAAAAAGGTCATCAAAGGAAGAAAATAGGTTTTCTATCAAGCCTACAGAATGTGAAGGAGTATTTCCTACCTACAAACCTGGAAACATGATTGCAGTGTTTATTCCTATATGCGCTACCGACAGTCCCAGTCTCCAGAGAAAGCTCTGTTGAACATTCACTCTCTGTTCCTTGACTTCCAATGCACCACTTCTTAGAACTGAAGTAGATGTATTAAGAGTACCACTCCCTGAGCAGGCAAGTGAGGATAACAAAGGGCTCTATTGTTCTTTCAACATCAGAGATTGCTAACATGAACTGTCACAGGATAAGGACAGATCACAAATGGCCAAGCAGTAATATGGAACCAGTGTTGTCATGGATGAGGTACACTTAAGAAAAACAAATTCTTCTAACATGTTAAGAGAAAAGATAGAACCCAGGGAGATAACTTAACATATACAAATTTGACAGGCAACTTTACACATGGTGCAGGCTGTATACAAATTAATTGGAGGAGGGGAAAAAATACCTGTTCCCACAAATGGATCAAAAACAACATCATTTGGTTTCACTCTCCCATGGTTTGCCATAAGAAAAGCCAAGCAGGCATCCATGCTTGTGTTCCCAATAAAATGTCTCCTTTTTACACTGTATGACTCAATAAGGTCCCTTTGTCCATCGGCAATCTGTGGCAAGGTGGAGAGAGAAAGGAACCATTAACTTTGGTAACCAATAACTACCCAAAATACTCAGAATTGTACTGGTATCTTGGTTTCCAAAAGCAAACACATATGCTATGCCGGCTCATAACACTGACTGACTAGCACTCTAATACGCTTTCTTGTCCAAAACTAAACAAAACAAAACAAAAAGCCCTAAAATCCTAGAGTTCAGCCAGTAGGTCTAACTTTTACAAAGCATGCTAGGCATCTCTTAACCTGGGGCAGGTGGGCTGTGACCCTCCAGATCTTGCTGGATTCCACTTCCCATCAGCCCCAGCCAGTATGGCCACACTATGTCTTTTAACTGATGAGATGTAAGTAATCTCAGCTGGAGCAACTGTTTAAGAACGTAAGCACTGACTATCTGAATTAGGTCAAAGTCACATAGTTCAACTATCTTTGATCGACAGCCGATTAAGGTTGGAAATATGCCCATCACTGCTATTTTGTGCCGTAAATGAAAAATGTGTGTCAGAAATATTAATATGTCATCAAAGATGCTGATAATTGGGATGGCAAGATTTCAGGCAGGATCTCTTTGGATTCGGCCCCCCTCCCCCGAACCCTAAGATCCACCGACAGGAACTGGGTACAAAACAATTATGAAAGCCTAGGAATTTGTTTTGTGTTATCTGAACTGAGCTTGCAGTCCTTCCACACAAAAATACACTCCTAGTTAAGCCTGTCCTCCATCAGTTTTATTTTGGTAATATAATTTGGAGTGGGGGTTGCGGGGAAGGGAAAGACTCATTTTGTTGCTGCCATGGTTCAAACAACTGGGAGTTAGAAATCCTTGCTGAGCTACTTCAAATCATTCAGATCTTTGAGTAAGTCCCAGTCTGACTTTGCCTACCACCTGCTTATGGTATTAAAAAGATCCGTGATCAAAATATGAAGAAATCATACCCCACTATCAACTTATTTTCAGCTATCATTTCTTTTTCATGCTGTAACAATTCTTTAATTATTAATAAAATGACTGTACTCACCCATCTCCCAAAATATAAATCAAGGGGCTGTTCTGGGATATTGTTTGGATCCATTCCATAATCTTCCAGAAGCCAAAATATATGATCTGGTTTCTTTAAATTTACTTTTCCTTCAAATGGTAAAAATTCTAAAGACTGTATTAAGGAGGGGGAGAGGGAGGGGAGAAACACATAAATATAAGTACTATTACTGAAACATACAATGAGTCCTGGCTTACTAAATCCAAATAATTATTAAAAGTATTCAGATTATAGTTTTAAATATGTATATGGTGCCTTTCCAACAAGTTACCAAAGAAGGTGTGAAAATCAAAAACACTATCACTCATTATTAAGGAAGAGCACAAATATAAGAAATGATTTCAAGAAATTACAGTCTACTTACATCTATCTTCTGAATCTTCTCTTCTTGTGTTAGTGTTTTGTTAAAAGTGTGAACCTTTATTTTGTAACTTAGATTGGACTGTAAAAATGGGGCCTAAAACAAAGCAAAACAAGATTTTATTAGAACATGCAGCAATACACCATTGCGTACAACTGTGTAACAAACAGGCTCCAAAAAGACAGAACAAAATCCAAACCAGCTTCTCTTATACAAACCATTTTCTCTGCTGGATAGTTCTTCAGTGAAGAGTACAGTTCTTCTGCAGATTTCCCATGTCCCCACAGTTCAAATATAGATCTGAAAGTATTGTAACAGGTTACATTCAGCAAAGGGGAAGAAAGATTCATAAATGCTTTTCCTAGTTCACTAGTTCATCTTCTGATTCAACATGCTCATGAACTCCACAATTTTACTTTTCATGATTTACTTTCAAGTTCTACTGAAAACAATCAATGGGCCATATGCATGAGTAACTTTGAAATATTTTCAGGTAACAAAACTGAACAAAATGTTGCCACACACCAAAAAAAAAACCACCACCCACGTAGTCCTTATATTTGGTTTATTAACTTGTACAGCAAATGGGCTTTTCAAGAGTTAAAGCTCCAGAAACAATTTCTGCTTCAGCACAGAAGCAGAGCTACATCCCAAATAATAATGAGATGGCAAAACTTAGATGGAAACTTAATACGCAGGCCGTTTCTTTTTTCCAAAAGCATAGCCCTTACTTTGCACACACTGTTCGCTTCATCAGTCCTCTTGCCATCTCTTCTGAAGGCATGCTAAGAATCCAAAATGGAGACTGCAAAGAAAGAAAGAGAAAAGATCAATAATGCTAAGGAAAAGGCCCTGTGAAGAATGACAACGGGACTGCTTGTGCCGCAGTAGGGCAAGGATGTGCAACCTGTGGCCCTCCAGACGTCGTCGGACTCCCAACTCCCACCAGACCAGCCAGCTTGCCCAATGGTCAGGGGGGATGCAAACTGCTGTCCAGCAAAATCCACTGACATAGGGAGAAGACAAATGGAACTACAAGAGGAAAGCTAAAAACGTGTATTCTTCAGTTGTCACAGAATTGAGAGACAAGCATGCCAACTAATCCAATGTTCCTTGAACCTCTCTTCAGCTTCTGCCTTCCTTATTGTTGCCATCACTGTTAGATAAATTCAGCTCCGGTCCTCCGAGCTGATACGGCTCATCTTCGCTTGAGCCCAGCAGAGTATAAAACACTCAGAGTCCGCAACGAAAGGATGAGGCAGGTTTGGCTACATTGCTACGCTTTTATTACTAAGCTATGCTGAGAGCATACAAATATACATCTTGTCTCTGTGAGAAGCAGAGAGCAACTGCAACAAAGAAACGACAGTACAAAGGAAACAGGAAACCAGTAAACGTCACATCCCGTCTCCCTTTCCCGTGGGAATCCAACAGTATCTGGACTGTGGAATGAAAACATAGTTCTGTGACTACCAGCAGCTGCTCAGTGAGGGAAACAGAAACCAACGATCACTTCTACCACTTTCTCCTGCAGAAAGGTAACAATGTGCAATAATCTTTCTATCTCAGCCCAAGCAGGAAGTGGTGTTTGACGGGGCGGGGGGGGGGTGAGCTAAGACTAACAGCTTTGAATACTTGGCTTTCATTTCAGTTTGTGAAGAGGTGTTCCGTATTGCGTGAACACGCTATAAGTCTCTATATTTTATGTCCGGCTTCTTACACAGACGGCTCTATCACCACCTACACCTTGTTTGTGGTTGTGCTCCTTCTGGTTGTTTACCTACTCTGTCACTTCAGGCCTGAATCAATGTTACAAAAAGACAGCAGGACCCTAGAATAGAATTCAAGTCAACCTCTATATAGAAGGTCCTTTAATGTATATCAATGCATCCTTCACGAGATGATTCTGTTCTGACACCATTGCAAGGTATGCTGGCAGCATGCAGCAAAAGTTGAGTTTAGGAAATTTGGTTTCCTCTAATAAACCTTGACTATATGTAGATCGTGGTTAAGGAGGGGAGAGTGATCCCATGTCTAGATAACACACTACGTCAAACTTTAGTTTGGCTCCTATGCAACACAGAGCTAAAAATACCAGGGAGGAGCAAAGTGCAAGTTCAGGATATGGAGCCTGCAAGTTCACACTAAACCATGCTTTGGCTAAGTGTTATGTAGAAACGCAGCCACTGAAAAATGAATCATCTACTCAGCACAACAATAGCAAGGTAACAAAATATTGTGCAAGGTACTAGATCCTTCAGCAGACTCACGGTGTGTGTACAAGCCCTTTGATCCACATCTGAAAATTATTATTCATATTTGTTAGTTGCCTTCCTCATGCAAGTGACCCAAAGCAACACAATATAAACAGTAAAACCAATTGCAACAAACGCAACCAATAAAAACCTAAAAACGTATCTTTACAAATAAAAACCCCACTAAAAGAGGCCACGAGCACTTTGAAACAAAAATCGGTGTAAATGATGGGCCACTGTAGATTTACTGTTTGGCTTTGCAAACCCATTCTTGCTTGGCTGCAAAATAAATAGTAAATCTATAGTGGCCTATTATTTACACAGATTGCCAAGTGCTAAAAGAGATAAAATAGCACATTAATTCCTTCATTGGCTCTTATATAACCATAAAGGGAATAAGAATTTTGCAGAGGTCCATGCATAGAGAGGCATAATCCTTGCATCCTAGGGAGCACAGTGGGAATGAACAGGCAGCAGTGATAATTCTAACAAGAGCCACCCCTAGCAAAAACTACAGCTAGGGCACAGAACTACACTCAGTGGAATGATACTCAAGCTCATTCTGTGGGTTGCATGAACTTGGTTGCTGCATGTGCTTTGTTTGATTTCATTGTTGGTCAGGAAGCGAGTTTTCCAGCAGATGGCACTATGAATTTTAATAACTGAATACAACCCACTAAGCAAAGATCATAACTGTCCACTGTCCACTGATCCATCCTTATTCCTGACAGATCTCTCCAGTGTCTGACAGCCAATCACAAACAATCACACCCTAGGCCAACCCCAACCTCTCTCACCACCAAAGGAACACAAGCGGATAGTAAAGAGAACCTGAACAAGCGATGCTGACACAACCCCCCCCCCAAACACATTAAGTAGAATAGTAGAATTGCCACCTAGCCCCACCCCCACTCACCATGGCCCCATCCACCTCATTCCCCCTTTTCTTCCTAATTTTGGGGAAATAATAAACCACACAGGAGCTGAAGATTCACAGACTTATTCACAATCTAATACTTACATTTAATCTCAATTCCTGTTGATCGCTGAATCGTCCACCACAGAGGGAAACCAGAGACTTTATTTCCTAGGAGAAAAGATTACAAAACAAATATTTTTAAAGAACATAGGAAGGTCATCGGGCAACCCTTTCTGAGGAGAGCATTCCACATAGGCTATGACCATTGGGAGCGCTCTCTCCCTAGTAGCCCACCTATGTAAATTCAGTGGGACTTAGTGGCACTTACTCCAAGGTTTGCAGGTATAAGACTACAGCTCTGAGAATCCCAGGGAACTGCATACAACAGAAAGCATCCAAAAATCAGTGTCCATATACACTTGGTCTATATAAACACTCAGCACACGATCTAGACAAAGTAAGAGCATGCAATTTCAATGAGATGGGCAATCCTATGCAATTGTTACTTGGAAGTAAACTCATTCTGTTCAACAGGTTTTTTCCTAGGTGAATGCAAATAGGATTGCAGTAAGAAAGATGCTCAGCTTTGGCAGGAATAAAAGGCTCACATTTTCCGTATGTACATTAAAGGTACCTCCTAAAAATCAAACCTATGAAAAAAGCAGAGACACCCTATTGATGAGGCTATCTTTACACAAAACAGTGAAAGGTAAAGCTGGAGAAGTTGATCTTTTTAGTCCAGTGAAGACCACTAGAAAACATTCCTCTGTGCTCTTCCTTACAGGCATCTAGGGAGCTTTCTTCGTTGAATTTATTCACTGCAGCACATCTTGTCAAGAGGATGCAGTTCCAAATCCTGTCATATCATGTTTCAATGTGCAGACGTCAGAGTGGGAGATACCTTCTCCCTTTCTAAGCTATCAGGCATGAGTTCTTCCTTTTTCCCCCAAGCTCAAATGGGCTATCAGGTCTGCAGATTGTGAACCAACGGGCGCACATACCTCAAGTACCGCCTCTCCTCATCTTAACTGACCAAGATCCTGCAGTCCCCACCCCTTCTTCGTGTGTGCCCCCTCCATGAAAGATCCAGAGGGTGGCAACATGAGAATGGGCCTTTTCTGTGGTGGCTCCCCATTTGTGGAATGCTCTCCCCAGGCCTTTGGCTAATTAAACAATTTACGCCCCCCCCCCCCGCAATCTATCGTATTGGCCCGAATATAAGCTGCACCTTTAAAACTGGAAGGAGGGGAGAAAAAAGGGGGAAATACCCGAATATAAGCCGCTCCCTTCCTCGCTGTTCCTGGCTGCATACTGGGGTGGGGTGGGAGAGAGAGATCCGTGTTGCGTTTCCCCTTCCTCGCTGTCTCCCTTCCCGGCCTTGGGTGAGAGAACAGGGGACTACGCATGGGGAGGGCACTGCTTTGCCACGCTCCTGGCACTGTTTGCCCCACGCTCCTCGCTGCATACTGTAAGGTCGTGAATGTAAGCCGCACTTAAACTTTTCACGGTTGGAATTGGGGGGGGAGTGAGGCTTATATTCAGGCCAATACAGTATGTGTGGTGGGGGAGTTGCTTTTGGTTGTTACTGTGGCACAGGGCCAGATTTAGGTTTGATGAGGCCCTAAGCTACTGAAGGTAATGGGGCCTTTTATATGTCCAGCTGTCCTTTGTCAACAACAAATTGTCGCTGTTTTTTGTGTAGAACAGCGGTTTGAATCCCCGCGATGGGGTGAGCTCCCGTTGCTCGGTCCCTGCTCCTGCCAACCTAGCAGTTTGAAAGCACGTCAAAGTGCAAGTAGATAAATAGATACCACTCCTGCGGGAAGCTAAATGGCGTTTCCGTGCGCTGCTCTGGTTCGCCAGAAGCGGCTTAGTCATGCTGGCCACATGACCTGGAAGCTGTACGCCAGCTCCCTCGGCCAATAAAGCAAGATTAGCGCCACAACCCCAGAGTCAGTCACGACTGGACCTAATGGTCAGGGGTCCCTTTACCTTTATATGGTAATTTATGGACCTAATAGGTATCTAAAGCCATTTGCACATAACAAAATATGTATTTTATCAAGGTACATCCAGTTTTTTTTCTCTTTAATTTTTTTGGGAGCCCCCAAGAGAGTGAGGCCCTAAGCTATAGCTTGTTTAGCTTATACGTAAATCCGGCACTGCCCATTACTTACATCATAGGAACCTACACAACACAAAACACTGCTGCTATATGTAGGTTTTGTTTTATTTTATATTTTGGAAATGTACATCCAGTTTTTTTCCCTTTAATTTTTTTGGGGGCCCCCAAGAGAGTGGGGCCCTAAGCTACAGCTTGTTCAGCTTATACAGTGCGTAAATCCGGCGCTGCTATAACAGACGTATCTGTGTTTCTATACTGTACATAGAAATCCAATGTATGAATCAACATTTCATTAGCACACCGCTACCACAATGAAACTAACGGGCTCTTCCGCCATGTCAAAGAAACGGGGGTTTGCATCAGCCCCCTCGGGTGTGATTTGTACACGGAAGGAGGGCCTTTGAAAAGCCGGGGCTCGTTCGTAAACAATGCATTTTGTCAGCAGCCCGGAAAGCAAAGGCTCCTTCCTTCCTTCCTTCGCTTGTCCTGTGCTTGGGGTGGGGGAGAAACAACAGCGGCTCCGCGCGCGCGCTCTGCTTTCCGGGCGTCGCTCGCTGCGGCGCGCGCGCTCAGGACTCACCGGCAGCCGGAATTCCAGGTTCTCTTGCGCCAGCAGCAGCAGGTAGCGCGGAAGACCCGCGCTGGGCAGCGCCATCGCACCGCCGCCGCCTCCTCCTCCCGAAGCCCGCATGCGCGCGGAGGAAGAAGAGCAGCATCACGGCGGGAAGGCGGCGCTTGAGGGCGAGGGGAGGAGAAGGGAAGCCGGGGAAGGAATGGCGGGCGGGAGGAGGGAGCCCGGGACTGGGGGCAGCAGCGCTTAGACCCCCCCAGGAAGTGTCTCCTTCCTTTCTTCTTCTTAAGGAGATCCCGTCAATTATATACACGTGCTAGAAAAGCGACCGCAGCCTGCGCCACGGGATTAAGGTGAGGATGTTTGCAATCAACATTCCTTTCTATAACACTCGTTTTTTCCACCGCGGAGTGGAAGAGAATGTGTAGCATTCCGCTACTCGACATGCATCCTTGTCATCAGCTGCATGCAGCGCTTTGAAAATGCGATTCCAAGCAACGTGCATTTAGTTCGTATGTAGGAATCGGCGCCATAGGAATCAGTCCGACTTCTTATGATAAATATGCTGCTTCGGTAGATGGTTTGGAGGCACAAATAGGCAAGCGGCTGCAAAGCCTGAAAACTTAATACAGCGGCTGTCAGTGGCGCACACGCAATACGTGTGGATAAAGCCGAAAGCTAAGAAGCCAGCTTCCAAAATGAGCGCCTGCTGTTTTACACAGGCTTATCATAAACTAGTTACCTGGTGAACATGCATTTAGCTACATGCTAATTTTCTAGAAATCTGAGGACTTGCACCCATCAGAAATTGTTTGCTGCTGTTCATGTACAATGAATTTGCACTGCAGGAGTGCTGGAACCTTTTTACTACTGTTATAGAAACACGAATAGTTAAGCTGATGGTGGACTGTTTCCATTTTCTACCTATTAAAGTAGGGGTATTGAAGACTGCACCCACAAGCCTTTACGGAAATTGTTTTTATATACAGTACCTGGTGCTATCTTATATCAAATGGAATATTTTCTGTAGTTAAAAACCTACAGAAACCTCAAATAGAATCTTGTATGTACTTTCCATCTTAAAAAATGCACAGCTGCAGAAGGAATCACCATTCCTTTGTGACAATTCATAAGATGACTCTCTGTTTAACTGTGACTTCTGTCAAGGAAGGTGCTACAAAGAGGTCGACAAGGCCATGCATCGTAATTATTGGCATGCTGCAGAGGTGACAATTCAAATTTCACTCACAGAAAAGAGGAACTCTACAGGATAAGCATATATTTAAATATAATGTTAGCTTTTCCAAGGGCACATTGATCCAGACCAAGCAATCAATACCTTTGATGATACCTTGAGCAAATGCACATAATTCTTTCACTTGAATATATCTAGCACGTAAGAAAGTTGGTGCAATCCTGTGCACACTGGTAACACCACTGACTATAAAGGGACCTGCTTCCAAATGACATGTATTGAGCCTATAACCTATGTGTATATAAACTTGGGAGTGAGGAGAAAAGCAGAAGTGGGATGGTTAGGCCAAACTGAGTTATGCCCACCTGAAATGTGGGGTGGTTATAGGTCTGTCTGAAAAGTGGAATGGCACCCACCATATCCTACCCCACTGGACCCAAGCTCTATTGAACTTGGTGAATTTCAGTATAAACATGCATAGAATTATGTCTTAAGTAACCAAACTTGTCTAAAGGATAGTACAGGGTTGGCCTACTGTTTTATCTTTCAGGTCATGCAACTATACAGTGAAAACAGGTGCAACAGGCTGGGTATGATCTGAATTGCTATTACAAATAGAAGGCAAGTAGAGCACTATTAAGGGACATGGGTGGTGCTGTGGGTTAAACCACAGAGCCTAGGACTTGCCGATCAGAAGGTTGGCGGTTCGACTCCCCACGACGGGGTGAGCTCCCGTTGCTCGGTCCCTGCTCCTGCCCACCTAGCAGTTCGAAAGCACGTCAAAGTGCAAGTACCGTATTTTTCGTTCTATAGGGCGCACCGGCCCATAGGACGCACCTCGTTTTTTGGGGGGGGAAATGAATAAAAAAAATTATTTCCCCCCCCTGCCGCCGCCGCGGCTGCCGCCCCAAGCCTCGCGTGCTTCGGGCTGCAGGCTACCGCCCCAAGCCTCGCGCGCTCGGCGGGACCTCCTGCCGGGCGCGCAAGGCTTGCAGACACTCGCCCGAAGCACGGGGAGCCCTCCGGAGGGCTCCCTGTGCTTCGGGCGACAGGCTGCCGCCCCAAGCCTCGCGCGCTCGGCGGGACCTCCTGCCGGGCGCGCAAGGCTTGCGGACACTCGCCGGGGCTGCAGGCTGCTGCCTGCAAGCCTTGTGAGCCCGCGGGAACTCCCACCGGGCTTGCAAGGCTTGCGGATAGTTTCCTGAAGCCTGGAGAGCGAGAGGGGTCGGTGCGCACCGATGCCTCTCGCTCTCCAGGCTTCAGCGAAAGCCTGCATTCGCTCCATAGGACGCACACACATTTCCCCTTCATTTTTGGAGGGGAAAAAGTGCGTCCTATGGAGCGAAAAATACGGTAGATAAACAGGTACCGCTCCGGCGGGAAGGTAAACACGTTTCCTTGAGCTGCGCTGGTTCGCCAGAAGAGGCTTAGTCATGCTGGCCACATGACCCGGAAGCTGTACACTGGCTCCCTTGGCCAATAAAGTGAGATGAGTGCCGCAACCCCAGAGTCGGCCACGACTGGACCTAATGGTCAGGGGTCCCTTTATCTTTACCTTTAGAGCACTATTTATGACAAGCAGATGTCTTGTGGTACCTTAGACTTAATGTGTAAACACTACTCTTTAAGATGCTCTAAGGCTTGTTTTTTGTTGTATCAGACTAACATGCCTACTCCTTTGAATATATATGTGCTTTTTTACTACCAATATTAATTGATGCCTTTATATACGACCAAAAATATTGATACAGTACAGTGGTACCTTGGTTTACGAACTTAATCCGTTATGGAAGTCCGTTCTTAAACCAAAGCGTTCTTAAACCAAGGCGTGCTTTCCCATAGCAGCAGGGACTCAATTTACAAATGGAGTCAACAGGAAGTGGAACACGTTCTGCTCCTAAGGCAAAGTTCACAAACCAAAACACCTACTTCCAGGTTTGCAGCATTCTTAATCCAAGCTGTTCTTAAACCAAGGTACTACTGTATACGAATTGGCTAAAATAAATGTGTGTGTTTTTTGGTCTCCACAGCTGCAATTTCAGAGCTCTGCTTTTTGTTATGTCACAGCCTCAATACATAGAAGCAAAATGCAGAGTACCAAAGCTGTAAGAACTGATCTTAGCTCTGTGGGAGAACTGACAAGAGGCTGGCAGAGCTGGTCAGAGGTTCATGCTGATTATCAGAGACGGAACCCCTTCAGCAGCAACAAGCCAGTAACTCGGCGTACTGAGAGAGGAGATCCCACCTATGGGAGGCCCCCCGAAGGCTCCAAAACAGAACAAAGAGGAAAGGATGCTCACACACACATAGGCAAGGAAGTGGAAGAATTATGCTTGGTCATAAGTAATGTTGGAGAGAGAGGGCAAGATGGACAAGTAAGAATAACATTTAAACAGCTCTTTGACAGATATGTAACTATATCCAACAAAGTAGTAGGTGTCCTACTGAGGGCAAGGAAGCACGGCCTCGTTGATTTTGAAGGCGAAATGCTTTGGCAAGGAAAAGATGATGATGTAGTTATCACCTTACTTGAATGAGATGGTTGGATAAGCACGATTTCATGATTGCATTTGGCCACTCCTTTAAAAGCCTTAATCAACAATGTCGGCTGGCCAGGATGTGATGAAGAAAATGCTATCTGGTGGAAACAGGTTAAAAACAAAAATGAAGTAGAAGTAATGCATATTTAACTTGTGTCCATTCACTTTTACATGTGTGAAAATTTAAAAAGAAAAAAGAAAATGGAAAGGAGGTGGGGTTATGGGAGAAATGTCTTCAGCAATTCCACCCACCATTGAATCCAGTGTTTTGAATATACACGATTTTGGATTTAGGTGCGATCCCTGTGCAAGTTGCGGGTTTACGGTACCTGTCATGTTTTTCCCCTCCATGGTCATTGCCTATACATTGTAAGTGATAAGGGCTTATTATAAGACAACAGAGTGATAACTCTTCTGAGTGTACATGAACTGGAAATCTGTTTGGCTGCAAAGTGGATGTATTTCACATGAGTCATGGCACTGGAAATGTAGATGCTAAAAAATGGAAGTGATGTGAGCACATTAAAAATATTTAGCCTTTTCTTGAGGTAAGTGTTGTTATACCACCACTGATACTCTAAAAGTATTTCTTACTTTGCAGTTAGCAACATTTTCCACTCCAAAATGGATGTTTTTAACAGTACAAAGTTTGGAAAAGTAGATGAGTAACTATTTTAAGAGTAACTAGTTTCAAATTCATGCAGAAAAGCTAATTCTTAAAAGTTTGATTTTAGAAATAGTCTATAAACATTCAAATGAATTTGGCAAAATGTTTTCAGATTATAACTAACTTTATGTTGTTTGACTAGATGGCAGGCTTATCATACATAGAGTTCCTGAGATGTTGAAATATAAAGGTACCAGTTCACAAACAATATTCTCAAATTCAGATACAATAACATTCAAGAGGTTCATCTCTACACGTTGATTTTTATTAGCTTCTTTTTCAAACAGTATTAAGGTTGCTGTTATGTTTCCAATGGTACATAAACTCACAATCACAACTGCTTTTCATACATAACACATTTCAACATGGTATAAATACAACTACTACTCCACTAAAGGAAGACATTTGTTGATTATTTTAACCAACAGTAGTTAGAATCCAGACTCAAGTATCAAAACGAATACATGCCAACAAATACGAGGATTAAAATGCTAAAGCCATACAGGAACATAAAGGGTTATTGTATTTTGGCATACTTTGAACACTACGATGTAAAACTGTGCTAAATAATTGGATGTTGCTTTAGTAATGCAGTAGGTACCAGAATGCACAATTTCAGCAAGTGCTTGTTCAAGTTAATTTTTCAGTAAGAAATCCAATTAGATTTGAAATTGTGCTCTAGAAGCCATTTCATGCCAAGTCTTAAAAGCATCTGCAGTCTTGACATTAAGGCTGTGGAGGTAGACTACGAACAAGATAATTTTTGTTGGAAGAGACAACTTAGCTAATGTTGTGGCCATGTAAAGTGGACAAGCAGTATGCTATAGAAGTCTGATGCCTCTACTGATGAGCACTTGGATGAAGGCTTTAGGTAGTCAAATTTGGATAATCTACCCTTATGAATGGGTTTAGTGTTTTATGTTTGATTTTAAAGAAAACAGAACCAGGCGACATTCATGAATTCACATACTAACAAACTCTTTGTTGTAAGATGTTCTGGGTACTTAACTATTGTATAAATACTAATAAATAACCATTCCAAGGTCTGTCTGCATAGTGGTAGTTTCCCACAGTAGGCAATGCCTCCCAACATGCTTAAGATTTCCCAAATATCCAAAGCTATAGTTATGGTTACAGGTTTAGTTTCAGCATAAGCCTCTTATACTTCGTACATCGGATACCTTTCACTAGTAACAAAGTAAAAAGAAACCATTGCTCTATGTAAACTTGTACTGCAATTCCCCTTCTAGCTATTCTTAATTACATGCATTTAACTGGTTACAATTGTTTACAGTGGTCCACATTCAAACAATCTTATCCTAGACCAACATACTAATGGTGTGATGTCTCACGTTATAAGTACAGATGGAAGACATACTCTGGTCACAATGGCTTGTTAAGAGCTCTTGCTGTGCATACAGTCATGTACATGTGTGCGATGAGTGATTTAGCACCAAGACATCATAGCTATCACTAGCATTGCAATGCCAAAAATGTCACTAATGTGTTGTATAGGCACAAACCTCTTGCATTGTTTAGACAAAGAACAGTCAAACCCAGAGGAATATATTAAACTTTAATTATATCTTTTTTTTTTTACAAGATCAGTATTTTCTTTCAGAGAAGGATAGGTATTTTTACTTTCCGATTGGTAGATATGGATGTTCTCGAAAGTGCTCAGTTTTTTCAGGTATTTGCCTGAGACATGTATTGTACAACGTTCTTTAACGATGAGTTCAACCATTGTATAGCAGCAGATTCAAGTGCCATTTTTCACACACCTGGCATATTAACAATTACATCCAACCCTATAATCAGTGGTCACAGTTCACAGAGATGCGTGATCTGGAACAAGTGCTTTTCAGATAGTAGCACTTTCAGCCTTCAGCCGTTCCAAGAGCTGCTCGGCCTGTTAAAGACATGTTTATGTTGCATGTTAATATTTCCCAGAGATTATTTGCTGCCCCCTTGAAACAGGGGAGATAAGTAATAGAAACCACTGAGCAGCAGTACCATTCCCTCACTGCCAGCCTAGATGCCAAAGCATCTGTGGTAACAACTTTCAGGAAGGCCATTTTAGAAGGGGGGGCGGGTGCGAAGCATCATCTACAAAGGGTCCTTTCAAGACCATTTTCCTGTGGTGTCTTCTATTACAATGAAGAAAATATGAAAGATGGCTTCTAACACTTTAAATGAAGTTAGTTAAAATCTAGACATCATTAACAGTTATTAATACGTTGACAGGACTATTTCAAACTGACTTAATTCAATATCAGACAGTAAACAGTAAGGCTGAGAGTTAAAAAAGAGGAGAAACAGTGCAAGTTTTTCAAAAGGGGTAGTCGGGGGTCAGGCACAGTGCCTTGGAAATGGAATAATAAGAATTATTATTATAATAATGGCAGCACCTCAATGCCTTTTGACTGCAAAATGGTAACATCTTAGAATTCACTGGCACAAGAAGTAGAAAGGGGAACCTCAAAGTTTTGCACTGGTGATGTCCAGTTCTTTCTTTGCAGCGGAAGGGAAATGGGGATCACCAAACTAACTGGAATACTTACTGTTATAAACCAGTACGAATTGATTCTGTAAACCATTCGGGACAAGAATCCCAACTGACTAGCTGGAGCTAGGACATGAAGATGTAAATGGGCTATTGAGCAGAACGGAGGCCAGTGAAAACCCATCCTTGAGAAACAGGAGAAAAAGAATCAGTTATCAGCTACTTAGTGTTTTTTTGAATGAAGCATGTGAAAGCTCTTAAGGACTTAAAACAGTAAGCAGGTGTGTGCATCACACTAATACAAAATTCTAAGACCTCCAGCTATTATTTCATACTACATAACCAAATTACATGCACTTTCCTTATGTATTATGCAACTCTATTATAACGAACATTACCATACACTTCCCTTTCTGGAAACATACCTTATATCATTCAAGTCATTAAATTTATTCCGCTGAAGGACAGTCTTTCCAACTGCCATCATTCTTTCCACTGTCAGATCGGGGAGAAAATAATAAAATCAGATTTAAAGCTCATTAGATTTCCGATGCATTGTAGTCTTACCAGCTTAGTCCTAAACTGAAACTAATGCAAACTCTGTTGATTTCAGTAGAATTTATTCCAAAGTAAGCCTGGCTAACTTAATAATGGCCCTCTCTTTTTAACTATAAATAAGCATACATATTATTATGTACAAATTTTAACATTTATTCTTAGTGATAATGTAACCTACAAAAACATAGGCCAAAGCAGGCTGAACCACAAGGGATCTGTAAAGGGCAGATAACCATATGGTGAAAATACCCACAACATGTTGTATGCAAGTTGAAGCAGCTCCTCTTTCCCTTCTCAAACTTCACCTTTGCTTGCTTTTCTACCCAGGTCTAACCTGACTGACAATGAAGACTGTTCCCCACAAATTTGCCCAATGCAGGTTTAAGGACTGGGCAATTTTCTGTGTTTTGTACACTACTTGGTTCACTACTGGTGCTATGCAACACACAGCAAGTGTGATGGACAGCCAGTCTTCAGGCATCCTTTCTGACTAATTCCAATATACTATGCCTAGGATTTGCTTATACCAAGAAAACTGTAAGAACATATTCATGGGGGGAAACGGAAGTCTTCGGCTCCACATAGCCGTATGCTGCTGGCATGTAAGGAAGAGTAATGGCTCCCAGATTAAGTTCAATCCAAGCGTAGCTGCAAATATGCTGGATCCCTGGTGCCAAACCATGCAAGCTGAGTAAGCATTCAGACAGAACTTAGCATCCAAAAAAGATCTCAGCTTCCATTAAAAACCACACACGGTCATTTTATACCCTGCAAGGCTTAAATGTGGGTGGTCCGTGTCCTGTGAAATCCCCACAGCAATAGGTGTGGGTGGGTGGTACAGGGTATCAGTCAGGAGTCATCAGGGAGTGGGACATCAAACAGAGTTGAAATGGCACATGGGTGGGTCAAGGCTACCCAGAGAATCTATGACAGAAACTCTGGTTAAGACCCATATCTGACAGGATCCAGTCCAATGCTGTGTCGGTGGCCACCCTAGAAGTAGTTTCGTGGAAGAGACACTTTGAAAATAGGATGGAAGATGGCGGACATGTCTCCTTGTCAATCCCCCAAAGTGACTGCTAGCAAGTTGCCACAGCTACTGCCTTCTACCTCTTGGTAAGCAACAGGGTGGGGCGGGTGTATGTGTGTGCTGGGAAACCCAGCCAGATGGGCAGGGTATAAATAATAAATTATTATTATTACTTGCAGTACAGATGGGATCCAAGGGCTCCAGTTGTTGAGATCCGTTCTAACTGCTAATTATATAGACCCTTGTTTTGCAGCTAATTGCATTCAACAATAACGCACTGTTGTTGTTATGTTTTATTCATTTACTTTCAGCTCCAGTATTCTGAGTGCTCGGTCCAGACTTACCTAATGGTATATGCTCACTCTTTAGAGTCTTGCAATTTCCTATATGGTTTTTTGGCACCACTAAATAATGATGGGGAGCTCCAGGCCTGATATCTCTGAAGCACACCAAGTCTTCATGCTAAAAAATGAAGAGAAGAAAAGCTTGATAATAGCAGGTCGTGTAAGAAACAGTTTTGCAGGTACCCATCTGAGATAGCCATGCATGTCAGTAAGTAAAGCTAGCAAGCTAGTACCAACCGACAATATTAACTGTGCAAGTGGCTTCAGCCTTTCAGATGATCAGTCTGAACTATGGGATAACAGTAGAAGCATTCAGACGTATCATCTCCTTAAGCATACAAAGAACATTTGTCCCAATCCCCAATTTTTGACACCTATGTAATATTAATGAGTTCTCATACAGACTGATGGATATAACTTAAGTAACACTGGAGCCCTCATTTGTTAGACCACTTTGTAGGCCAATATTTGTAAACCATGCAGCAACACCTAACAACATTTTTAGTCCCATCAGAGCCATGTTCCAGCAGTATCAGCCAATCCCACACATTTATTTTTCTTTCCATAAAATGCCACTCTCCATTAACCCTGGTTAAGTAGGCAGGGAGAAAAGTTGGGGGGAGGGGAACCTGACTAGCATATAGCTGCAACAGGAGATGTATGTATGAGGGAAACACAATTAGGATGATGTGTGAAAAGCAAAGGGTGAAAGGATGAGGTAATGGGAGAGAAGCAGAAGTGGGTTAGCACTTAAAGGACTGAGATAAATGAATCATGTTTTCACCCGCAAATTTCTAGCACATTGGGGGTTAGAACGCTCTTTTTGCTTAAGAAGCACATATATTCTATTGATGTCATTATATAAACAATAATTCATGTTATCTTAAGGTTACTGATCCTGGTATTTATGATGAGAAGTGGTGTGCAAACAGTAAGAATAAATCCACAATTGAATGTGGGCTGGGGCTGAAAACCAGAGGCCAAGCTTCTTTTCACTATCCCAGTTTATTTATTTGTGTATTTAATAAGCTTTTGCAGAAAAGTCTTCCTGGGCAGTTTCCCAAGAGAAATCATGCAGCCATAAAACCTAGCACACTATAAAATGAGGAACAGCCTAAAACCCATAGAACAAACAGCACCAGCAATGGTGCAACCTTAAAAGCTTCAAATCCATAACTCTTTTATTTTTAATCAAAGAGTAAGTACGCAAGACCTGGTGATGGACACCGGCTTTAAAGGTTTCTCACCTAAGTCTATCAATGACTATTAGCCATAAAACCTCAATGGAACCTCCAGCTCCAGTGGCAGTTGCCAAGAAAGAGGAGGGCAAGGAGCGAGTGGGGGCTCCTCGCTTCCATGCCCTGCAAGGGAAAACGGGGGGTTGGTTGCCCACCGTGGGAAGCGGGCTGAGCGGGGCTAGAATTTGAAGGGAAGGCGGGGGCGAGCAAGCGGCCTTGCAGCTGTTGTCGGACTACAACTCCCATCGTCCCTGGCTACTGGCCACGCTGGCAGGGGCTGATGGGAGTTGGAGTCCATTCGCCCACCCCTAGCACAGGATGAGCCTCCAGCCCGAGCCTGAGCTCTACTTCGCGGCTCGGCTGCAGCCTTTGGACGTGAGGATGTGAAGCACCCGCCCGACTCACCTCGCAAGGCAGCAGCTCCGTGCCCGCCTCCTCTCCGTGCGTGATCCGGCAGAAAACGCACTTGCCGTCGTAGGCAGCGCCGCCGCCGCCTCCAGCGCCCTCTCCGCCAGCCGCGCCAGCCTCTCCGCCGCCGGGACTGGGCTCCGCCGCCGGAGACGAGCCCGAGCTGCCTCCTTCCTCGCCGGCCATCGGGATCCTTTTCTCGGGCGGCCTTTGGCTGGGGAAACGGGGCGGACCGGTCCTCGAGAGACGGGCCCGCCCAGCGGCACAGGAGCTCCGGCGACTCCGCCCTTTGCCGACCCCGGGTGCGCGCAGGCGGAGCGCAGGCTGCGGCGCAGCGCGGAGGGCGGTCCGCTCCCCTTGGCCCCGCCCCGGGCTCCGGGACGCCGCCGCCGCGGCGACGCAGAGATGATTATCGGGGAGGGATTGGAAGGAGTTTGCGCCCGATCAAGGAGCGCGCAAGTAACCAGGTGCAGGCAGCAGTGGAAGGAGGGGTGTGGCATGATCAGAGCAACAAGAGAGGGGGATGATTTGGTCATCAGTAGATTGGCGTCAGAGTGCAAGTAGATAAATAGGTACCGCTCCGGCAGGAAGGTAAACGGCGTTTCCGTGTGCTGCTCTGGTTCGCCAGAAGCGGCTTAGTCATGCTGGCCACACGACCCGGAAGCTGTACGCAGGCTCTCTCGGCCAGTAAAGCGAGATGAGCGCCACAACACCAGAGTCGGTTACGACTGGACCTAATGGTCAGGGGTCCCTTTACCTTTAGATTGGCTAGACGGGAAGCAACGGAAGATCAGAGAACAGAATATTTCAGTAGTCTAAGCAAGAGGTAGTCAGGGTGTGGTGGACCAGAGTTTTTGCCTAGTGCACAGAGAGGAAGGGCCATAATCCTGCAAAGTAAAGGGGAAAGTAACATGTCTAGGGACTGGGCGCGAGAGGCAAAAGAGAAAGGGGCAAAACCCCCTGCCTGCCCAACAGAATGAGCTGGTAACATTGCCATGGATTGGGCAAATTAGCAAAGAACGAACGAACAAAAGGCAAGCTCTCTTTGTTTACTGTTGCATTTCTATCCTGTTCTCTTTCTTCGTCACCAAAATTAAACCAAAATTGCTATGAGTGGAAACGGTGATTAAGACCCCAGTTCTCCTGCCTACTTGGAAATAAATCCCATTAAACTCAGTTGAATTCGTTTCTGAATAAATGGGCCATAGGACTGCACTGCACAATGTGCAACCCCTGCTTACCTTGCAAGATGTTGAATACGAATCCTATGTGTGGAGGGTACACAGGAGTCCTTCGTTTCCAATGGCTTTTGATTCATTAAGCATCTTCACTAGTGAATAGGGCAGGGGACAAGGTGAAAATAATCATATATGCAGATGGGTTGGATGTGATATGGAGCACTGCCACTTGGGACACACAGCATCCAAGCTCCAATGTTTTTCCGAAGAGAGTTTCAAAGTGGTTCAGAGTTCAGCGTGAGGAATGTGTAATCCCTTTGTCATTTGTACCAGCTACTCTCTCGCCTACTATTACACATTACCAAATTCCAGAACTAATGCCTTCTTGTTCCAGATGTAGCAAATGCCCACTGTGTCACTAGCAGTTTGATAAAGGCAATTTCTGGGAAAATCCAGCATTTAGAAGTTTGAGTGGAAACGTCAATCATTATCTCTCTGAAGTATTATAGATCAAATATGGCAAGCTAGCCTTTAGTGCTCCCAGCTCTGTCACCTTTTACTATTAAGTCTGGAGTGGGGAGAGAAATTTCACGTCAAACATATGAATGCATAAATTCCTTTATTGAAAATGTTGCGATAGCACTGCATTACATATATTAAATATCCATAGTTTTCTGAAGGGTCACAGAATCTTGAGAGGACAACACTGTTTCGAATATAGAACACAAACTTTAGATATGTTCTGACAAGTACAATATAATGAAATGAACTGTGTATAACAGTAGTGAAATACGTCCATTATTTTTAAAAAAAACCCTTTCGCTTACAACCTGCAAGTGTCTCATCCTTGTTAAAACTGTCTTTCAAGGTTCCCTGGAATGTCTCCAAATATTATGCTAATATGTAATGGTGAAAATCTGTCAGAGTAGAACTGATGGTAAGAAGAGTGAAAAATGTATGCTGCAGGTGTTAACAAAATGCCCTAAAGCGGTTTTGTACACGAAGGCTATTACTTCTGTGTAGAGAATTATGTGCCTACCACATGTGATGTTTTCTATCTGCAGCAAGCCCAAATTGTTAGTGTGCAGCACTACGCACTCCAAAGCAGACATGTGTGTGTCTGCCCCATGTCACTTGTGTACGGAGTTTCCTACACAGAAGCAATATATATGTGAAGGAAATTACTCTTTGTAATCTGGATCTGGTTGACCAGGTCATATAGCACAAGATGGATGGTCCCAGTTATTTCCAAGTCATTTGGAATCAATGCTATCATGAGCAGGGGAAGACCTGGTTAATATGTAAGGATGCAGCCTAGGTTGACACAGGTGGCCTTGTGAAGGCATCCTAAAGGGTGACAAGCATAGTGTATTGACCGATACTTTTTCAGGAGCGTAGGAAGTACCGTTTGGTGTTTTTTTAAAAAAATACCCCTTCTCTCATGTTGACTTTATTTGCTTTTTTAAAAGGCTTATCAAGGGCTCCCAAAAGTTTGGAGAATGTCAGCATTTCAGGAAGGAATAGCACTATCTTTTCATATCTTCCTCTTCCTAACAAAATATTTTTTAGAAGTGGCAAATAACCAAAAATGGTTTCCAGTTTCAATTAACTGGCAGCACGTAGTCTTTCTTACTGAATTTGGACCCAGTGCTCTCAAGTACTGCTTCATTATGCCATTAAAAAAAAAATAAGCAGAAAGAAAAGTGACTGCTTAAAAAGCAGACTGCAACCACAGGGTTCCACTCTTATTCAAGAAAGAGAACATTTTCCAAGAAAAAAGAAGAAGGGCAAAGCTAGTCTGGCATGACACTAATAGTTTTCTCTAACAAAGAGTTTCAAATAATTCATAGGGCACCGTTTAAGAATCTGTTTTTTGCCCCATAACAATGCCACTGTTTCAAAAGGTATTTCTTTATTGTTAAGCCTCTTAAAAAGAGGATCTGTCTCCAGCACGCAACCAGACAGCTGTGTTTGATAATGGAAACTGACAATGCACCGCTTTCCAACAATCCAAAGTAATGTGTTCTGCCCAAAAACAAGATTCCTAAAATAATAAGAACAGAGCAACAACAAAGTCTTTTACAAAAATTAAAAAAACCAGCAAAGTATAAAAAATACCTAAGAAATGAAATGATTCATCACCACCGCTTAAGACATTTACTTCAGTCAATAAATCTTCCTAGCAAATTTTGAAATTAAAATATTAAAAGAAAAAACATGCCTACTACATTTCATAAAAATGTACTATACAAACAATAAATACGTTCCTTTAATAATGCTCCCTTTAAGTGCTGTATACTGATTTGAAAGACTAACCCCCTTTCTCATGGAAACCATCACTATACGCAGTAGAATTTGCTAACCCAACTTTTACTTCTTTTTGGTTTTCATGTAAGCAGAATAAAAATACACATGGAATGTACTATACAGGTCTATGTTTTTCCACCAGTATTCTTTCACAGTTACAAAAAATAATGAGACTGCTTTAAACAAACTTGTATATCGCAAATGCCTTCCATAAACATCTTGCATCCATGCTGTAAGATCACCAGCAGGGCAGAAATACGACATAAATGAGGTCATTTTTAAAAATGCAATTAAGTCTTTCCACTTTTTGACCTAAAATCTTCTTGTGCAGCCAGGCTGTGACCAGATTTCACGGGCAGGAGAAGCATGTTCTATTGTGAGGCAAGTCTACATTCCAATATTCAACATCCATTGAGTGCTCAGTAAACTTTTTAAGGCAGCATGTACATCACTCAAATGTCCATACTTCCACATCTTGTATGACAAAGTCTTCTTTTTTGGATAAGATATCATTATTGAATGTGCTGCAACAATTGCTCCGACCATGATATAAATCAGCATCTAGCCATAAACCAAACCTGCCACTGCAAAGAGAAGAAAATTAGCTGAAAACTTTGATTTATTCAGTTTTGATTTATTAAAAATGATGACACAAGTTGCCCAATTTAACTTTCTGTTTCTTTCAGCTAGAGGGTTAAACATTTGCTTGGCCTTCTTCTCATGAAGTCAACACGACTTAAAAACCTTTGGTTGAATCCTCTGTTGGCTTTTGCCCCGAAGCAGACAGGAGAGGATTGTTGCTTTTTAAAAAAGGAACATGTCAACATGGCCTTTTCCCAGATACAGTCATACCTCGGGTTGCGAACGTGATCCGTGCAGGAGGCACGTTCACAACCCACAGCGTTCGCAACTTGCAGCGCCACGTCTGCGCACGCGTGTGATGCGATTCGGTGCTTCTGCGCATGCGTAAAGCGCGATTTAGTGCTTATGCACATGTGCCGAAACCTGGAAGTAACCTGTTCCGGTACTTCCAGGTTTGGTGCGGTCCGTAACCCAAAAACGCGCAACCAGCAGCGTTCGCAACCCGAGGTATGACTATATATGGAACCTGGATATAGGCTTCTGCACATGTTGTGTGCATGGTTCTTCTGACCTCAATGGACTGGGGCAAAAACTCTGGTGGTTCTTTTATTTACTGTCCTGGATTATTTAACTGAAATAAATAATTAAAGGCTGCAATTCAGTGACAGATCACCTGCTTTGAATGCAGAAAGTTCTGGGTTCAACCCCCGACATCTCTAGGTGAAGCTGGGAGAGTCTCACCTGAAACCCTGGAGAGCTGCTGTCAATCTGTACAGACAATACTGAACCAGATGAACAAAGTGTCTTAACTATGCATAAGGCAGCTTCCTATATTCCTTTGCCTACAAGTCAGTGCAGCTATGTGCGCAAGAGCCATGCACACATTCAGAGATTTTGTTCACGTCAAGTTCTGATGGTTGAAGAGATTAACCCATTCTTAAACCAAATAGCAGTTTTTGCCCTTTCAGCAAAGGAAAAGGTTGCCCATAGAGGGTTTTCAACAATATGATTAATAAAGAAACTTATTCAACTTACTCTCCACCACCAAGTTCTAAGGAAGTTACATCTCCGTTGATAAAGTAGGTGTTTTCTCCACTCCACTTAAAGACCTAAGGGGGAAGAATATAATATCATAGTTATTCAACACAGTTGCTTGCAGCTGTGGCAGGATGACAGTAAGCACTTGTTGGGGGGAGAAGTGCAAGAGACACATGGTTTGTGTCAAAAATTCACCATCTTTGCCTTTGATGGAATAAGGGCCTGCTCCTGCTCAGAATAAGAGAACAAGGGAAGCGTTCATGGTGAGTTCTGGCACCTCTTTTTCTAGAAAAACAGCACTGCTCAAGACTTTTTAGGTAGAAACATTTTCATTCCTTGAGAAGCATTCAACTTTCCCTTACAATGGCCCCCCTGAGAGGTGCCAGAACTAAGTTCTGGTGAGCTCTGGCTGGAAAAAAAAGCCCTGGTCTTAAGTAAAAAAAAAAAAGTTGTCCCAAGCACGTTTTAACAAGAAGCATTAACCATTCCCTATGGTGATTCTGATATAGTCTTCTTTTTTCTTGAGTTGTTTTTGATGCTCTCTATTTTTGTGACAATTCATGCTCCTAGGTGTGAATCTTATTAAAAGCAGAATATTTTGCAATGTTACAATGTGGCTGCTTTCGCCTTCCTCATTTTTCTGTTTCCCTATTGCAAAAATTAAGTCAGCTATTCACAATATTGACAAGTCACTGTAGCTCCTACAGTCTTTTATGTCCTCTTTTACATTCCATACAACCCACAGAAGATTTGTACAATTTCCGCCTGAACAGCCATGTTCAAAAAATGCAGCCTCTGTCAGAAAATGCAACCTTTCCTATTTATTTTATGCGGTTCTTCCTTCAAGAAGCCCAGACTTACATAGGATCCGCTCACATCCAGACACCAACAAAGCTGAAGCTTGTTCAGCTGTGCCAATACAACAGCATCAGTATATTTAAGCCCTTTCATTGGTGTGCTTATTAATGTATTCAGAAATGCACCTTCGAGCTTTTGTACAACTCTCAGCATCATTTCACATAAACAAGCATATGGTGTAAGTAAAGTGTGAGGACTATCCTCAGTGCACCTTACCTTGAAAAGAGGATCAAATGTGTATAGGAAAGTTTCTCCAGTGCCATAATAGTGATCACTGAAGTGGAAAGGATGCGTTGCATAAGCCCCAAAAACCTGCCAAAACAAAATTACGATTATATTGGAAGATACTTCCCACATTTAAAGGCATAAACATTCAAAAACATTTCAAACAAGGTTACTGTTGTTTTTACTTACTTAACCAACCTATGAAAAGCAAACATCGATGAAAATTTTCATATCCCTTAAGCGTTGGTCATTTATTCTGTATTTTATGATTTTAAAAAATTTATAATATGTTTCAATGATTTCATTGCATGCACAATGGTTTGTAATGAGTTGGTAGTTTATAAATATTTGTAAATAAATATGACTGCAGTTCAGAAATGGATAAGGAGACATAGATGCCTTCATTCTGCTGAATTATCAGGAGCTGAAAGCTCAAACATCTGCAGCATGCACACATGTAAATAGCCCCAATAAAAGGCCCAGAGAGGTTCTATCAGTCCTCTCACACCTATCTTAGTGTCAGTTTTCAACACACAGATTGGCTTTTAATACCATCCTTCTGGACATTCTTATCCAAAAGCTGATGGAACTATACCTTTCTTCTACCATCTGTGACTGGATTAAAGACTTTCTGAGGGATCGGACACAAACAGTGAGGACTGGGCCTGATACATCTACCTCCCTGAAGCTCAGCACTGGCACCCCACAGGGATGTGTGCTGAGTCCCTACCTGTACTCGCTGTATACATATGACTGTATTTCATCTGATCCATCTACTGCAGTTATTAAGTTTGCAGATGATACTACCATAATGGGTTTAATTACAGGTGGAGATGAATCAGCGTACAGGGGGGAGGTTCAAAAAGTATCTACATGGTGCCTAGACAATAACTTGCACCTAAATATTAGCAAGACAAAGGAGATGGTGTTGGACTTTCAGAGGAAGAGAGGGGAACTAGCCCATTGTATATCGGGGGGGTTGTGTGGAGAGAGTCTCTTCCTTTAAATTCCTGGGAGTTTACCTTAGTGAAGACCTCACTTGGAAAAACAATATAACTCAGGTGGTTAGGAAGGCCCAACAGAGACCACATTTCCTCAGGGTCTTGCGAAAGAACAATGTTAAACAACAATTGATGACCTCCTTCTACCGGTCCACAATAGAAAGTGTCCTCTCATACTGTATCACAGGGTGGTACGTTGGCTTGACAGCCACGGACAGAAAGTCTTTACAGAGGGGGGTGAACACAGCACATGATATCATGGGCTGTCCCCTGAGCCCACTAGATGACATCACAAGGGATCAATGCCTTAGGAGAGCGAGAAAAATTCTCAGGGATGATGCACACCCCGGCCAGCACCTCTTTAATCTTCTACACTCAGGCAGGAAATATAGAAGTATAATCAGTCGTACCAACAGGCTAAAAAACAGTTTCTATCTGTGGGCTGTTAGGCTGCTGAACGGAAAATAATATAGTGCAACTGACTTTCGGGGTTGGTGTGTTGTGTAATAAGATTGAGTGTTTCTATGGGGGGGGTGAGGCTTGGTTAATTTCATTGTACACAGTTTGTACATTGACAGTAAAGGTATTATTATTATTATTATTATTAATTTCTCTTCTTGTGCAAAAGTTACAAGTATTCTAAGTTGCTCCTCCATCTAAACCCCTAGCAAAATCCAATGTAGAATGAGCAGATGTCCACTAGGGCAACAGGGTTTCCATTCCAGCCCCTGCATGCCCCAAAATTGCTCTTGAGAGCTGGAGAACCTTCCAGAGCAGTTTCTGGGGTGCACGCTGGAGGATAAAAAACCAGAAGTCCCATTGAAAAGTGGGGCACAAGCAGGCAGACATAATTAGATCTCAACCATTTTAAGACAGAAGAACAATGGCATCAATAAACTTGTGCTTTTTTATGCCAATGTAATCTAAAAATGAACATGAAGCAAAAGTACTTTTCACACTATGAAGCACTCAGATAACTTGAAGCCATAAGACAGAGATCAATTGCGCTTTTTGTTAACACAAGACTTATTTTAAGCTACACTCCTACTGAAATACTTGGAAACAAGAGGGAAAACAAAACACAATTAAACAGGATTTGTTGTGGTGCCTAACCTGATTGTCCATGTCTTTGATGACAAGCAGGACAGGGCTATCAAGAGATGCCGATTTACGATACAGTGTTTTCAAGCTGGTTCCATGTTCTTGTGTGCTGTAGACTAGCCTCCAGGGATATCCCTGAACCCTTGCTGGCAGGCACTGGGCGAGCTAGAAGATAAAAGAAAGCATTGTAGTTAGTGTAAAATGCAACTGATGTGGCACTAGAAATTTCATTCTGTCCTGTATGAGAACTGAACAGTTCAGCCTATAATCAGAGCTGTACCTCTGTACAATGAGGTGCAAGAACAAGTTCCATAGGACGGGGCTCCCTGATTGCCATTTATAAAGCATCAAAAATTAATATGGATTGCGCAAAATTAAGAAGTGTTTGGATTTGAAGAAGAGTTTGGATTTGATATCCCACTTTATCACTACCCGAAGGAGTCTCACAGCGGCTAACATTCTCCTTTCCCTTCCTCCCCCACAACAAACACTCTGTGAGGTAAGTGGGGCTGAGAGACTTCAGAGAAGTGTGACTAGCCCAAGGTCACCCAGCAGCTGCATGTGGAGGAGCGGAGACGCGAACCCGGTTCCCCAGATTATGAGTCTACCGCTCTTAACCACTACACCACACAAAACATGTTCTGATTTTTTATATATATATATATATATACATATATATATATATATATATATATATATATATATATATAAATATAAATATATATATAAACACACACGTATATATATACACACACACATACATACATTCTCCCCTTTATAAACTTTACCTGTTCTATATGCATATTTTCTAAGAGCACACTCTGGTTTTTTAAGACAGGCAAAGCATCTTCATCTTCTTCACTGCATCGATCATCTTCTTCACAATAGCTGCAAATGCTCTTTCGCCGTTTTGCCTCTTCTACAGTAATAATCTAAAAAGGGTTTTAAAAAGAGATACTTTTTTTATACAAAAGTCTGACAATAGTTTTATTCCATAATGCTAGATCAGTGGTACTCAGATGTTTTTATAAGAGAGAAAGTGAAACAGCACAGGGAAGGCTAGGGAAGCAGAAGAACCATCTAGTCATACTTTTTGGGGGGCATACTATGTGCATCTTGAAATTTACTTATTTGATTGATGCAGTACACAGTGTGTGAAAAGAAATGTTCTATAAAAGAGCAAACTAATGCCCAGGTAACAATGGCACAGCTCTATCTCATTCAGAACAGGTTTACCTAGTCACGGGCGAAAATTAGTCAAACAAAATTGTGAGGGAAACACAGTAAAGGGCTGCTTTTAGCACCAGCTATTCCCCCCACCCCACCCTTTCTTTGGAGCAACTAAGTTTGTAAACAGTACCACAAACTAAATATCTTTCACTAAAATGTGCAAGAATTAAAATACTTAACTTTGGCTGGGATTGCGCTCTTACTTTTTAAAATGGGAGGATAAAAGGGGAGGCCTAAAATAAGAATGTGTGGCTGGCATTCCACTAATAGTGCTAGGGGAATGTGATTTCTCAAATCTGTTCCACAGCATTCAGGGAACCTGTAGAGGGGGAGGAGAGGGGTAGAACATTCTACTGTGCAAGGAGAAATCCTTGTGCTGATGGAACAAGTGATTAATCCCTATATTGAATACAACCCTATGCCCCCAATCCAGGCACCCTGAAGGGCTCACAAACCAAGGAACAATTCTCTTGTGTTTGCTGTGATCTGTACAAAGGGACTCCTCCGGATTATCTAGCCAACAATAGTCAAATACTGTTAACTGGATGGCAACTGACTGGCCTTATAACTAAGCCTAGAGGACTCTTTTGACCCTAACCTGTAAGATCCATTCAGCAATGGAAGAAGTTGCCTTATTTAACATGTATGGTAAGGAATTGTTCTGTAACGGGCAGAGAGTTCTTAGAGAGGATGATATTATAATGCGGAGGAGTTTGCTCTCTGGCTTTTATCCATGCCACCACATTATTCCAACCACATGGCCTCTCATAGAATCACATCAGATATGACTAATCTAATAGCTAAAGGGGTTGTTTTATGGTAATGGACATCCATATATATTGATCTAATTTGTTCGCTACATTATATTTGACTGTCAAAGAAAGAGGACAGTGTAAAATAAACATGGACATTTATTGGCTTATGGTCAAATTAGGTCATCGTATTTGAAATGTTTTCCATTACAGCTCCTATGCTGTGACCCTCCAACTTCTACTACCATTGTAAAAATGAGGGAAATGTTTTTAAAGGATTTACTATTTAGATAGCTTTTTGTTTGATGGAAACCTGTAATATACTTTTATTTATTTTATTTCATTTTTTTTGGTCATGTTTCAGAATAAAAGCCTGCTCGAGGTAGTTCAGTCATAAAAGCATTAAACATTAAAACAACTGCAAAACACATACCCCAATCTAAATTAAACCTAATAAACAACTTAATGTGATTTAACACCTCATATATGCTATTTGTCCTTCAGAGGAGTGTGTCTGCCTTTTTCAAGTCCAGGAAGGAAGTGCTCAGGGACAGCTTATGGAAATACTCGAACTGATTAATTAAAATCTCAAGGTACAATACTGAAAACAAGATAAAAACAATGAACAGAAAAACAGAAGATAGAAGAGCCAGTATGTTTCCCAAATTGGAAACAAAATGTTGACTATGTGCACCTGCAATTGAGATGCAAAATATGTATTTTATTTGCATGTGAAGAGGCAGTTGCATACACATTGACAGACAGAATTAAAAACAAACAGCAACAGCAGAAACTCCTTCGACAGCTCTTTTAATGCCATAATCCTATACACAGAGAATAAGTGTAACTCAATAGTACGTACTTCAGAGTAGGCATATGTACCAAGATGAGAAATCACAATTTCAACAGAAATGCATTCTACAACAAGGGCAACAACATGATCTCACACCATGTGCAGCACTGCATTTGTCATGCATATAAAAAATGATATGCAACGTATCTTAATTGCAACTACATTTCAATATGGTCTATGATGAGAACAGTTTTATTAACCATGAAACAGCACTCCCATTCTGAACGTTCTATGTTGAGAATTGGCAAACAAAAGAACTAAAAGACAACAACTTTCATTTTAACCTACCTTCACGAAGGGCTCCTGGTCAGGCTTGGCACAGAATATTATTTGAAAATTCACAGCCGTTTCCTTTTGTCTGTCTCTTACGATTTTCATTTTTTTATTACCTTCTGATTTCTCACCACAAGTGAAGCTCCTGTCTCTACAGCTAACTCTGAAACAAGCTGCTTTCTAAACTGCCTTATATACCAAACTTACTTTCGTTTTCTCTAGAACGAGCCCAAGGGCAGCCTGGCAACAGATTCAGCGCAAAAAGACTTTATTGTAAATAGGGTATGAGTCAGATAGCAGCAGCAGTCCATTTTCAGATTAGGTTTTGCAACAACTTTTACTTTTATTGCCATTTCCATGCACTACCTAAACATAAATTTACAGTGGCTCCAAGATTTCACAAGAGCAGGCTCTCTTACCTATTCCCAAAAAATTGCAGGAATCCCAGGATTCTCTTGTACACTCTTTATCACCTGTCAATGCACTTTTCCTCTAAACCCAACTGATGAAACATCCACTGATCAGCATTAGATAAGGGACATCACTTCCTAATAGCTGCAGTGTCCTTTCTTGATTTCACTTATCTCCAGCCATCTCAAGGAACACTTCTCTCTTAAGTAAGGCTGTCATAATAACATTTTTAAAAGGTAAAGGGCCCCTGACATTTAAGTCCAGTCGCAGACGACTCTGGGGTTGTGGCGCTCATCTCGCTTTACAGGCCGAGGGAGCCGCCATTTGTCCGCAGACAGTTTTTCCAGGTCATGTGGCCAGCATGACTAAGCCGCTTCTGGCGCAATGCAACACCGAAACCAGAGCAGCACATGGAAACGCTGTTTACCTTCCTGCCGGAGCGGTACCTATTTAGCTACAGTGGTACCTCAGGTTACATATGCTTCAGGTTACATACGTTTCAGGTTACAGACTCCGCTAACCCAGAAATAGTACCTCAGGTTAAGAACTTTACTTCAGGATGAGAACAGAAATCGTGCTCCGGCGGCGCAGCAGCAGTGGGAGGCCCCATTAGCTAAAGTGGTGCTTCAGGTTAAGAACAGTTTCAGGTTAAGTACGGACCCCAGGAACGAATTCCTGGGTTCAGGAAACTATATGTCTATCAAGGGACCATGCTAATAATGGCCAGAATATGTAGAAAAGAATATGGGAGTCTTCCCAAAATAAGCTTCAGGCCACTCCAGATCATACACCCACATATCTAGGATCCTGTCTTCTGTGTGATGGCAAATACCGTAATTGCTTCAACTGATTTCTCTGTTTGGTCTCAATATGCAGTCAAGCCTCCCTCTACCATGCCACCACAGGTCATATGTACCCACAACCTGAGAAAAGTGGGTGGCATTCAACTAAATACAGGTAGTTAGCCGTGTTGGTCTGCCGTAGTCGAAACAAAATAAAAAAATTCCTTCCAGTAGCACCTTAGAGACCAACTACCGTACGTTTGTTATTGGTATGAGCTTTTGCTTGTTTTTTCCTGTAAGACCAATTGCAGTTCTGTTTCAGTGTATCTGAAGAAGTGTGCAGGCACACGAAAGCTCATACCAATAAGAAATTTAGTTGGTCTCTAAGGTGCTACTGGAAGGAATTCAACTAAATAGTTCCACTAGTGCACTGATTACCGCTAGCATGATGGAATTTCTTCCCTCTTTTCCTCCCACATGTTTTCTGCACTATCCCCAATCTGCTCTGAAGGGATGGGGGAATTCTCAGAATAGATTTCATTGGGGGAGGGAAGGGGGCAAATGTTCTATTGTGCAAGGAAGAATCCTTGCCCTGACTGTTCCACTTAGTGCTACGCTGAACACATCCCTATGCCACTTGCAGTTTCTTTAACTAGCTTGTTCTCTTTTTTATCAGAGAGATTTTTTTTTTAAATGCAAGTGAAGATTTTTTTTTAAAAAAACCTGATTTTAAAGTTCAAAACTGATTTAAGATGAATGAAATCAAATCCAATTAAAACAAATTAAAACAGGTTAAACCCATCTTTCTTTAAACTTATCACTTTGCAATTGATATTAAATCAGCATATATAATGTAATCACTTAGGCTCCCTGTCCTGGGTCACAATTTGGAGTAGCCCAAATTTTCCATTACCTCATTTATGAGTATTGCAGTGATTTAGAAAATTACTGTGCATCTCAAAAGAGATAGTCTCCTAGGTGTGATACTTATAAGAATATAAACTGCCAACTCATAAAAATATCAAGGTGGTATACAGTAAAACCATTAAAACCTATTGTATGTAGTAGACCAAGCTTATTTTGGAGTTCAGGGGTATATAAACTCTTGTTCCTTTTTATGCTTTCTGACTGAGTTGTGACTTTTCAACACAAGGAAGAACTTGAAATTGGTAACCAACATCAGCACTGAGCTCAGAAAGTGGAAGGGCACATGGTAAACATCTGTGTGCTCTCACTGCTAGTCTCTATATCCTTCGCATGCGGCAACTTGAATGGCCCAACCAATACGTCATGCATTGCTGCCTTTCACAGTTTCCAGTGCTTGATTAATTCCCTGTAACAATTAACACTTTTCCAGGTATGCCCAGACAAAGCTAGCCCCTCCCATTTTTTGGAAATGGGTAAACTGCTTTCCAGAGTTTAGGCTAAAACAGCATGTCAGAGGAGCACACACACTGGATAAACGGATAGCCTATTGTAGATTTTACTTATTTTAAACTAATGTTTATGGCTGTTATCTTATAGTTTTATATCATCCAAATCAGTTTAATTTTCTGCTCTAAGTCAGAGGAAAGGAAGGACACCAACACATCTTAGTGCCCCGCTGCCAGGAAATCAGCAGCGGGATGGATACCTGCCTACCTGTGGCAACTTGAATGGCCTTTATCCTGCCTTTTGCTTTCCAGCCTTGATTCATATCCTGGAACAATTAACACTTTCCTAGGTATTCCTAGACAAAGCTTGTCCCTCCCATTATTTGGCAACAGCTAAGCCGCTTCTGGCAGTTTAGGCTAAAACAGCAAGTCTGGACCTATTGACTTTTTTAAAAAATGTAATTATCACACACCTTTATATCAATAGCCAACCTCAGCTTCCAGTCAGAGGAATATAAAAACATTTATATAAATGAAATTAAAGGAAATAATAAGGTTCTTTGAATTTTTTTAAGCAGCCCTGTAAAGATTGTGTGTGTGTGTGTGTGTGTGTGTGTGTGTGTGTGTGTCTATATATATATCTTACAAAGAAAATAACTGAATGATTGAGATAGCAATTGTGCCAACTTTAGGCTTCTGTAGGGAAAACAGAAACGACTCCTAATGGTACCTTCCTGTTCATCTCATATGTATACTCACATTCTCTCTCTCTCTCTCTCACTCACTCTCTCTCTCTCACACATACACACACACACACACGTCGTCTAGGGACGGGACACATTCTCACTGCCACCACATGCAAACAACGTAGTAGAACCAGTAGTTCTCTTGCCTCAAAGAGCATCTCCCATTCATTCCTTCCATAGTGTAGTGAGTAGCTGCAGGATCATAGAATCATAGAGTTGGAAGAGACCACAAGGGCCATCGAGTCCAACCCCCTGCCAAGCAGGAAACACCATCAGAGCACTCCTGACATATGGTTGTCAAGCCTCTGCTTAAAGACCTCCAAAGAAGGAGACTCCACCACACTCCTTGGCAGCAAATTCCACTGTCGAACAGCTCTTACTGTCAGGAAGTTCTTCCTAATGTTTAGGTGGAATCTTCTTTCTTGTAGTTTGGATCCATTGCTCCATGTCAGTGAAGCTTAGACTCAAACAGGACAAATTTATCTCCCCAAAGATGATTTTTTTAAAAATCAAATTTTATTTTATTCACAAAATGCCTCAGTCTGGATCAGGATCTCCCTTCATATTGTTTTCCTGCCAAAATTTCCCCCCAACTTCACCACTACCACCACAAAAATCAGGGCACATAGCAGTTTTAGGGAGTGATGTTTGCTGTGAGATTGGCCACCTCAGGGATTCCTGCCTGAGCTGAGAGTTGAATAGGAATTTTCTGCCCATATGTCATACTCCTAACGGGTATAATCCACTAGCTTTCTAACGCTATGCTTTTTGGTACATTTAGTATAGGAGCCACTGTCCAGAAGAGTTATTTGGGTTAGCAGGGATTACGTTCCTCAAGCTACATGTGATTTCTTTCTGAATGTTCTGATTTGCTTTAATGTAACAATGCTTTAATTGTTTTTATAAAACAAATATATAAATACTACTGGGAAGAAATAAACGGGAAAAGGGTTGTTAGTTTTTATCAACCGTCCAAACCAGTTGTTCCAAAACTACACAGAATGTGGGACGGGGGGGTCACTTAAAAGGTCAGGAAAAACAAGGAAATGAACAAGGAAGAAAGGAGCTCTGATGGGGAAAATTCAAGAAGCAGCAGGGGCTGCACAAAATGAGGTTGCAGTTGCCCAACTGTGCATTAAGATACATGTCATTCTTTTATTATTGTCCACTACTTCTTGTCCTTCATGAGCTAATGTGTTCTGAAAATTTTTGTTCTGTATCATAATAAAACAGGTGTTGTGATTTTATGTTGTACACCGATCAGTTTCATTGCTGCCTGGAAGGTGGTCATAAAGTCATTTTGAAATTACAGGGATTTGTATGTGGGGTTTTTTCAATAAATTCCCACTGCAAAAGAAACTCATTTGATGGCAAGTAAATTGAACAATAATTCTAAAATAAAATAAAACACTACTTCCTTTTAAGAATCCTATGTTTTAGACCTGAAGGAATATCATATCCCATTGTTTCCTCAGTTTTATCCAACAAATCCCTCCAAAATCTTTGCATAAAAAATTGCTTCGATAGAGCTGCATCTCTCTCCCCCCCCACCCCCATTTTTAAAAAAAATCCTGAATGTGTGTATGCCTCTGAATCAAAGATTCTAACAATTTATCTTACAGGCAGATGTTGCAAGTTAACATCTGATCCTCAACTACATAACCTGTATTGTTGTTGTTTTGTCCTGTTGATGACACAAATCTTTAACTCACCCTACAAATCCTTTGATTTGTGTGAATTTAAAGTATCTGTCTACCAAAATTAATGGCAGTAATAAAGTGTGTATCTGATCTAGACAATTTTGTTAAACACAAGAAACTTTGCTTCAAGATTAAATAATAAATATTTAACCATATAATTATGTAACTGTTGCTCTGGGCTCCTTTGGGAGAAAGGGCAAGATATAAATTTAATACACAAACAAAATGAAGAGTTTTGCAGGGATGCCAACAAGAACAAGAAGAAATTATACTAACAACTCATAGAAAGATTGTTTCTGTAGTGGACAAATTATTTGACCATGAATGAGCCTCACAAGGTTGCTGTGAAGATAAAAGTGCATGCCCTGAGCTCCTAGGAAGCTCCTAGACATGGGACTGATTAAATGTTTAGGATTTATTTTGCACAAGTGAACCTGAATATATTTGACTGAAATATATTTTGCTAAAATTCATAGTCTTTGTGTTGTATCCAGTTGTATCTCTTTCCCCTGTAGCATATTTTATATAAGTATAAAGTTTTAAATCTATCAATGTTTAATTGTATTTTCCAGTTTTTAGCCATTCTGGTTTTTGTCTGTAAACTGCCTTCAGTCCCATTAGGGGAAAAGGCGAGGTATAAATTATTAATAATAGTAATAACAGGGAATTTATGTCTGGTTTCAGGAGCACTCACTTACCAGGAAATATGAGAGGAAACAGGCCTCAAAATGGCTACTGAAAAATCAGAGTGGAGTGTATATGTATATAATGAATTTATTAGTACTACAAAAGAAAAATATTCTATAGAAAAATGGAGTATTTTCATATTATGACCCAGAAACTCCAGCGGGTGCAGAATGCCGCGGCGAGACTCCTTATGGGGTCTTCGCTGCGAGATCACATTCATCCGGTACTATACCAGCTGCACTGGCTCCCGGTGGAGTACAGGATCAGGTTTAAGGTGCTGGTTTTAACCTTTAAAGCCCTATACGGCCTAGGACCCTCGTACCTACGGGACCGCCTCTCCTGGTATGCCCCACAGAGGAACCTACGGTCTGCAAATAAAAACATCCTGAAGGTCCCAGGCCTCAGAGAGGTTAGGCTGGCCTCAACTAGAGCCAGGGCTTTCTCGGCTGCGGCTCCAATCTGGTGGAACGCTCTGTCACAAGAGACTAGGGCCCTGCGGGACCTGACATCTTTCCGCAAGGCCTGCAAGACAGAGTTGTTCCACCAGGCCTTTGGTCAGGGCCCAGCCTGACTCCCTCCTCTGGCAACCTGCACAGAACTTTGCTTAACGGTTGCCATTAATTTGATTTTAATTAATTTTTATAATGAAATGTTTTAGAATGTTGGATTATTTGATTGTTTGATTATTTGTTTGTTGTTAGCCGCCCTGAGCCTGGCTTTGGCTGGGGAGGGCGGGATATAAATAAAATTATTTATTATTATTATTATTATTATTATTATTATTATTATTATACAGGAACCCAAACATACAAAATACAGTAATTCATTTTATTATATTTGGAGTAATTTTTAAAAATTGTAATAATATGTTTACGTATTTGTTGATGTATTTATTTGTTGATTTTGGAATTATTAAGTTGAATAAATAATAAATACATTTTTCTTGTCACAAATGCATGTAGTTCTTTATTTGAACTCTACAGTTAACCTGCGATATTCAGTATAAAACTAACATAGGACTGTATTATCCATTTATTCATTGTAGCCGAGTCCATGAAAAGCAGAATTTGTACTTTGTAACACATGGTCCAACCATGTACGCAACCATGAAGACTATGAACTTACTTTAGAAGAGGCCAACGACAGGTTACAATCAGTAGGAATAAATCTCCTTGGCAGCCAGATGTGTTGTTATAGATCAATCCTGCCATGGAGTTTCAAATACTTCTGATTTGAAAACAGATACCACTCACCTCCCAGCTTTTTGTTGAGGGTTCACTGAAGAAGTTGTCTATCATGTCAAGCTCCTCCTTTTCCACCACAACAAAGCCCTGTTCTTTAGCATCTTTGCCATACACATCTGGTGACCACTGTACAAAGAAGGTATACAGGTGATCGACCCTGTGAGGTGAAAGCAAAAAGATAGGGGCTGAGCATTCCAAAACCCTTCGTGGGAGGCAGATTCACTAACAGTAAAACTCTGTGCACATCTTCTCAAAGGTAAGCCCAAATCAGTTAAGTAGAACTTACTCCTAGGCAAGTGTAAAATACTAACACCACTTGCCAACTACCTAAATGAAACTTTTTTGAACATGTTCAGTGAATGTGGCAGCAGCGCTTGATTTTGACCAAATATTTGGTGAGAGCTGGACTGAACCTCAGGCTTACACCTTCTCCCTACTCCTACCTCACAGAACACCCAAACTGCAAAATACTGCAGTTATTCAACATTGAATCTCTCTTATCCCTCGATTTTGAAGCAGCTTTGCATTCAGTATACGGATTCAAGGGTATTCCTGCATTCAGAGAGCACAGGAAACAAACCATTCTTTGAAGCTGCAATTATCAAGTGATAAACATATATGAAAATAAAAACTCATCAAGAGATAATGGGCCACTCTGGCTGAGACCAAAGGCCCAGCTCATCCAGTATTTTGTTCTTCCAACGGCCAGCCAGCTTGTGATCCGCAGCCTGAATTTTGGTTTTCCATGAGAAACAGAGGAAAGGCAGGTGCAATTTTATCTAATTTTTCTGCAACCACTTCCTACCAATCCACAGTGCACTACCCATGATTGAGTTATTCCACTGGGGCAGGGGGAATCCCTCTAGAAATGCAAGTGACTCACTTAATGTCTTTCCACATGATGTGTCACTGTTTCATTTTGTGTCACTGTAGCCTTTCCCAGCCTGGTGAGCGCCAAACAGTTTGGACTACAGTTTCCATCAGTCCCAGCCAACATTGCCAATGGTCAGTGATTTTTGGAACCTGTAGCCCCAAACAACCGGAGGGCAGCAGATTGGGGAAGACTGTTCACAAAATGTATATATCACTTGATTATTTTTTGGGGGGGACACCCCCCCAAAAAAATCTCAAAGCGGTTTACAAATAGGATAAAACAAGAAAATCAAGCAAAAACGACAAAAGTACTTTAAAACATACCAAAGTTAAAATACTAAAACAGATTAAAATTACCTCAACTTCCTAAGTACCTGTTTCCACAACAGATCAACTAGCCTATTTCCAAAGTGATATATCAAGTAACTAATTTCTAGAGAACCAGACAGAAACATAAACCTGCTGAGGGAAAGGCAATCACTTAGTTAAAGACTATCAAATCATAAACATTTTACTGCATGTGAATTCTGGTAGCCAACTATTAATATCGTCACGGTTCTTAGATAAAAAGATAAACCATACAAATCACTCTCATATACACATTTAAGGCAATGAGTCTCAAGCCCTTGGAAGCAAATCCTTCTGGCATATTTTCAAGCCACTGTTTTGGGAATCAAGCATAAGACAATTTCAAGAAACACATATACAGCATTGATATATTTCTGCAAGATACCAATTTGGAGCCAACAGTATATTACCATTATTCTATCCCACCCTTCTTCCCAAAGGAACCCAGGACAGCAAACAACAAAAACAAGAAAAATGATACAGTTATTGTTGTTTCCTCAAATATCCTCACAACTAAATAATTTCAAGGTTCCAGGAACCAACATACTTCTGCAACCACGTGCCTGAGTAAACATAAAGATTTTTCCATTCCTCCTGAATGATAAGAATGAAGGAGGGAGACACACACAGTGTACCAGGGAAGGCATTCCATAAACAGGGAATTACTGCACAGAAGGCCCTATCATGGGTCTGAGAAAGCCCAGTAGCACTCAGTTGCACCACCAGCAGGACCTTCCCTGCTGATAGCCCACGTGAAAACATCACTGCTGTCTTAATTTCAGGGATTCTCAGCTCACTTTCTTCGAGTCAAGCTTGTCAACTGATTAAAGCAGGGATGTCCTAGCAGCAAGAATACTCATCGCAAAGTATTGGAAGACACAAGAACTTCCCACGCTGGAGGAATGGCAGATGAAACTTATGGACTATATGGAATTGGCGGAAATGACTGGCAGAATCCGGGACCAGGGAGAAGAGTCGATGGAGGAAGATTGGAAGAAATTCAAAGACTATCTTCAGAAACACTGCAAAATTAAGGAATGTTAGAGTGATGTTGGATTGAAAATAAGTGGTTTCCAGCTGTACAGGTTAAAGTTAAGGATAGATTAAGATTAAAGATTAAGATTAAAGATGTCTAAAGAAATGGAAATTTGATAAATAAAAGGGAAAAATTTAAAGCTATATGACATTAAGAGTAAGGATTAGGTTTAAAAAAGTTGAAGTTATATATTTTAACATTTTATTAAATTAAAGATTGGGATAAAAAAGTGGAAAAGAAACTGCTGGACAAATAATGTGGACTGGAATACAAAAGAGGGAGGTATGAGGAAGTCCAGAAAATAAGTAATTTAAAATTGGAAATGGAAAAGAGAGTTTGTTTTTAATTGTTATGTTTTATGTTTTCATTGTTAAGTTTTGTATTGTTTTTTGTGTGTGTTGTTATTCTTTTTTCTTTGTTTAAAACTTTAATAAAAAATTATTAAAAAAATAAAAATAAAGCAGGGATGTCCTACAGGTCGATCATGATCTACTGGTAGATCACCGTGAGGTTTTGGTAGATCTCTGGCTCCCTTCCCTCAACCTCCATTGTTGTTTGATTTATGGAAGGGAAGATGGAGCTTTCTCTGTGCTGCTGTTTTCATCCATAGAGATCTCTTTTTTGTGAGTGACTTCACCCCTTTGTCCCTTGCCTTTAACCCCCCCAAAAAACAGCTTTTCTATTTCCTAAAAAAGCTCAACTCCTCTGAGCTGAACCCCCCCCCCCAAAAAACGGGAGGTTTTAATTCTGAAAGTAGATCACAGTCACTTGAGAGTTGGCTATGCCAACTGGCTATGCCAGTGTGGTGTAGTGGTTAAGAGCGGTAGACTCGTAATCTGGGGAACCGGGTTCGCATCTCTGCTCCTCCACATGCAGCTGCTGGGTGACCTTGGGCTAGTCACACTTCTTTGAAGTATCTCAGCCCCACTCACCTCACAGAGAGTTTGTTGTGGGGGAGGAAGGGAAAGGAGAATGTTAGCCGCTTTGAGACTCCTTCAGGTAGTGATAAAGCGGGATATCAAATCCAAACTCTAATTAAAGCAACCATGAGTATGTTCCAGCCTAATAAGTGGGTCTAATTAGTCATTTGGTGCCAGGTGATTGACAGGTGGGTGGACCCAGCCACCTGTCAATGTAGCCTGCAGAAGATTGGCTGATTTTGGATCTGGCCCTGCCCCCACAAGTAGTTCCCCACCCCCAGCTTAAAGCATTTTTATTTGTAGACAAAGGCTAATTGCCAAATTTGCAGACAGGGAATACACAAAGAAACTAGTGGAGAACCTGACAGTGCTGAGTTTCTGGAAGAGGGCGGGAAGAAGGTAGGGAACTGGTCAAGAATATATTTTGTACAAATTTTGCACTGGGTGCAGAAAATTCTCTACCTGTGGTGCTTCCATCTGCAGCTGTGAGTGCTGTAGATGTGCTAAGTGCAAACTTAAATGCCCAGTTCTCCTCATTCCAAATAATCTTACTGAATGGCATCATTCTACAAGTCACACCAGCGGGCGGGCATGAGCTGTGGGTCTCACTCTTTATTACCAAAGCTTAACTTACCATAATCATGTTATCTTGATCAAAGGCTTTAAGGTCTGAAATGCTAAACACATAAAGCCCATGCCAGTCAAAACAAGCGAGTGACCTTGTTAGCCAGCCTTTCAGTGTCACTCCAACTATTCTAAAACAAAGCTTTATTTGTACACAAATAAGTTTGACCAGGTGGTCTTATGGGTAACTTACAAAGGACACAGTCCCTGCTCAGAGAAACAAAAACTCTGTTTTGACCACCACTGCACCTAGAAGGTGGTTGTTGGAAATGCAGCATAACAGTTGCATGGAGCAATGTCAGGACTGGGGAACTGATGCATAATTAACAAGCAATAATTAGCATGATTTATATAGTTACTGGCTGCAGAAGGGTAGGTGCAGAGCCAGATTTAGGTCTGATGAAGCCCTAAGCTACTGAAGGTAATGGGGCCCTTTATATGTCCAGCTGTCCTTTGTCAACAACAAATTGTTGCTGTTTTTTGTGTTGAATATATGCTACATGGTAATTTATGGACCTAATAGGCATCTAAAGCCATTTGCACATAACAAATAGGAGCCTACACAACACAAAGGACGGTTGCTGTATGTAGGTTTTATTTTATTTGTTTTTTATCTTATATTTTGGAAATGTACACCCAGTTTTTTTCCCTTTAAATTTTTTTGATGGTCCCCAAGAAAGTGGGGCCCTAAGCTATAGCTTGTTCAGCTTATACATAAATCCAGCACTGGATAGGTGGGAGAAGAGCTAACATTCTGCTTTATCTTTCAAGTAAAAAGTTATGTTGTTCTCCTCTGCTTTATGCCACCACTCCCACACTGCCAAAATATCAGAAATAACTTTAAGGTCCCTCCCTTCTTCAAAACCAAGGCTGGTACTTTTCAAATGTTGTTGGAGTTGAACTGCCATCATTCACAGCCAGCATTGCCAGTGATCAGGATGATGGACTTTGCTGCCCAGCTACTTCTGAAAGGCTACAAGTTCCCCATCTTTGCAAACAAAAAAACTCTGTTTTGTATGTGCACACAAACTTCCTTTTGAAAAAGAAACACCATGCCAGGCTATGACCCGTAGTCCTTGATTCCAACGTGTTCCCAAATGTATCAAGCCTTACAGAGCAGTGTTTAAAATTGTTGTTGTTGTTTAGTCATTTAGTCGTGTCCGACTCTTCGTGACTCCATGGACCAGAGCACGCCAGGCACTCCTGTCTTCCACTGCCTCCCGCAGTTTGGTCAAACTCATGTTGGTAGCTTCAAGAACACTGTCCAACCATCTCGTCCTCTGTCATCCCCTTCTCCTTGTGCCCTCCATCTTTCCCAACATCAGGGTCTTTTCCAGGGAGTCTTCTCTTCTCATGAGGTGGCCAAAGTACTGGAGCCTCAGCTTCACGATCTGTCCTTCCAGTGAGCACTCAGGGCTGATTTCCTTAAGAATGGATAGGTTTGATCTTCTTGCAGTCCATGGGACTCTCAAGAGTCTCCTCCAGCACCATAATTCAAAAGCATCAATTCTTTGGCGATCAGCCTTCTTTATGGTCCAGCTCTCACTTCCATACATCACTACTGGGAAAACCATGGCTTTAACTATACGGACCTTTGTTGGCAAGGTGATGTCTGGATTCACCTGATGAACTTCCACTTGCACAATGGACTTCCCTGCGTCTCTTGAAATTGACTCAGAAACTCCAGAACAGCATGAAGCAGGACAAAATGATCATTCTATCTGGCAAACTGAAATGTCTGAAAGATGGCACGTTTGTAATAGGAACCATGTACTCTTCCCTACATTGTTTCATTCCAATATTGTACCGGGGGGGTCCTCTCTGGTGGGAGTGGGCAACTTTAATCGTGGCTGGAGAGAGAAGAATTCAATCTCTCCTTCCTTCATGCTGCAGTCCTGATCCAGATCAGGGCCCATCCTTACTCCTGAGTAAATGAAACACATATGCAGACTTGCATAATTACTGCTATGTATTCTTCGACTCAAATCACTCACCACGTTATTGGCTCAGTGTTTTGGTGCACAAGCAGAAGCAAGCAAAGGACTCTAGGGAAAGGCTGCTTTGTTTTCACAGCATCTTTTCACACATGTATTAAATGCATAGCACAGGATACAGACGGAGGGGATTAGATGTGCTGCACCATTGATATTTCAAAGGATGTAAAAACGAGTCATTTAAATTGTAAAACAGAAAAGTGTGTGTGTGTGTGTGTGTGTGTGTATAAAGATGCGTTTCACCAAGTCAACTGATCTCTGAAGCAAGTGCTATGCCGTTAAGACCATGTACCATGTATTCATTACCCCCTCTATAATATTACCTGAACCATAAAATTCCGCAGCAGGGGCTGCTTTGAAATTTGCCAGTGCTTTACAAGCACTGCTAACTCTCTCTAGTCATCACTGCTTTTAACTCACTTGCAAATGGAAAGCAGGCACTACTGCAGAGGTTTATAGATACAAACTACTAGCCTATTATTCTTCAAGCATAACAAGCACATACAAAAGTAACACAGCTTATTTATACCTATACATCCTATGTCCTTTTAAAATGTGGGGTTTTGGGGGGGGAGTTATTGGGTTGTTTTTAATCTCATTACGTATTTTGTGGTTTTATATTTTGATTTTATTCTGTGAACCTCCCTGAGACCTGAGGGAGGTATATAAATTCAATAAATAAATAAATAATATACTTACCCTCTAGAACTGTTGAAATTCCCCATTGCAAGATACACAATGAAGGACTTTCAGTAAGCTGGCTAGATGCAGTGGTACAACTGGGTCAACATAAAGATTCACGCAGAGCAAAGAAGGACCCTTATAAAGCATTCCTCCCTAATGATTATTGCTTCTAGAGTTTCGTGCCAAAGATAAGGGCTCCTCCTATTTCACAATCACAAAGGCAACAGTGGTCAAAGTCGCTGATTAACCGGTTTCATTGTCTACGCTGACAAAGTAAGATATGCTTTGGGAGAGAGCGCTTGCTGCATGTCCAAAGTCACACAGAAGACAGACGTGTCCAGCAGAAGACGCCAAGAACTGCAGCTGTGGCACATTGTACCTTATTGCAAAGGCAGTCATGCAGATGAGCTGCATGATCCATCAGCAAGCTTATCAGCTACATGACCTCGTTTCCAGGATGGATGGCATTGCTAGTCTGTTGCAGTGAAAACAGCCAAGAGTCTTGAAGTACTTTAAACACATCTATATATAAACTTGGAAGGAACTGAATCCATCATTTCGTCAAATGGTTTCATTTTGTTCTTGGAACTTTTAAGAATGATGTTATGGGTCATGCTTCAATATCAAGAGATGTGTTGCAACATAAATAAAATGCAACACAGCTCTTAATAATAAAACATCACCTTGGAACAATTCTAAGAACTCAAATGAAATATCACACACACACAGGAGCTGTGTTTCATTTTAAATACTCTTGCTACTAATGGAGTCACTCCATTAGTTCACTCTTCATCTTTGGAAAAAGTCTAGAGTGCTTCCTTCCTCAGACTTAATCTGCTTTCTGCCAAGTCTTTTCTGGACTATTATTCCCCTTAAACTATTTTTGTCACCCATTTATTTTAGGCTTTCCCCCATTCATTCTTGATGAAGCTGCTTGAAGGTCAAACTAGATGTGAGACGAAACATGCAAAGGCAGGGGAGAAAAAGGGAGTTTTTTATATATATAGTGGCTGCCAGGGAGGGGATTTTTTTTATCAGGACCATTGTGCAAAGAGACAGGAAATACCATCATTTCCTCTACCTTGACTGTTGTGATAAAAACCACCCTCCTCCCCCACTAGCCCACAAAGTTGTCCTGGAGAGAAACTTCCATTAGGTCTTCTCCATGTGCACCTTGGGGTTTCTTATATATATATATATATATAAAAAGTTCAGCTGACATCATCGCAAGTGACACATGTAGCTTCGAATCTAGTTTGGCCTCTGTTACTTGAAATTCTGTGAACATCAGTTGTTGTTTTTAACTCAATTTTTAAGCGAGAAATCCAAACCCCAGATCTGCTAGGATAGGAGTAATTATGCTTGCAAATCTTTTAAAGGTTTGTTTTCCCTCTGTCAGGCTTACACCGGGTCAGCCAGCAAGAGCTACGGAGTTTGTAATGGGGTTTGTGATACTTATCACTAATCACATCACACAGTTACCAGCCAGGCTGTGTTATCACATTCCACAAAGGAAGTAAGAATAAGCTGGATGTGCCTTGGACAGAAGGAAACACCACATATCTGCAGGGACAAACCACCCTGTTCGGTTCCATTTGCATGATGTTGGCAACAAAACAATAACAAGGATATCTGGAAAATGAAAGGCTTCTCTAACAGAAGCACTAATCACACAGCTGGTGGGCAAGAAATGTAGTTCTTATAAACTCCGGAATGGTCCTGAAAAGTGACAGCTTACCTTTCTCGTGGAACAGCAAACCAGTACTCCGGTTGCTTTCTTCTTTTATTATATTGCTGAGCCATTGTGGAGCTTTGAGAAGTAAAGGACTTCCTCATAGGCTTGCCCACTTTGATGCACAGAAACATCGGAGGGGACTTGCTTTTCTCTTCCTTTGAAGGAAGCATATCTGAATCCAAAAGACCACAGAGTTATAACATAGCAAATGGAGCACAGTGGCCAGGCCTGTAGCACAATTTAGCCTTTATCATGGAGTGACTTAAGAAATGCAGAATATGGTTTTGAATTTATTATATTTAAATGTATATTCTGTGAACATTCTGTACTGACTGCCCTTCAGTGTATTTCAACTGCTCTTAATACTGTATTTTAAAATTATTGCAACGCACCCTGCAACATCATGGTGAAGGCCTGGTAGGAAATTATTAGGCTTATTATTCTCAGCTTACATAAATATATATATAAATTGCAGCCGGTTTTCCTCCAAGACTAATTTAAGGGAATCAACAAAAATACTTTGCAGAAAGAAAAGAAAAAAATAAGTTATGATATAATTTCGATACTTTGACCTGCAGAAAAAGAAGTTAAGTGGGTTTTAATGTAGCCCCTACAATTAGGAAAATTCAATTTTTTGACACATTCCCACTTCTCAACTATATTCAAGTCATAAGAAAGAAAGAAAAAAACCAACAGTATTCCACTTCTCTAGAAACAACTGCAGAAAGAGATTAGAATCAAGGGCAGACTCGTTAATTTTTTGTAGGACATAACTGTGCTGTTAAGCAATCTGTAAAAAAAAAACAAGGTTGAAGAGAACTATTGGAAACTGAAAGAGAATTTCTGTCCTTCATTAACATAGGGTGCTACAGTAAGACTATGGTAAGCAGGCCTACCTTCAATGGGCACTTGGATTCTCTGCAGCAGCCAGAGTCTGATTTCAGACTTATTATCTAGCTGAGATGGCAATGAAGAGGCTATTGATCCTTCATGGTCCTTTTTCTCTGCTGTCGCGCCAACTTCTGACGATGCCTCTTTCCTTCCATTAGAACACAAATCTGGACCCTCTCTTTTGCCTTTCACAAATTTATTGGCTTGGGAATGTGAAGAACTAAGGGTGAGGTCTATGCCTCCTGGTATACTGTTCCCGTCTTCCTTGACGTTAGCCTTACATAAGTCATCAGTAGTCTGTGGCTCATCCTTATCTTTACTGAGGTAAAATTCAATAAGTTTGTCTTTATTCAGCTCCTTGTTTGCATCCAGAGTTGTTTCCACCTTATTTGTTGGTGAACTACCCCCCTTGTTTATTTCAGGCACCACATCTAGCTTCTCACAGGACTCTAAATCAAGGACATCTTTAAGAACTTCATGCTTTGTCCCTGATTGGTCACAATTTTCTTTATTTGTTGCTTGCAACCAAACTTCCTTTCTCATTTTAGAGTCATTGGGAACACCAACTGTTCCAACATCTGTGCTCTTTACTTTGCTATCAGTCTGTGATGAAGTCTCTTCCAATTCAATAAAACCATCTTCTTCCAGAAGGGAATTATCTTTGGATAGGTCCAGACTAACACTCTCTACCGAATGTTCCGTGGTACATTCCAAAGCCACCCTTTTTGAAGGCTCGGGAGTGTTGGAGTCCCTTTGTGTTTCCTCCGACTTGGAGGTCACCAAGGAAGAACTTTCAGGAGGTTTAAGTTCAAGATCTGTAGACTTCTCCTTCTCCGTGGGCTTTATTGGTGTGGAATTCAGGGTGACAAAGTTGTCCGCTTTGGGCTTCTTCTTCTCCTTGTTTATGGATTTAAATTTGCTGAAAGGGTTGATATCTTTCTCAGAAGCAAGGTCTTCCCACTCACCAGGCCTGTACAAAGGACAAAGATCCTTTGGAATGTCGCTGTCAGGAAAGATGATGGATGCATATGGAATGTTAAAATGGAGAACAAAATGGTAACAAAATGAAAACTCAATAAATACTAAAATAAATAAACAAAACAAATGGCAAAAAGGAGCTTTCAACTAAAATACACCAAAGCAACATTGAAATAATTTGAAACAAACCAATTTTGCTTCTCGCAAAATAAAATGCAAGCCAACTGAAATAAGTAATTATGGAGTTGAAAGAATTGGTATAACAAAATATTTGTATTTTGAAGTTCATGTTGTGAAAGTGGAGAGATGGATGTATCATTAGGTACTCTGCAGGTATTTTTAAGGCTGAGGGGACAAAAGACAAGACCCAGCCTGAGTCTTCAAGTTACTACAAAAGGAGCAACAGAATGACTATAAACTGTATAATTTCTTTTCTGTGACGGTTTTCAGGCCACTGATAGCAAACAAATCCCATCTCATCAGCTGAGACTGATACAAAAGACTAGAAGCAGACTTAAGAAATCCAAGCTCAAAAACATGAGAAGGCCTCAGAAATCATAAGATCTACAATTCTATTATTTTCAAGCGTCTTGAAATTTTCCTTCTCTCAGCTGACAGCCTTTGAATGAGCCAAGATTCATGCTCTCAAGCTTTTCTCAGCAATCACAAATACATTTTTTTAAAGAGAAATTTTTAAACAGTTCAGCAAACTGCCCAACCTTGCTTCAAATAAATAAACTAAAGCCTGTGCATACGTATAAGCTCTCATTTTCTCATCCAGTATACAGAGATTAATAACGAATAACTTCAAGCCACTGGAAGAATCCCTGTATTTGCAAAGTGATTTCACAACTCCAGCGCTTCTCACTACTGGAGTAAATGTTCAGTTAAGACATGAAGATCCCTCTCATTACCTATGTGGTCATTATATGTGATGATATGAATTATGCAATTGCAGCTGTACCTGTAAAGTAGCTGTATAGCATTATTACCATTAATACAATCATAAGAAGAGATTCAAGGACATTAGTATTAACAGTCTGTCTTCAGAGGAAGATCCTACATATATCTACTCCTATACAGATCAGTCTACATCATTTAATATGCCAATAATTTGGAGCTCACAGCAGTGAAATATCTAAGCATTATCCTTTAATTAATGTTGTGGGACATTCTGCTGAAAAACCCATTCAAATAAAGAAACTAGCCTTACTAGATCCTTGACACTTAATTTCATTTCCCAGTTCCTTTCCCCACCCCCCTTTTCACTGAATCTGTGCTTCTTAATTCAAAAATTAAGATTTAAGGCCAGTTTACATGTCAAGAACAAGAAGGAGGTCCTGTCATCTGGACAGCCCAGGACCTCCATACACACTACATGCTTGCTTGCATGTGGTATTTTCTGGGCAGCAATGTATAAACAAGCTGTGGAGGGCTTTCCTCCCTCCACAAAGAGGGTCACTGTATACAGCCTCACCACTTGAAAAAATGTGTGACCTGGGCCTAGTCTATATCACCATTCCTAATGAATGCAGAACTATTCTGCATCTCCCTTCCCTCCCACCCTCATTAGCTGTTTTGCTCCTCAATTTCTTCAAAGTTCTCCTTTCACTTCCCACTGGTTGTCCTCCACATCCCACTGGTTACATTCAAACATGGTCAACAAAGAATACTTCTTACGATGGCAGGGCATCTTTAATCTTCATGTGAGAGATATCGTTGTAGAGTGCAATTGAAACAACCTCATCCATGGGGCAAATGAGCCCGTACTCTTCACAGCCATTCTCAATTACCAGAGGGTCTGATTTGTGAGGATCAAACATGATGGTGTTGGGAGTGACTATCATGACCCCTCCTACCACACCCTTAAAATAAAAATAAATGAATTAGCACATCATATTTTCAAGACATGTTGTCCCTTATGTTCCCTCTCCCAAATTCCTTATACACCCCTCATTGTCGTTCCCCCACCCCGCCCTTGCAATCATGTTTTCTACCAAAGTGCTCACTCTGAACAGACAACAGGTCAATACCCTACTGATACCAAGCAGTGATAAGGATTCCAAGCGCTCAAAACACATCTATCTTCAGCAGACAAGGCCAGGGTTATAAAAGGGGATCAAGGTATTTAAATTTTATCCTTAGCTGCAATGAAATGGGAGCGACAGCTTGTTAATTAACTAGAGTCAAAATATTAGAATTCACAAGTCAAGCAAAAACCATTCTTCTCTGATCTTGGCTGCTTCCATGAACCTATCAAAGCTAGCAAGCCTCCTTTCTCATGTTAGCATGACTTCATTTCTTATGCTGATAATTCCCAACAGGAGACTTGGATGGCTATAGCACACTGAAGGCAAAATGGCAAATGGCTCTGCCTTAGAGCTTAGGTACATGTAATATGCATAGTCATGGAATAAAAGATTTGGAACACTGAAGGAGGAAGGGGTGAATTTGCAGCAGGCACACAATTGGTAGAAAGATAGTGTAGTACTCCTTCCCTTCCTATGAGGCTTCTCTGTTCCAAATTACCTCCTCTTGCAGCTGCTGTCAACTAGTAAAAGCTGCTGCTAGACCCTAGTTATGTTTCTATGTGCATAATGTGTAGTTTGCTATTGAATATTATGTGCCCAGAACCCCAAGCGCACACACCGGAACCATCTACAAAACAGCCCATTTTAGACTGTGGTCAGCCTACTTAGTAAAGCTAATTTTCAAATGCAAATAGATTTGTAGACAATAAAGATTAACAGTTCCAACATCTGCACACCTTATGATACTCTAATTGTTATTTGCCTATCACACACACACACACAAACACACACACCCATGTTGCAAAATAAATCACCAAAGCCTTCTACCTTGCCATCTGTGAAGTATCGACAGTTCATTTTCAAAAACTTGACAACAACTGGCTCATCTTCCTCTGAGGTGGAAGACAGGACTCTTTGGATTGGTCTGCAAACCCTTCTTGCTAAGTCAGCATCCTTGAATGATAAAGGTTTTTTAAAAAATAAAAAACCAGCAGACATTTGTGTGCCACAGTTCCTTGCGCGGGTGGGCGAGGCCACCACAGATTTCCCATTGTTTGCTTGTTTCTAGCGGCATGAAGAAAATCAGCCATTCAAACAGAGAGCCACGGCAAGCAAACAATGGAATATGTGGCAAATAGCCATGGAACTACTATCAAGTGACCCTTATGACAGGCAAAGTGTTCCCATGTCTATTGCAAAGGTGATAAGCAATTTTACACTTTTCAAGGAAATCAAGAGCCGTAATATCAAAAGATAGTTTATACGCTTAACTGACTAGACGGTGCTTTCTAAACATCTTTATAACGTCTTACTGGAAAAGTAACACAAAAAATCTTGTGCAACCTTAAACTCTAACTAATTTATTGTGGCATGAGTTTTTGTGGACCAGAGCCCACTCCCTGAAAGGCTATGCCAGAAAAAAAGTATTAAGATGCTTCTTGGCTAAAACTGACTCTAACATGAAAGTCTTACCGGAAGTTTATCATACTCTGCATCTGATGAGGAAGGTGAAACAGTAGCGCCAGGGCTTGAAGAAGCTAGTTTCGCAGCAGCAGAAAGAGGCTCACTATCTGGCACATACAGAACCTAGGCCAACCCCCCACAAAAGAAACAAGATTATTACAACATACACTGTGAAGACAACCGATTTACAGAGCATTATTTTAAACCACCAAGATTATATATATACATACATACATACACACACACACACACACACACACACACACACACCTATTAGCTTCTTGAATTTTGTCCCTCTCTCATTGCAGGATAGTGACAATCCTGACTTTCATTCCTGACTTAACACAACCAACTAGTGAAGTGATTATGCACTTATAAATGTGTTTAAAATGACCTTCATTTTATATATATATATATATATATATATATATATATATATATATAACAATATTTACAGTGCAATCCTATATGTACCCAGAAGTAAACACTGTTAATTCAATGCAGTTTACCCCCAATTGAAGGGGTATAGGATTGCAGCCTTAAGCACATATAACTGGTACAGGATTTCAGCCCAGTGCAGAAGTTTTCACAAGTCTGCCTACACCGATACATGCAAAGGGTCCCAAGGTTCAGTTCCTGGCATCCCCAGATGTGTCTGGGAAACACTCTTACCTGAAACCACAGACAGCTGCTTCCAAGCAGTATAGGAAATGCTCTGCTAGTTGGACATATGATCTGAGCATATAAAGTCATGTTCTTATAAAATCAGTGTTATTTTGCATGCAGACAGCAGGGAGGGGCTGTGCCACTCACCTGACTTCTCACCGGCTGCATAACGGCTGCATACCAGGAGGCTGCAGCAAAGTTGGTGTGGTGCAAATTCGCCAGCAGGTGCAACAGATTGGCTCCACCAGCGTGTCTGCACTGTGTCAACTTTATTGCTGCATCACCCCTTCCTTTATTGCTGCGTCACTTTATGCAGCAGCAGCACAGCTCCACCATGCTATCCACCACTGTGCCCGGTGCATGTGGCTCTGAAGCCACTGCATGCCTACGATCACTTACGAGGGCATGGTGTCATCTCCATTGTTCTAGTTATTTCAAAATGATACTAGAAGAGCCTTCTTTAACTAGTGCAGATCACATCTTTTAGAAAATTGGATTTAATCACAACCCGGTTACCTGGCCCGGAACAATTGTGTGTGTGAAGAGCCTGTTGAGTTCCACAAGTTTATTTGGAGTGATGTTAAACTTCAGAGCTATGCTGTTCAGAGTATCTTGGCTTCCAGCCTGAGGGAGGGAAGATAGAAAGATTAAAGTGTTATTGCACTGTCCTCGATCATGCCTGTTTAAAAACAACAAATATAAAACCTAAATTTAAGAAGACCATTTCCTCGATGCAGGGGGGAATAACCAAAGTATGTAGCACTTCAAAAACCACCACACATTTCTAAGTAGGCTCTAGTCACAAAACAAAGTAGATTCTGGTGCACAAAAGCTTCTGCTGTAATAAATTATTAGTCTTTAAAATGCAATGGGACGTGCACTTATTTTTTGCTGCAAGAATTACTGACGGTAGAGGAATGGCAGACAAAGATGATGGACTATGCAGAATTAGCAAAGCTGATGGGGAAAATCCAAAAGCAGAGTGAACAAGCGTTCCAGAGAGAGTGTAGTAAATTTATTCAATATATAGACAATCATTGTAAACACATAAAGACACTAGCCGGGCTGCATTAAATCTTGCAATGTTTATTAAGAGGAACTTTTCTACAAATATGCTTAAAAACTAATATAATATTAAGAAAAATGTAGAATTGTGATGATATAAATGTGTGGAAATATGAGGTAGTTATATAAAAAACCAGATGACGAGATGGAGGGAAGTCGATTAGCTCACTGGAGCTTAAAATTTGCAAAAGTAAATAAGATGTTATATCAATATTAAAAATGGAAAATCAATAAAAAATATTAGTTAAAAAAATACAGTTATTTTTTGCTGCAACTGATTAACATGGCAATGCCTCTGGAAATGTATTTTGGCAGAATGTGTGCAACACTACAGAATAAAGTGGATTTATTAGCTACAAATTACCCAGTCTCTCTTACATGAGAATGCTCATGGCTTAAAGTAGATTCAAAGTTGTTGTTAATCTAACTCCCATTCAAACCCAGAGCCCTAACTTTTCTTGTATGCATTCTCTGGTGCTTGCATTTGACCTCTGGGAGCAGCCAAGATCAATCAAGCCTGCCAACACATAAAAGTATCTTATCTTTGCAATACACGTGAGGCTTGTGGAAAATACTCCCATCTTTTGAATCAGGACTGGAGGGAGAATTTAATTGAAGGAACCTAAGTGAAAACAAACACTCATATACAACAGATCAATCGGATTGGCCCACTTGGGTCTCTGTTTATAGCTAGTTAAGTCAATCCTTTATTGGCTTTACAAGATAAGAGGAAGTTGTATCCAGAGCAAACTTGTTTTCTAACCATTGTACATAATCCACTGAACCACAGCATGTGTACTAGAGCTTGAGCATGTAACAACGTCTTGTACTTTTCACCCCATTCCTTCTTCTTGCTAATCTATTAATTTAGAAGCTTCTTTAGAACAGACCCTGGAGCTTTGTGGACAATGAAAACATCGATTCTAGGTGCAGTGGTGATTTTTTATAAAAAGACAAATCTGATTGCTAGAGATCAGAAAGGCTCCGACAGCCACCACCTACTCATACAGTCAAGGCTAGACCTACCCAACAAGGAGGCCAGTAGGCACAATTCCCACCTTCCCTACACTCCGTGAGTCTGTAGCCAAGATTATATGTGTAGAAATCCTTGACATGAAGGGAGATTCTCAAAGGCCAAGTACTCATGCAGAAGAACAGTACACACACAGAACCGCTTTGAGCATGTGATGAATGTGCAGGCAGATGGGAGTGCGACCATCAAGCACACAGGATGTTGATTAGCCTGAATAGTTCCACAACACCTTCACAGCTTCCTTTAACATGTTTGGGGTGAGGACTGTCAGAACTCTTCTATCATTAGGAAAGAGACTGAAAATAAAACCAACCAGGATCCTAACAAATGTATATGGAAGTCATATTTGAATTACTGCGTTCACTTCTGGCCATCACAGCTTAAAAATGAAAAGGAAAAGAAAAGGCAAGCATGGAAAATGGCAACCGAAAAATATCAAAACTAAAATGAAGCACATGGAACTAGTTTAGCATGATGCACAAACCAGGCCGCTTTCTCCTCTGCTAGTCCACTTGGTAGAAGGAATCCCCGCCCCCCTTTCTTTTCTTTCTACTGGACTGCAAAGGGAAAGGATTCCATACTGGGCACAGATAAGGGACTTCCCCCTCTTCCACAGGCAACATGGAAACTACTTGAAGCAGGGTAGAAAAAAATGTTTGCAGGCTAATAACTTTTTGCAATGCCATTGGGGCGGGGGGTCACACAGTTTAACTGACTGGCAATAAATTCAAGGCAGGAAAAAAATACTCCTGCATAATTAAGTTATTAAGGCTGCAATCCCAGACACAATTATCTGGGAGTAACCCATATTGTATTTAATGCAGCTTGCTTCTGAGGAGACACACACTGTATTGCACTGTGGATCTGCTGTCGTACGATTTGTTGATAGCTATGGTTCATGATAGCTAAAAGGAACCTCCAGGATTCAGAAATAGCATACCAATTACCAGAGAAGGGAGGGGAGGCTGCTGAGTTCAAGATACGCATTATTACTACTACTACTATTTTTATTATTTACTATGTATGTGAATCAGATACAGGATATATTAAAAGTTATTTATACTGTGCAGCATCTGTGCAGCAGTGTCTGGGCGAAAATCAGTAAAATGCCCAAACTCTGCCAAAAAAAGCTCAACAACTTTTCTGCCCGGATTTTCACTGTTTGAAATATGGCAACCCTACTATAATTTTCCCCTTCTCCCGAAGAAGAGAAATAACTTCAGTCTAAGATGCAGCACACAACAGCAGCCTTCAAAGTATGTAGGGCAACTGCATTATTATGAGTGGGGAAACTGACGCTAGGCTACAGATTCTGCTTTAAGGATATTTATGAAACTTATTTCCCTGTATTTATATACCTGTATTTATATTGTACAGATTTAGTGAGATTTCCATGAGCCAATCAGGAACGTTGGAGCAGAACAAGCAACTTTATGAAAATTGGGTTTCTGGTTCACATCTAGGAAAAGACATATGCCATGTTATAACTGACACAGTCCTCTATTTCAGGGGTCACCCAACTTTCTGGACCAGTGAGCACACCGGGAATTCTGAGAATGTGCATGGGGTGCCCCAGCTTTGCTCTTATTATTGCAAAACTACTATTGGATATCACTTTGAAATGAAATAGTGCCTGCCATTGCTTGCATGCTCAGTGAGGTGGGTAGCTGCAGCAGCGAGGACAACCCTGTGTTGGGCAGGTGGCTTCAGGGATTGGCACTGGGACTGGGCCCCCTACTTGGGCATGGGCCTTGGAAGATGCCCAGTGATTCTAACCCCTGCTGCTGGGCCTGGATCCATCCCCTGCCCTATTGCTTGATTTGAGAGGCACTCCTCTCACATTTTGTTCTTGAGAACAGTTATTTGAAATGTGGTTATGTTTAAGAGGGGGTACTCAGTATAGGTAAGACTGAGCTAGTGCATGCAGGAACCAGGCAGGAAGAGGAAACAACCTCTTGTATATTGTGGATATTTAGTGAGACCTTTAGTGGATAGATACCATTGGTGGTACTAGTGGAGACACAGGTGGCTCCTGCCCGGTTATACTCGGGAAAAGGATCACTTCCTCTTGTGAATAGGATAAAAACAACAAATTAGGATGTAGAGGAATAGCATGGGGAAATAGAATGGGCATATCACTTCCAAAAATATTCATGCAATAGATTCTGAGCAGCTACTCTTACCGTGTATTCTATTGTACCATGTGGCTTCTGAGAGACCATTTTCTTTTCTTTCTTCTCATTGGTTTTGGTTTGATTGTCCTCTGAAAGAGAAACCCCGAGACCGATTACCTAAAATGTGAACAACTTTCAAATCACTAATTGGTAAATATAAGCAAAATAATATTAAACCAGGTTTGTCTTGGCCAAACATGAAAACTGGTGATTAACGAATCATAAATAATAATTTTATTATTTATACCACACCCATCTGGATGGCTTACAACATATATGAAAACATTATAAAACCTCAAATATTAAAAACATTTCGATACAGGGCTGCCTGTCACAGAAAAGCTATTATTGACAATATTTTTAACAGTAATGCTTGAGTGTTGCATTAAGTAAGGGAAGGATCATTGATCTTTTATTGGTAGGCTGGTAGCCACAAGTGAGTTATGCCCTAAGCTAAGGTGGGTCACCAACATTTTCTTATCTGTTTGTGTTTTTAGCAAGGAGAAAGAGGAAGAAAAACAGGCATGCTGTATATGGTAAAGAATTAAAAGTGGGTCAACGGTTGCAAGATGAGGCTAAATGTGGGTGTTACGCCAGGAAAAGTTGAAATACACTGTGACAAATGTTAACGGCAAAAAACCCCGCCACTATCTACCTGAGGTGTACACAACATGCCTAAGGGCCTGGACAAAGCTGAGATCATGACAGGACAAATCACTCAGGCATTTGCAGTATCAACAAGAATTGTGCGTTCTGCTGATGTCACAACTGCCTATGTGCGCTCTTTCCAGTCATCCAAGATTTTTATGGTCTTGGTTGGGGCTCCTGGGTTCAGCAGGACTCCGCAAAAGACCTTGTATGGGCATTAGTCTTTTGCAAGATCAGAAAACAAAACTTATTTCGAAAGGATATCCTTTGTGTTCTGCTAGATGCTTTTGTTGAAGACACACGTAAGCGGTTAATTGTACGATACTGAAGCTTGAAACTGTCAGGCCATATTCACACATAAGCAATAAAGGTACCTCTGCTGCTTACAGAACTAAAACATTCTAACATTGCCCGCATTAAACAAAGTTGTACATCAGAATAGCCTTATTCTTATTCTTATTTTTATTTCTAGAACCACCCTTCAGCTGATGATTGCGGGGCAGCACGGCAATACATAAAATCTTCCACTAAAAGAAACACAAATGAAACCAAATGCATCCTTGAAACATCATAAAATATATTAATATCACCTCCAAAGTTCTAAGTGTCAGATAGACCCTTGTTATCTCTGCTTCTTCCAAATGCTAAATGACTGAACCAGTGCATCTTTAGATGGGAGGCAAAAAGAAAATATTGAGGGTGTCAGGAAAACAAAATGGGGAATGATGGGTCCATCTAGCCTACATCTCCTCTGAATGGCAGCAGCTTTTGAGGGTCTTCTTGGGCCTCATCCAGCATCTCTGGAGATGCCAAGGATTGAACACACAAAACTATGGCTGCTTCTCCCACTTTGAATATCCCACACAGGATCTGGTATATCTGCTACGAGAACCTACCTAAGGGCCAAACAAATTATTTTTAAAAACGTCTATCCCGGGATAAACGTTATGAAGGGTAGTATATAAATGTCTTAAGCAAAGAAGCAAGCATTTCTTTGAAGTTTCTTTCTTTCTTTTTAACCAACACCAGCCTCTGAGGTTAGAAATTTCAGTTGAAAAGGAGCAGATAAAGGGGGCCAGGCAGGAAGAAAGCAGCTGTTTAACTCTTTCTCTTCCAACCATTTTGAAGCTCAGATTCTTCCTGCCCTACTTGCTTTTTACTTTGTAGAGGGGAAATACAGGGCTGTATATTTTCTTCCTTGGTGGAAACAAACAAACAAGCAAACAAACCAGCATGAGATGGGAGATTAGAAGTGAAAAACCTGCTAGAAGGGAAAGGTATGAGGCCAATTTATCTTTCTTTCTCCACGGACACACACCTCCAACTAAAATCAACTTCAGAGTCAATTTTTTCATATATTTTTTTTATAAAGAAAACATCAGAGAGAAGATACATGTGCCTGTGTTTAATGTGCAATCCATCAGAATTACTATATGAATTTTTAAGCATTGAGGTCCCATTTTCTTCAATAAGATTTGCTTCAGCATTATATTTACTATGGGAGTTGAGACTCAAGCTAGCTGCCCAATGATGGCTGCTTAATGTCTTGAAACACTTTAAAAAAAACAAAAACATTAAATGTACATTTCTAGGTGATTGTCATTATCACATGTGAACACACAGTAGCGGATATGTCATGTTTTCAGTGGGAGAGCTGTAGACGTAAAAAGCTGTAATGAAAAATATGGTTAGGTATCCTCAGAAAGCCCATTCACCTTGTCTAGTTTCCCAAGATCTATTCTCCCTGAGCCCCACTCCTCCTCCATGTGTGATAACCATCAGCAGACAGGAATCAGCGGTTTGCATACCTAACAACAGGTAAGGCTGCCTGTAATCCACACACCAGGAAAAATGCTTTGGGGCTGAAAAGCTGTGCATAACCTTTAGGAATTTCTTCTTTGCCATCTCACTGTGATCAACGGCCACAGCTTCTGGCAGAGACTCACAGCTGTCCCCGGTTGCAGAACTGTAGCCTGAAGACGGCAAGCCCTCCTCCCATTCCACGTTGATTATTCTCCCTGGGAGTTTACAGGCGGCAGCGACAGTAGAAGCTTGGCAGGCCTTCCCGGGCACTTCCGGCAAACAGCTCTTGCAGAATCCTCCTGGATGGTGGGCACAGCAGCACTCGACCGCAAACATCTTCAAGCGCAGGAATGCCAACAAGCAACCTAAATCATGTGTCCAAAAGTCCTGAGTTTCCCCTTTTACAACTTTCTTTTTTAAAAAAAGCAAGGGAAAGGTTCTTTGCCACGCCTCTGCTAAATCAGCCTCGCTGGACTTGAAAGCAAGCAAGGCTGACAGAGAACGGAAAATAAGCCACAGCAAAATCACTCAGAATACAAATTGGCCAATTTCCCCCCACTCAGAGAAAATTAGAATCAAATAGTGCCATTACTTGTGTGTGTTTGTGCGTGTGCACACACACACACACTCACACACACAAAATCCCCATCTTTTTCTCTGCAAAGGAAGTGGCTGAGGAAGGGGCTTGTCCAAGTCTGTGGAATCCAGCTCTGAGGAAAGTGAAGCAGATTAGTGCAATTCTGCATACTCCACCCCTCAGCTGAAATATGAGCACAGTCCCCTTGTAGCAAAGGGAACAGGAGGATCCCAAGGCACAGAGAGGGCACGTAGTGTGCTGAATTTTCACAAGCAGGGCTTACGCTAATTTTGTATCTCTCACAACTCGATCGTAATTGGATTTATATAGAAATTTCCACAGCTGCTAACTTTACAAGCACTTTTGCATTCCCACCGTATGTAATGCAAATGTAAAACATGTACAGAGGACTAGCTAACACATTGGGAAGATGGGCATGGAATGTTGGGGGGTTGTTTAACACAGGGGTGGCAAATCTGCCTGATCCAGTGCCCTCCCCCACCCAGCAAATTTTCCTGGCCTCTCGATAAGATCCCATCAATTTTAACAGTGGTGGTGAAGATGAAATGAAGTGAAGTGAAGCAGGCACAGCACTGGTTGTTGCTGGGTAGTGTTGAATGCTCTGTTGAGGATGCAAATCACCCCCTCCCCAGAAATCTTAACAATCATCTGATGAGTGTAGAGGTAGAAATATCCTCTCTAACATGATCTACAAGGATCAGCTGAGTAAGGTATATGTGTGGGGTCACATCCACCACTGTCTCTTTGGCCAAAAATGTCTAGCCCCACCCCGGTTTAGTGTTATGAAGATAAGCCACAGTGAGTCTCAGACTCACACACTTTTCCTTTCTCCTCCTCCAGGATGGTCATGAGATTACAACGGTACCTCAGGATGCGAACAGGATCCGTTCCGGAGCCCTGTTCGCATCCTGAATGGAACGTAAGACGCGACGGCGCATCTGCGCGTGCCATGTTTTGATGCTTCCACGCATGCGCATGATGTCATTTTGAGTGTCTGTGCATGTGCGAGCGGCGAAACCCGGAAGTAACGCGCTCCATTACTTCCAGGTTGCCATGGAGCACAACCCAAAAGCGCTCAACCTGAAGCACATTCAACCTGAGGTATGACTGTATCTTTATGTTCACACACAATATATAACAAGGTAGACCAATAGTCCATCAAATCCAGAACTCTCCTCATTGCCCTGGTTAGCACTAGCTCTTCAGGATTCTCAGGCAAAAATCGTCACAAGATCTATTAATTGAGATGTTTTGGGACCAAATCATGACCTCATACCATCAAAACTTTGGGCTCCACCACAGAGCTACAGCTCCTCCTAAGCATCAGTTACCAGCTTTCTGACTCTTACATACAATCTAACATATTTGTTAACAAATATCGAATAGACAAGTGTTATTTATTCTGATAGTCAGGAAGTGTATTTACAACTTGGAAATAGGTTGAAAATTTTGATCTCATGCCAAAAAACAACGCAGCCCCAATCACCACAGGGATGACTAGAGGGGGAAAGATTTGAATGCCACTACAATGCTAGCTTTGAATCTATTTGTTTTTACTTGTTAGAGCAGAAGGTTTGTGGTTACTGATTTACAATGTTACGCCTTTAAACTTTGTCCCTTTGGTGGAAAGAACAGTGTGAGGAAACAAGGCAATAGCTTGTAAAGATGACATTGAAGGAAGCTACAACATAACTGTTAACTAGAAAAGCTGAATCCAACTTAGGTTTTTGGTTTGCCAGCCCAGCCATTTGAGGTTCTAAAATGGACCATCATAAAAAATAATAGCAAAGGAATAAACCCACCAGTGTGCCCTCAGAAGATGGCCACAAATCAGACATATCAGCCAAGTTCAAATCATGGTGCACTTGTTCTGTACCCAGTGTTTGAAGCTATTGGTTCCTAATGAGAAACAATATAACCAGACCTTCTGTATCCAGCTGCGTCACTGGCAATTGGAACAACTTCTGTAAACACAACAGAACTGCCCCTTTGTCTTCTCCCTCTGCACATGGCCCAAATCTGCTTCAGGGAGCAAATTTCAGGTTGCAGGGCACAATAGGAATATTACGTTTTAAAACCTGGCATCATACTACCATTTGATGGAAGCCTTAACTCTTACCAGGTATGTCTGTAACTCTACATAGATGTGTAAACACAGTTTTTCACATACCTTCCCCCATCCCCAATACAGCCTTCAGTCCTGTATTACCTATTGCCCCAGAGGGCTCCCCAACTCTGAGAAGCATATTTGGGGCAACCACGGAGTGCCGCAGTGCATAATGGAGAATTGAGAAAAATGTGGTGTTGGCACCACCTTGTGAAAACAGAAACACTTTCTGCTTGTATAAAGCCACTACAGGATGCAACTCAGAGACTGGTTAAAACCCGTATCAACCAGCACCAAATCTGGAGCAGGGACAAACAACATTGCGACCATAGTCCATAAATGTTATGGAGTTGCAATTCAAAATTTCTGGAGGGCACCACATTAGCTACCCCTGCTCTGGGGTACACCATCAAACAATATTTGGGTTTTTTCCTATTTCAGCAGGTATTTTGTGTTGCTTTAGTTGCAAAAACAAAACAGGTGATTTTGTAAAAATGCACACACAGAGATCTATTATTTCTCTGATGCTCCAATTCAAATTTAAAGTGGCATCAGAACCTTCATTATCAGGCTGCTGGAGAAAGGCACAACCATGGGATCTCTAGCAATGGAAGAAGCTAATGGTCCCTTTTCAAGGTTGCTAAGAAGGCTGAAATTGCACTGTTGCCATGTAAATGCTAAACAGATTCATTATGCTAGCAAAATGTTTTATGGCTCTCCTGGATAGCTGTCTTACAAGCTCCACTCTAGTTATTTGGAATCTTTCCCAACTTCACAGGCAGACATTATCCTTGTAGTGTCCTGCCAAATGATGGAGTCATTTTTGCAGATTCTGTTTACTCTTTAGACGGTTAATGGGCCATCATAAAAGTTACTTGGGCTGGGCAACACATGCCGTTCTTCATATTCTTCCCCACAAGGAAAAGCTAGAGCAGTGGGGCATTTTTACCTGGGGGGGGGGGAGGAATAATAAACTGTATAATGAAGATTGAGACAGATACTTGCTACTCAAGAGTCTTTCACTAAAACTGATTAGCAGTAGATTGGGCAGTAGACAAAAGTAAGTGCTTTTTCACAGAATGCACAGTTAAATCATGGAATTCACAGCTGCGGGATTTGGCGATTGCTATCAACTTTAAATGCTTCAGAGAGGAATTAGACAAGATTATGGTCCGCCAATGGTTAATTAGTCATGGTGGCTATAGGATCTTACGTGATCAGAGACAATATAGAACTGAATACAACTGTTAAAGAGGCAACAGCAGAAGAAAGACATTTCTCCATGACCTGCTTACTTAGTGATCTTCCCAGGGTATCTGGTTGACCATTGTAGGAAGAAGGATAAAATATGATCTTAGTGGGATTATTATTATGTTCTTAAGTCTTAAAAGAAGTGTGTGTGTGTGCACATTCAAAAATCTCCACACTGCTAACTAACTCTTTCAATAGTGTTATATTTCACTTGGTTAAAAGATATTTTATACTAAAAATAGAATGTTTTCAACAAAATGAAAAGTTGCTAAGAAGCAGAGAGATTAGGTGAATTCCTTGTGGCTAGGAATCCTTTCAAACAGTTACACTCATTCCACTACGCTTTACCTTCTAGCTGGATCCAACCTCCATTTACAAGGTGCCAGTTTGGAGACAGGTGCCCATTCTGAAGGTAAAAGCCAATCCATTCATCCACTACATTTAAATACGTAAAAAGATATTTTATTTTGATGCTACGAAACTTCTGTCATTTCTAATACATAGAATCTGTGCTTGCAGATGGACTTCGCACACTTAACCAGTCCTGCCAAGAGTCAGCAATGTTACAGAATCCAAATGGGAGCTTATAAAACTAAAATGTGTTTATATATTCCATATTGACTTACAGAAGGTTACTGAAAGTATAGCATCAATATAATTAGAAGAAAAAACACAACGCTACAGACTGTTACACTTTAAAAACACTTAAAAGATTTCAAAGAGGTAATACAGTATTTGCCTTAAACTCACCAATACTATAGTATCGCTTAAGATCTGTGCGCCTAATATCCTTTGGCTGACTGCTTTTCTTCTTCTTTTTCTCCAAGTCCTCCTTTTCCCCAGACTTTTTGCCGTTTTCTTGAGAGCCATTGGTCTGCACCAGAACAGCTTTACTTCCATCATCTCTTCCAGCCTGAGTTCTACCTGCGGGTATCCCACAAGCATTTGAGGAGGCTGCCTCTGAATTTTGCTTAGCTAGCCTCTTCTTCTTCAAACTAGAAAGAAAGAAACACAATAAAGCAATATAGACAATAAACTAATTTGCAGAAATCTCATTGGGTAACCATTAATCATTATAATTTTATGTACATTAATCCTGCTAAATTGCAATGATCAGAATAACAATTCTTTGTTTATCTAACTTAGCATATCCTCCAACATTTCTCTGATGAAATTCCATAATGATAATTTTACTATTTATACCCCACACTTCTTAGTGGGCTGCCCCAGCCACTCTAGGCAGCTTCCACATATTTAAAAATATAATAAAACATAAAACAGTCAGGTGATTACTTCAAAAGGGATCCCTCTTAGGGCCTATCAGGTAACTGGAGCTGAGAGCAGTCCCACTGGCTGCAGTAGTGCAGCCAATACAAACGAAACCTTCATCTGCTCCATACCTGATGTCACGCATGACAACTTATTTTTTTATTAAAGACCTATAAGCATCTAAACTGACACACAAAAAATGAGACAGATAGAATCTTAAGATGGCAGAAATTTTATTTGTAAAAAAGCCAACACATTTTCACCTGTGATTATCTTAGGCCTGCACCAGCTGTAAAAGGAACAATACATATGACATTTTAAATTTTGTCTACTGCTTCTGCCCCTTGGTGCCGATGTTGTTGTGTGTGTTATTAATGTAATTTCTGTTGTCTGATCTTTGACCGTAATAGAATGACTGATTGATCAATCGATCGATTTAATACATCACATAAATATTCAGTGAAAGTGACAGTGTGACTTTATTAACCTAGATTTCTGCAAACTGCTTCTACATTTTACATTGTACATTTTACATTCACATTATATTAGCATATAAATAACGTAAATATAGTTTAACTAGTTTTTAATTGTTAAAAATGCACATGGTGCCTTGTTCCTAAAATAACCAAGGCCTAAAATAATCACAGGCCAAAACACTTTGGGCTTTTTCTTTTTACAAATAAAATCCCAATTGTGGCTAAACTTGAGGTTTTATCTCTCTCGTTTTTTGAACGTACTTTACATGGCAAAGTAGTCTTCATTTCAGCAGGTTATGTGCTGCTGCAACATGTCATCTTATCATGCTGCTCGGGTAACATCAGGAGTTTGCGTGCAAGTGTGAGGATCTGGCATGTCCTTCCCATGCCAACATCACTTGACCAAGAAACTGAGAAACTGCTGGGATAGGAGGAGCAGTGGCAAGGTGACTCCTCCCACGTGAGCTTGGATGTCTGACGTTACTGGAGCAACACGGGACCAGTTTCTGATGGAAGCAAAGCCAGCTCCAGCCCATATGAGCCTAAATAAGGTTCTATGTTAATCCCCATCTCAAACAATACTACACTGATTAATATATTTGGCCAGCATCTATTCGTTATGTCATCGTCTAAACTTATAATTTCACAGTCAGCTGCCCAGGCTTTATTATTAGCTTTGTTTTCACATAAACATGTCATTCATTCAAGGTTATCTAAATCAGTGCCCTCTAATACATGTTTGTTCCGAGGCTCTTATAAACATCTACAAAAAAAAGAGAGATCTGAACGACTCCATTGATGTATGAAGAATAACCTTTTCTTTCAAAAGTGAGATTTAATATTTCCCCCTATTTCTGTACTACATCTTCATTAATTATGTTATTGTTTTTGATTATAGTGGTAAGTCACCTTGAGCCAAAGAGAAAGTAGGAAATGGAAGGGGTGTAGTGGAATGGCACAGTACATGCTTTGAATGCCCAAAGGACCCACGTTCAACCCCACGTATCTCTGGAAAGAGCTGAAAAAGGGTCCTGTTTTGAATTTCTGGATAGCTACTCTGCTGGTCAGTGTAGTAACTATATTGGGTAGAGGAAGGGAAGAAGAAATTTGGAGAGTCAAGTCAGGCCAGCAATGAGTAGAGCCAACTAATTCTACTTTCGTAGAATTGTAGAGGTGGAAGGGACCCAAAGGTATATATGCTTCTGTAATGGCCTATCACCAGGGAAAGAGGCTAAGGATGCAGAGTGAAATTGTTCTCTGGGCCAGCTGCAGATGACACTACTAACTACTATCAGCACAAGAGGAGCCTGGTGTGCTGGGACCTCTACAATCCAAGAATGCTGCCTTACCCATGCACAAGACAGAGGTTTCAGTAGGCTTGGTGGAACCCCAAATTTAGAAGCACCAAAGCTTTGCAAAAACGTTGGGGCCCTCAGAGTAACTGAATAAGAGCTGTCCGTGGTCCTGCAACTTCTGACCAGACTCCCCCTGCCACTTTCTGTGTGGGATCCAGCATCAGACCCGGACACAACATATGGTACAACTTTGGGAATACAGACACACCTTCAGGAACCCTGCCATTACTAGGCACTGTCAGGAGCTAGCAATCCTTAACAGGATGAAGAATCGTGGCAACCTACTCCAACTGCAGCTCAGCAGTACAGCATCTGCTATCCATGCAGATGGTCTCAGGCTCAATCCTTGTCATCTCCAAATAGGGCTGGGTAAAGGCCCTGTCTGAAGAGTTGGAGAGCCACTGCCAGTAATTGCTGAGCTAGACGGATGTATGTCTGACTCAGTTTAAGGTAGGCTCCTATGCTCCAAATAGGTATAACTCCTTCCTAGGTTATTCAACCTGGTGACAACAAAACGTTGTAAAGTGGTTTTTACTTTGCAAAAAGTGCAAAAGCTAGCCTCCAAATATGCCAGGTGTTCTATAAAATTTATTAGGAAGTAGCAGAGGGAGGGCAGGACACCTTGGTAGCTGGCTACAGTGGGGCCGCGCGAGTGAGCCACTCGCCAGGCTCGCTGGGCCATTGGATTTTTTGAGCTGAGCTCGCAGGCCGGTTTTCCCTGATGAGACTTTGCCCCGCTGGACGAAAAGGCAAAGCAGTCTTGCAGGTTGTTTCCTTTTCTTGGCACCGTTAATCCGTTGCGGCTGGGGCAGCGGCGCCTGTGCCTTTTTGAGGTTTTGAGACTGGTGTTTAAGAGCTGGTTTGCACGACATTGTGAAGTTAAACTAAGCTTTTGAGGAGTTTGGATTTGGAGTTGAGTGTTTGGAATTTCAGGACTGTTTGAGGAGTGCAAGTCTGGAGCTGTTTTTTTCTGTTTTGTTTTTTAAAAATTCTGGTTTACTGTGTGGGTGACATTTGGTGAGAGGTGACAACTTAGATACAGAGGAAGGAACATTCTTGAAGTTGTCCCCCAGTCTGAAAATGTTGCTGTACTTTGTTGATGCAAATGTTCTGTCAATGTTTAGAAACTTGGTGTGTTCCTTCAGTTTGAGTAACTCTTGCGGTATGTGTGACAGAAGCACTTAATAGAAACTCTTGTTGTATATTTAACTGACTGGACACGACCATGGAAGCATTGGTGGTTTCAATGCATTCTATGGAGTTTCGTCAACTTGCCAGACGAAAGGGTGGGCAGAGCCGTGGAGCAGACCAATTTCGTCTTGCGAGACAGAGGAACTGCTGTATTCTCGTCCATGGTGAACGAGTCACTGAAATCCCTTGTCCCAAAACAGGGCACCTTGCAGAATGAGAACAGGTAAGTCAAACCCGTTTCATGCACACACAAAAGGAACAAATGTTTTTAAACCATATGCTTAGCATCCTGCTTTTGAAGGCCAGAGCCAGTGGATCCTTGCTATGCAACATGTTTTCAAAATGTTTTTTTTCTTTCCCTTTCATTTTAACACAACATTTCTACCAAGAAACTGGCTTTCCCCTACAAGAGAAAATCAACACTATCAGAGGCTAAAGCTACACAGAAAGAGAGCACAGACAAAACAGACAGGGTTTCCCTCCCATTTATGAAACTGTTTATTTCAAGTACCTAGTAGAGATTATCCTGTTATTTGTTTACTGAACTCAAAGGGAGCAATTGGAATAATCATTGTTGTGGTTTAGCTTTTGGGATCTGCCCCACTTTTCCTTACAAAACTCAGAGCAGATTTGGCGTGGAGGGGAGGGAGGCGCTGGGGATGAGGAGGAGAAGTTCCTCTGCGCAAGTTGAAGTCCTTGTACTAATGGGACAACTTCATTGGATAGTCTATAGTTTCTAAGTCAGGAGAAGTAATAGTTCCCCTTTATTTCCCTTTATTCATTCGTAGAACAATTTGCAGTTCTAAATGCCACACTTTAAGAAGGAAATACAAACTGGAACAAGTTCAAAGGAGGGCAACTAAGATGGTCAGGGGTATGAAAATGAAGAAGGAAAGGTTGCAGGAACTGGGCATGCTTAGCCTGGATAAGAGAAGACTGAGGGGGGACTTGACAGCAGTCTTCAAATACCTGAGGAACACAGAAGAGGGCAAATAATTCTTGTTATCTACTGCCTCCGAACACAGCTAGATCTAAGTTACAGAAGAGCAGAGATTTTGACTGAGCATTAGAAGAAACTTCTCGGTGCTAAGAGTAACTTGACAATGGAACCAATAATTCAGTAAGGGTGGGAGGCTCTCCCTTGCTGGAGATCTTAAAGCAGAAGCTGGACTGCTATCTCTTGGTTGTGACCTCTATCTCTGAATATCCTGCAGTGAGCTAGAGTCTGGGTTAACGGCCTACAACACACACACACACACACACACACACCCCACATGACAACAGTTCTGAGTATACACATTGTCCTTGCTTGCTCACTAGACTAGGCCACAGCCTCAGAATCCTTGCCACAGGCTCTTTCGAAACAGATCAATTATCCCACAGTTTTAACCGTGATCTGAAATTTCAACAGGAGGGGAAAAACAAGAGTGTCTGGCAGATAAAACTATTTACAGTATGCAGACATTGTGCTTACAAAACCAATTATTATTTCAGTCTACAGCAAAGGCAAAAAAGAAAACAGGGGAAAGGGAGAGGACACCCAATTATGAACAAAACTAAAGCACACAAATACCTTGCGGGGGCAATAATGAAAACATTCCAGAGAGAGAAGGGTTCTGTTTGTCTAGAAAAGATACTCTGTTTTTAAACAAAAAATGATTCCATATTTTTAAATTAAAAATGAGGTGCATATAATGTCAAAAGATATATTCTCAAACACAAGAAACACATAATAATGCATTTTAGACCCAGAGCAGATCTGTGGGTACATTTTTCACATCAAAATATGTGGTGCGCTTGTACTGACTGGTGACTTTTTCTGAGCCATGCCTAAGGTTGTTACAGGAAATGGTAGGAATCAAATATTTTGGTTGTGCTTTTGTGTAGGGAAGTGTGCTGTGTTATTGGGCAGCTTTCCATGCACACTTCATATTTTTTTTAAAAAACTATTTGTTTTGAAATCAAGATTTCCAAAATAGGAAACAGCTTCCATGAGCAGGGAGCAAAAAAATCTGTCATTGAGGCATAAAAATAAGTCTGAAACTAGCTTAGAGGTCTGAAACTAATACAACTCACCTAAACAAAGGACGGGGGGGGGGGGGGTGCAGTGAGCCACAGAGAGAAAGGAAATTGCTGCTGATTTGGCCAAGGGGATTGTTTATTCACAAAATGTACTGCACAGCAACTCTCGACTATAAGGGTCTATTTGGTGGCAGTTCCCAGTTTGTGGAATTTGAAATTATCAGCTGTGATTAGTTTTAGATGTTTTTATTTTACTTTAATTATATTATTTCAACACTATTGTGTTTGCTATCCTGGACTCCCTGGGAGAAAGGTTAGGATGTAAATTTATTAAATAAAACAAACAAAAACATGGCAAGCCACATTCGGTGCTGGGCATCGCCACTTGTTCTGCCTTCCCAGGATTACAGGATCGTGACAAGATTAGGCTCACCATGCTGACTGAGCCAATAATAACCAAACCTGCTCAGAGTTGCCCCACAGCAATATTAAGCACTCAACACACCAAAACTGGCTGGCTGTTTTCTAAATAAATAAATAAATAAATTTTATTTATACCCCACCCATCTGGCTGGGTTTCCCCAGCCATTCTGGGCGGCTCCCAACAGAATACTAATAACAATAACAAAAAAGCGATAAAACATCAAACATCAAAAACTTCCCTAAATAGGGCTGCCTTCAGATGTCTTCTAAATGTCAGATAAATTATTTCCTTGACATCTGACGGGAGGGTGCCACCACCGAGAAGGCCCTCTGCCTGGCTCCCTGTAGGTTCACTTCTTGCAGTGAGGAAACCGCCAGAAGGCCCTCAGAGATGGACCTCAGTGTCTGGACTTAACAATGGGAGTGGAGACGCTAGTTTCACCCTAGTGCCTTGCCTTATTGCACCACACAAATCAGTATTATTATGAAGCAGGGTGTTGAAAGGGATGGCCTGGGAGAGGATTGGCCAGAGAGGCCTGTAGGAGTGTTTGGGCCCCTAAGTCTGAGTTTGCTCACCTTTTATAGAGTGTCTATCACTGGCAGCTTGCTAAAAATTTCTCTAGGAATATGGTTTCTTCAGAATGAGTGTTTCCCAGTTCACAGCATTTGATCACATCTATGGGTATTTTTTAAAAAAATTGGGGGAGGGGGGGGACAACCCTAGAAAAACAGCTTTTCTGCCTTTCAATTCACAAATTATTTCGTGACCTTGAGATGCACTTCTTTTTCTTCCAAAAAGGTGTCATAACAGCACGTTTGCACAGTTAAATAATCCTTAAAAGATCTACTGCACTTTAACTACAGTTTACATTCCACCGTGGCGATCTGGTTTTGTTACATCGAGGAGTGTGTTTATAATTCACCTACAATAAACACAGAATAAGAGCAGAGATGGCACAGAACCACCACAGCAGCTTTTTGCTGATGCTACAGCAGATTTAAAACAAAAACAAAACTGTATGTTTAAAGGAACAAAAACAGATTCCCCCCCACTCTCATTTTTCAACCAAGAAAGCTGTATAATTTGACCATAGCAAGTTAAATATACCTATTATTTAAAATGAAGGTCAACTTCCTAACAAAAGACTTTAGGCTTTGATGGGAAGTAAAATTCAAAAGCCATGGCTCAAGTATAACAAACCTGTGTTAAAGTTAATAAAAATATTTATTTTTATATACACTGGTAAAAATAATAATAATGAAATGTTGCCTTCCACACGTGTAGCACAATCCTAAGCATATTTACTAAGAAAACTACATTGACTGCAATGTAACTTATTCCCAAGTACCGATGCACTGGATAGTAGCCAATAAGCTGCAGGTAACTAAGTCTAATTACTAATTATAATTCCTCGATATTTTATTTTAGTAGTCTGCAGAGGTGCATGAAATACCAGAGTTGTTAGTCATTTCTGTTTCAAGTTATTATTCTTTCTTTTATGAACACTGACGTGTGCTGTACTCAAAAACCTTCCGTACAGCATTAGGAGTTAAGGACCTCCAGGCTTTCAGATGTTGTGGTACTACAAGTCCCATCAGCTCCAGCCAGGGATGATGGGAGTAGTAATCTAGCAACCTCTGGAAGGCCACAGATTCCCCACCCTTGCACTACATTCTTGGTGGAAAAGACTTGTGACTTGCAGCTTGATTCCACCAGGGTTAAACAGGTTAGACAGGAAGCAGATCCTTAATGTCCAGGTTCAACATACTGTAGCAATAAAATAAAAAGATTCAAAGCGGTTCGAAATTAGTTGCACTCTGGGGGCTCCAACCTGTACGTGTCACAGAAGTGTGGATACTCAGAGACAACAAAGAAAAAGAAAGCAAAGCGTAACTCACATAGCAAGCAGAAAAATGCCGTCAGAGTATTTGCCCTAGATTAAAACGTTACAACCGACAGAGGGGAAAGTCCACAGTTGCATTTTGAAACAACGGAAAGAGCAGCAAGTAGCTTACCGGGCAAAATAGCCTTGTCTTCGTTCTTTTTTCTCTTCCTTGATCTCCATTGTAAACAAATAGTAAAAAGTGTAAGGTGAAGTGGCTGAGCTTCTGAACTTCCAGTTAGTGTCTCATGTTCACACACGATCCATGCAGTTATCACTGAGGAAGGGGAAAAGAGGAAGCTCAGAAATTAACATGTCGACAACACCTGATTTGCTGCTGCTGCTGCTTCGTGTGTTTTTTTAAGAGTTACAGTGCATAGTCCCACAGCATGGTGAATTAAACCAGTGAAAGCACTGTCATATGACAAAGCTTATTGTACCAAAAACAGAAGAAAAGAAAAACAATAGTCATGGTTCAATTCACTGCATGGGGAACACAAGGTTCCTTAAAATAGAAACACAAATAGGGAAACATAAGTTGCACATGGGATTTTATGTGTGTGCATATATGTGTCAAATAAAAACAGAAGTCTGACATCAACGTTAGTGAACTGTCTTTAAAACCACTTCACAAAGAATTCATTCACCATCTAACTGCAATTATTTTAATGCACTGTGCTGCAGTTCTACCAACAGGTTAAACATCTCTGTCCATATATCCACAAAAGACAAGAAACCTGGAAAGGATGAACAACCTGAGTGCTGTTTCTTTGCTTCTGTTGTAGTTGTTTTAATGCTCAGAAAGAAAGAAACAGACACACACAAAGACAGAACATTCAAGCCATCTGAACTAAAACAAAACATAAATTTGAGGAGGGTTCACTTGTGGTAGAAAATAGATCTGGCATTTTGCATCTTCGTTTCACAGAGTGTGCACCGTTTTCCCACATAGCACTGTTAGTGCAAATTATCTGCAGTCTGTCTAAATCACAGGGGTCCAACACACAACCCCAAGGCTGCATTTGGCCCTTGATGCCATTTGCGTGGTCCTGGAACCAGCCAAACCAAGGTTGTCCAATACAATCACTACATTGCTTTAAAAAAAAAAACAATTCCAGAAAGCATTTTATAATTGAGCCTTCTATTTTTATTGTAGACCACATAATATATATTTCTTAAATTTCACTTAGAATAGTAGCCAGTATGATTATAACAGTGGATATTCCAATACTCTCCTCAATATTCTTATGCTGTGTATAAAAAGGTAGAAGGTAAAGGACCCCTGGATGGTTAACTTCAGTCAAAGGTGACTATGGGATTGCGGCGCTCATCTCGCTTCAGGCTGAGGGAGCTGGCATTTGTTCACATAAACTGCTTCTGGTGCGATGGAAGCCAGAGCACACGGAAACACCATTTACCTTCCTGCCACGGTGGTACCTATTTATCTACTTGCACTGGTGTGCTTTCAAACTGCTAAGTTGGCAGAAGCTGGGACAGAGCAACAGGAGCTTACACCATCGTACAGATTCGAACTGCAGACCTTCTGGTCAGCAAGCCAAAAAGGCTCAGTGGTTTAGACCACAGCACCACTCACTCCCAATTATACTATGTACTGTGTTTTTAATTATTATACAGTGGTACCTCTGGATGCGGACGGGATCCGTTCCGGAGCCCCGTTTGCATCCTGAAGCGAACACAACCCGCATCTGAGCATGCACGGGTCGCGATTCGCCGCTTCCGCGCATGATGTCATTTTGAGCGTCTGCGCATGTGGCGAAACCCAGAAGTATCGCGTTCCGTTACTTCCAGGTAGCTGCGGAGCGCAACCCAAAAATGCTCAACCCGAAGCTACTTCAACCCGAGATATGACTGTAGTGCCTTTATTTTTAGTTGTTTTGAAGATTAATCTGAAAAGTGGGTAAAATAAATAAAAACCAATTTAGAAAAATAATACAGTCCCATTAGAACTCTCTGTAGAATAAAAATAATGTCCTAAAAGGGCTAAGCTCTTCAAAACTGGAGAACTATTCTAATAAACAAAAGCATTAAGTATACAGTGGTACCTCGCAAGACGAATGCCTCGCAAGACGGAAAACTCGCAAAACGAAAGGGTTTTTTGTTTTTTGAGTTGCTTCGCAAGACGGTTTTCCCTATGGGCTTGCTTCGCAAGACGGAAACGTCTTGCAAGTTTGTTTCTTTTTTCTTAAAACCGTTAATACAGTTGCGACTTGACTTCGAGGAGCAACTCATAGCACGCGGTGTGGTAGCCTTTTTTGAGGTTTTTGAAGACTTTGGTGATTTTTTAAGGTTTTCCAAAACTTTTCCGACACCGTGCTTCGCAAGACGAAAAAAAACGCAAGACAAAAAAGCTCGCGGAACGAATTAATTTCGTCTTGCGAGGCACCACTGTACCTTCAAAGATTCACTGGAAGGAAGTCAGATCACTCCCATGTGCTCTTAAGAAAAAGAAACAATAATCAAAAGTGGGAGGAGACCGTTTGGAGAAGGCATTAGTAATGTCCCTGCAACCATAAATTAAGTTTACAATATCTCGTGTTACTCTTTTCTTTCCCCACTTCTTTTTTTTATTTCCTAGTCCACTCTCTGAAAATAACAAGTAGGATTCAAAGGGATGACTACCGAACTTTTAAGATAGATATAATAAAATACACATCACTTTCCACAATTGCTGTATTACTACCACTGAAACTAACTGGTCAACATTTACTTCAGAATCAAGAGATAACCAAGAACTGCTTTTGTGCCAAAACAGGCCAGGATTCTCAACCTCTTTGCTGTATTCAACCTAGAGACAGCTTTTCCTCAACAGCATACCACTGCTGCATGATTGACAAGGTTCCCTGCATACTCTTTAGAACTAATGTGGTTCAGGGTGATGACTATACAGTTTTGAGCAGGGGTCGGCAACGTGCGGCCCACGAAGCCCGTTTTACTGCCCCACGAGCTGCCCCCAAACTGAGCCGCCCACTCGGTGAGTCCCCCGCGCACTGCGCTAAACAGGCGCAACGCGGCGATTCACCAAGCATTCTGGCTCAATAAATTGAAATAGTAAGTAGGGAAGAAAGAAAGATAGCTTTAAAAAGTGGAACCAAGTATTAAAGGTTTCGGAAACACTTTTTAAATCTGCATGTAAATGAGTAAAGAAAAAAATCCTGCTGTTATCTTCACTGATTGACCTCAGACCTACTGTAATGTTGTTTTAAAAACACATTTGCACATTATGTTTATTATACACACACAAGCCGGAAAAGAAGGGGTGCGCTATTGAAATAGAAACTCATAAGATACTAATACGAAACTAATAAGATGCAGGCAGCAAGTATTTCCAAGACTGGTTTTGTAGCCTTCTAGTCAGTTTAAGAGACTGAGCAGCACCCTCTTGTGGATCCACTGCAAGTCCACATGATGGTTTTAACGTTAAAGAAAGTAAAACATAAAGGATGTAAATGTTTCTAAAAAGTTCACTGGATCCAGTGGGTGTAAGAGTCCCTTTCAAGTCACCTCTGTCATGTTTCTCCCACACACAAAGGATGGCTAAGAATGTGGACATCCCAGATTACGTACTGTCAAAAATAAGTACAGGATTCTGCTGCAAGGAAAACCCTAATATATCTAATACCGTATTTTTTGCTCTATAAGACTCACTTTTTCCCTCCTAAAAAGTAAGGGGAAATGTGAGTGCGTCTTATGGAGCGAATGCAGGCTGCACAGCTATCCCAGAAGCCAGAACAGCAAGAGGGATCACTGCTTTCGCTGCACAGCAATCCCTCTTGTTGTTCTGGCTTCTGAGAGTCAGAATATTTTTTTTCTTGTTTTCCTCCTCCAAAAACTAGGTGCGTCTTATGGTCTGGTGCGTCTTATAGAGCGAAAAAGACGGTAACTCATTTTCTTAAAACAAGATTTGATCCCCTGTACTCAGTGGAATTTTTGCCCATGATGCTAGGATTTAAATCTGGGGTAGGCAACCTAAGGCCTGGGTGCCGGATGCGACCCAATCGCCTTCTCAATTTGGCCCGTGGACGGTCCGGGAATCAGCATGTTTTTACATGAGTAGAATGTGTGCTTTTATCTAAAATGCATCTCTGGGTTATTTGTGGGGAATAGGAATTCGTTCATTTTCTTTCTTCAAAATATAATCCAGCCCACCACATGGTCTGAGGGATGGTAGACCGGCCCAAGGCTGAAAAAGGTTGCTGACCCCTGATTTAAATGGTATTTGCTTGCAACAAACCCCTACTGAACTCAGCAAAACTTACTTCTGAGTAAGCACATATATGATGGATGGGGAAGAAAACCTTTTAAGAGGAGATGCATCACTGCATGACTTGTAAATGCCATTAATGTGGACAGAAAACAGAAGAGAGCTATTTTTCAGGTCAAACATACGTTTTAGCCATTGTAGTCTTCAAAATTACGGATGCTTGAAAACTAATTTAAAAACATTTGAGAAAAAGCCGGGGGGGGTGGGAGTCAAAAAAGGTAGTCACCATATGTTGCAATGTATTATTATGCGTGCCAAAAAAGAGGGGGAAGAGAACCTGGAAACAACTACTACGGTAACTTAGCAATGCAGAGAATGCTATTTTTTGTACAGAGGCAGGCAGCTAAACCCTCCACAGATTATCCACATTATAAAGCCAAAGTTAAGGTTTCTATAGCAACTTTAATTCCAACACACTGCGCACAGTGTACTAATGCACAGCATGAAGGGTAAAACATATATATATATATATATATATATATATATGCGCAACTTGAGAAAATTCAAGATCTCTACATCAACATTCAGTTTTCATTTTCTGAGTTCATGCAGAATCACTGTACTAATCGGAGGCTTCCGGCAATTATTTTCCTTCTGTTCCATGAGTGCACCCTCAATATTATTTAATATGCATTGGTTACTTCTGGTAGTCACTTAACCATCATGATATATTCACAATCAAAACGATTCCACAATGATAAAAGGGAATAATTTTTCACTCTTCTAATACATATTACAGTATATGTAAATTTGAGATTCTAATCCCCTTAGAGGTTTTTGAGTATAGAAGTACAGTAGCAGCTATTCTATCTAAAACAATTAATCATTCATTAGAGAAAGCATGATTTTATGCATGCTGCATATGCTCCCACATCTAGGAGTTTGTTCCTTATATTAGTTGGAAACACAGGAATTAACTTTTTTCAGACCACAAGCAATCCCCTTCCCTCTTTCTCTTTCATGCACAAGGAAGGTTACAAGCTTCTGTTTTCACACGAAATCGGGGTGGTGAGCCTGCTGCTGGATTACAGTTCCCTTCAGCCCCATCTAGCTTGGCCAATGGTTAGGGATGATGGGAATTGTAGTCCAGCAATATACGGAAGGCCATAGGTTCCCTATCCCTGCCAATCTCACCAGGATATCAAACCATAGTTTGTTCCAGGTTTTAACTAACCAATTATAACACACCATGGTTCACCAAGTTTGCCCATAACAGGGACCTTTACTTTGTTATAAAGTGAAAGGTGATATGTTCACTCTCCTCTTTATGTGCATGATGGAAGAGAGAAGGGAGAAGCAGAGCCCCTTGATCAATGCAACTCGTTTCCAAACATCTACGCCGTGGTTAAGTTTACTGTCCGTTAGGTCCCTGTGCACTCCTTTCAGTCCACTGATCCTATGGATCCCATAAATTATTCTGTTATCAGTCCAAAAGACACATTTTTCATGAGCAGAAGGAATACACAGGTAAACTTCCAAAGCAAAATCCAGGGGGCATTTCAACTTATGAGGATTTGTATGCAATTCCATGATTCAAGTAAATATTATAAATCAAACTGGCAAAGGATCAGTTAATTAAGGAGATTCAACATAAACCAGAAGAGCAGCACTCATTTCTTATTACATAATCGTAAGTGAGGAACTTAATTTTATAATGCATGTAGGAAGAGACTCCCCACGTACTGCCACATTTATTAAAATCCATCAGCTGTCTGGTAGTCACAAATGCCCTCGGCCTGCAGCACCTACTATCTTTCTAGCACATGGGAATTCCATAAATCTGGAATTCATGTAGAATAAAGAGAAGGCCTTGAAAAAAACTTGCCCCTTTGCCACCTGTTATAACAAATGGATATCACATAATTCTTTGAGTTCCTTGTAGCGACAGCACCTTGCAGACCACGAGTCTCTATCTTCAGCATGTAAACAAGGCCTTGGTTACCTTCCAGATTAATCAAAGTACAATTGAATTCCACAACAGATAGCATTGTAGACTAACCTTGTTTCCTACAGCAGGAACAACTTTATTGACCAGTTAAATGAACTCCATTTGACTCATCACCAGTCTTTCTTCATTGAACTCACCAGCAAGCATGTAGTCACTGGCCACCAAGCAGTGTCAGAGTGATGTATTCATTGCCTAGACACATCCCCAAAATTTCCCCCCAGAAACAGACAAAAACTCACATATCACATACAGTAAGCTATTTAATAGTTGAAAAGGAAGGGGCGTTTTTCTTGTTATGCTTTTAAAACCTCAGCTTTTGAAAATAGTAAGAAAAAAATATTTCCAATGTGCTTTTGCCCCTAGCCCATGGGATTTCAAAGAGAAGCTTGCAAGATGCGACTCTAGTAAGTTAATGTTTTAGTTCTCAAGAAGCTGTAATGATCACACTCACTTTAATCATCTGCACTTCTGAAATCAGCAGCCAAGGAGAGTAATGGAAAAGGGGGCCCGATTCGCATTTGTACAGTAGCTAGTACTTTAGCTTCCAGGCACTCAAGCCATTAGTATGATTCATTTCAACTACAGAAAGCACTTTAAAAACTGCCCACAGTAATGAAGCATCAAGCAAGCAGCTGCCAACAATAGATGCCAGCATTTCCAACTTAAATCACATTGGCTTTGAGCCAGAGATAGCCGTACCGAATGAAGTGTTATGCGCGACTAGTAATGTGTGAGTAACAGCAACATGCAAGTGGTCTCAGTCTGCAGGCTATATGCATTCCTATCTGCACTACATCCTATCAGAAGGCATGCCATCTATGCATGGAACTGGTTCGCACGTTACAACAGACGGTGGTTTTTAAGTCTTACTGTGGGAAGACCCACACCATACATTTAAAGCACATGACCCACCTCGCCCCCCCAAAAAATCATGGTAACTGTAGCTTTCCCCTCACATTACAATTCTCAATACTCTTAACAAACTACAGTTCCCTGCACTCTTTATGAGAAGGCATGCACTTTATATGTGCAAAATGCTAATAATGCACACTCCTGTCTCTGAAACCAGGAGCAACAAACCACAAGCCTGGGCTTAGCGCTGTTGCGCCCCTTCCTGGATGAGTTGGCCACATTAAATTACTAGATCCCAGTCTTCTTGAAGCTACATTTTAAAAAAGCATCATAAATGTCAGCTGGTGGCTAGATTGACCTCTGGAGCTCCTAAATTCTAGCAACACTTGTTTCCAGGTCATCGTCAGTTGCAAATGCACATTCTAAAGAACTAAGTGGTAAATGGCCAGGATATCTAAAATCTGGTTTTCTCCCATATGATTCTCCAGCTGCATTTGGCATCTGCAACCCAACACCTTCAGAGATAAGGTTGGTTGGTACACAGTAGCATCCAATCACTTTTGTGTTTGTTAGGGCAACTTTACCAGCACATGCAGGGAATACACAGGGCCTATTTTGGCATTAATTGGGTCCCAAGAGGGAGAATGCTGTTTTGTTCAGCTTATTCCGTCCATGAAGGCAATTATTGTAAAGGACAGACACAACTTGATCTTGCTGTTCCTTGCACCACACATTGCTGTTGCAATGCAGCTTGTTTGGCAGAAATCCATCTTGGCCCAGTTTTCCATCAGGATAAGCCAGAAACAAGTAAGTACAAACCAAGGACTTGGTGACAGTGTACGCCTCACGCTCACCACGCAGGGACCATTTGAAAGCACCACCATAGCTCTACACTGCAGCAGAAGCGTCTAGAGTAGCTTATTCTCACGAATGCTGGCATTGCATAGCACAGGCATCCCCAAACTCGGCCCTCCAGCTGTTTTGGGACTAAAATTCGCATCATCCCTGACCACTGGTCCTGTTACCTAGGGATGTTGGGAGTTGTAGTCCCAAAACAGCTGGAGGGCCAAGTTTGGGGATAGCAACTCTACACTACTTCCACATGTCATCAAAGGACATTGCACAAGCATGGAGGTAGACTCTCGTATGATGACAGCATGGAGGCTCATGCAATGACCCTCTTATGATGGCCATGTGGGAAGTCAGTCCTTCATTACAATCTCAACATGGGCCGCTGGGAATGGCAGTTTACTCCTCACAAAGCTGCAATCCCCAGCACCCTTAACAAACTACGCTTCCCAGGGTGAGGGAATGCGCTTCAAATGTATGAGGTGAATTCATTTCAAGAAAAACAAACCAGGATATTAGTTTGCCCACCATACTACCATTTTTGAAGATTGCAACACAAACATAAAATACAACAGATGATGTGTGGGACAGAAGCAGAATGTCAGTGATTACAAAAATTAAATGGCACTGCTTTAAAAACATCAAAACATTGTTGTCTAATGAGTCAAGGATGGGCAGATCTGAAGTGGTTTTTGGTACAGATAAACCTATCGCTGCTTGCTTCAATTATCACCACAAAAGCTAAAACTGTATTGGGGGGGTAAAACAATACACATATTGGAGTTAATATATAATTATGTAGCCACCAATAGCTTTATCATCCATACATATGTCTAGTCCCCTTTTAAAGCTGTCCAAGTTGGTAAACATCACATCTTGTGGTAGAAAATCCAAATGTTAACTGATTTCAAGAGGCATTAAGCTAAGTACCTAGTAGGAATGGATCCTCTCAACCCCAGTTAGAACAACCAATGGAAGTTATAAGCAAACAATGTCTGGAAGGCCAAAGATTAGCCACCCCAGCAGATTAACCTTATGCTGAACATATGTCTTAGCTTTAAGTCAGGTGTAAGGGGCCATGGGTTTGAACAGGATATTCTCTTTATTTTTATATACAAGCTATTATTCTTTTTGCTCAGCATATCTAGAAAGTTCCTTGAGCACACAGAAGCCATTACTGTACTTTGTATCTAGACAGCCCTATTTGGCTGCCAAACAGATAAGAATGGGACAAAATTCAACATAAGAAGAAAAGAATGGTATCACTAATGGCAATGCATTCAATCACTGCCTTAAACCACACTGCATTGTCCCTTTTTTTTAAAAAAAGGTTTAATTAGCTTTCAATTATTTGTTAAGTACCTTCTAGGTCGAGCACTTCTACTACATAAAGTATTCAAGCAGCTTTTAGAATAAGAATATATGGCATGATCAAAGCTGCCGCCTAAGACTGTGAGAGCAGCCCTTTTGGATCAATTCACGGAGTCTAGCATTCTTTTCCCAACAGTGGTGTTGAGACACTCACAAGGCAGTAAGCGTTATTGCTCCCCAGTAACTGGTGCCGATACTGCCTATGAACCTGGAAATCCCCTATTGCCACCATGACTAAGAGCCACTGACAGACCCACCCTCTACAAATGTGTCCAAGGTATTTTAAAGCCATCCAAGAACTGCTTCCTTTCGTCTGCCCTGAATTTTCTGCCAATCAGTTTCATCGGTTGAATCTGAGTCCTACTATTGCGTGAGAGAGAACCTTCTCAATGCCCCTTCCCCACACACTACACAAGTTTAAAATAACTATTAGGTTCTTCCCCCAGTCACATTTTTCTCAACTAAAAAAACCCAGCCACTGCAACCTTACCTCATAGTCAAAGTGCCCCTGATTCATCCTGGGTACCCTTTTCTGTTCCTGTTTTTGAGATGGGCAAACCAAAACTAAACACAGCATCTCAAGTGTAGCCAGACCAGAGATTTAAGGGGAGTGCCATACTGACTGGTAGTTTTTCTATTTGATCCCTTTCCTAATCACTCTCACAAACCTGCCACACACTAGGTCAATGATTTCAATGAGCTATCCTCCACAATCCCAAGCTCTCTTTCCTGACAAGTCACCATCGGTTTCAGACCTTTCAATGTATATGTGAAGTTAGGTTTATGCAGCACACACATGCATTACATTATTCTTATTTACACTGCACTCTATACGCCCACTCAGTTAGTTTGCCAAGCTCCTTCTGAAACTGCACAATCTGCTTGGTTTTCACTACCCACACTAATCTGGTGTCACGTACAAACCTGACCACCACACTGCTCACCCCTAAGCATAAATGAACAAGTTTAAAATCACAGATCTTTTGAGATTAGATCTTTTTCCACCCTCCTTCTTACTCTTCTTCTTCCTACTCTCTCTTTCCTAGTCCTTTTATTATTGTTATTTATTAATTTTTTTGGTCAATTTATCTTGCCCTAGGCAACTCAATAGGACTTAAAAGCAAGCAAACAAACCCCATACGGTGGTACCTTGGTTTACGAACTTAATCCTTTCCGGAAGTCCGTTCTTAAACCAAGGCGTGCTTTCCCATAGCAGCGGGGGACTCAATTTACAAATGGAACACACTCAACAGGAAGTGAAACATGTTCTGCTTCCAAGGCAAAGTTCACAAACCGAAACAGCTACTTCCGGGTTTGCAGCGTTCTTAATCCAAGTTGTTCATAAACTAAGCTGTTCTTAAAGCAAGGTACCACTGTATAGAGACATTAAAACCAGTGAAAGAAATACATTTAAAACATAATATAGTTATTTATTAATCCCTAAGTCATGGTTAAGTATTGACCAGACTTCAGACCAGGGTGTGAAATCAAAGTTTCAAATGTTTAAGCAACCCATATGCACCAAGCAAACCACAGTGAGGGTTATTCTCTGGCCTCTTTAGCCTGTCTGTGAAAGGTGCTTAATTTGTCTCTCTCCCGCCACTTTATAAAGCACCCACTGGTGTTTATATGCCACCCAGCAAATTAAAATGTTGTTTCGCTGTATTTTGGACCGTAACTGGGATCATCAAGACAAACTATGGTTAAAACTAACTGGGATTGCTTTTACTTACTTATTTATAAAAATAATTCCATACTGCCATTTTCATAAAATAACAGGGCGGTGTACAACATTAAAACATAAAGCACCCTGAAAAACAATACAGATAAGCATTAAAATGACATGCGAATAAAAAAATATTAATCTGCTACAGAGGCCTGTCAAAAAAAGGTCTTCAAGAGATGCTTCAAAATCAAAAGTGAGGATGCAATCCTGTACAAGTCTATTTAGAAATAAGTGATGGCATTCAATGGGTCTTACTCCCAGGTAAGTGGGTATAGAAGGTATAGAATTTACCATGTCAAAAACATACTTAATTCTTTGCTACATCTTTATGGGAGTCTTCCACATTCAAAGCGTTGGGTAAAGTTTCCATTTTGACTTCTATGTTCACATTTGTGTGCTTCCTTAAATGACTTTTGACAGTTCAGTTTGTAGCCTGACCTGGTGTCATCCTTTCTACAAATATTGATTTAGAAAGCTGCAAATATTTGTTCATGCATTACACTAGGAAGACCCTCTTCAAAACGGCTGTTAAAGTTTTTTCAAGCATATACACACACTATTTCAAGCACTGTTTCAGAATCAATTAGCTGTCAGATATTTACCATTTTAAATTAAAGTTCGTTGTTCATTACAAAAGCTAGTGTAACAAAGACACAGTAAATGCAGTACAAAAATAACACCCACAACATACATATGTAATTGTGTAGGTTTACTCAAAATGTAATGGTTGTCAAAATCAAATGAAGTCCAATTTAAATAACTAAATGCTATGCCAAAGGGTACCAGAGAATCTATTTTCTTTTTTAATTCTAGTAGGCCATCATGACAAACTCTGTAACTGGATATCAAACTTTACTGTCATAACATATTTTTACAACTAATGAAAGCAAATGTATGTTTTATTTTACTTTTTTGGGGGGGAAACTTAAGTACAGTGGTACCTTGGATTAAGTACTTAATTCGTTCCGGAGGTCCGTACTCAACCTGAAACTGTTCTTAACCTGAAGCACCACTTTAGCTATGGGGCCTCCTGCTGCTGCCGCGCCGTCGGAGCACGATTTCTGTTCTCATCCTGAAGCAAAGTTCTTAACCTGAAGCACTATTTCTGGGTTAGCGGAGTGTGTAACCTGAAGCATATGTAACCTGAAGTGTATGTAACCCGAGGTACCACTGTACTCTTTACTAGATCAGAACTAAACTGTATGTCAATTAACTTCCATTGTGTTCCTTTTCCCTTGCTTATCTATTAACATATATCATGATAAAGGTTATGTAACAACTCATACCATCCTGTTTTCAAATTCAGGTAACAAGAAGGTATTATCCTAGCCTAAACATTACATGTGTTATCAACAAAGCAGTTCTTATGCACCTTTACAACAGAGTAAGTCCTAACTACCAAGCAAGCAAACATACACACACAGCTGCATAGATCAACCAGCAAACAGGGTTTACCAGTTCTGAAATAGCTGGGATAAAGAAAGAAGGGATAAACATTTTTAACTATTGGGCATTTCTTATTCTCCATTGCTCTATTTTCTTCTTCCACTTAAATAAATGCAAAATAAATGCTACCAGCAGGAGCGTGGCGTAGCTAGCTGCTCTGGCACCCGGAGTGCTGGAGGTGGGGCAAGCCGCCCACAGGGGTGCTGCGGTGATCCGCACACGGGGGGCAGGCACTGCACGGGGACGCCAGAGTGATCCGCCCAGGGGGGCAGGGCGGCGAGTTGACCATGGAGTCCGCCTGGCAGACGCAAGCCCCAGGCTGCCATTTCAGGCAAAGTGGGGCCTCAAGCCACTGTGTCACTCCCAGGAGAGACGCATGGCTCAGGCACACTGCAGGCCAGGCCCTGTGGTAAGTGCTGTCCCCCGCGGTGTGCCATTTTGTCACCCCCTCAGGGATGACACCCGGAGTAAACTGCATCCCTCCCCCTTCCTACGCCCCTTGCTACCAGTAAAGTTAGAAGAATATTTTTAAAATTCCTTCCTTTCTTGTTCTGAAGTGTGTCTACTCATAGATTTTAAGTGTCTACCCCTAAGGTAGCGACCTGTCGTATCTGTTTTGTGTAAAGTGCCATGGGCATAGTTGGTGTTATTTAAATGAATATCTCTTAACACAACACTTCTCAAATCTCAAAGCTGCACCTTGTTTTTGTCCAGTCTATGTCCAAGGCCTATGATGCACTGTAAGCTAATATCCCTTCCCATTTTTTAATATAATAAATCTTCAGGAAATCGTAAACAACCTGAAAATGAGAACTCCAAAAATAGTCCATTTGCTTCTTTCAAAGTATGTTTTATCTGTAAGTGGCTAGCTAAGAGAATTGTTTCCCCTTGTAAATTACAGATGATTTGAAGTTCTGCTGAACAAGCTTAAACATTAGCTATACACCTCTCTCTGTACCTTCAGGCATGAACGCATCACTGCAGTAGATTCTTACCCACATTGCTGAGCATATTTTTTAAAAGCCTATTTTCATAAGCAATTCCTCCAAGTGTATGTGAACCAGGGTCACAAACATCACTCCTAGACATCCACCTCAGTTCACCAAGAGAGAGATATTCTGGTTGGCTGTGTAGCTAAAGAAACATAGTCTTCCATGTGAGAAACCGCAATAAAGTCGGGAGGGAAGGCAACTGCATGATATATTTAAGATCACCGACTTGCAACAACAACAGCAGCAACGTGGGTGGGCGCCTGCAACAAACCTTTTCGACTGCGCGTCAACTTCGCACGTTGCTGTTTGAGGCAGGCACTATTTGGAAAGCAAGGGAATCCACCATCCTAACCATTTCAACGCCCCCGTGGAGACAGGATTCGTCGCTCGACAAGCGATTTCGGGAGGGAAAAAGCGAGGAAGTGAGCGCCGGAGCCACACCCACCTCCTGGACCTGCATCTCGGAGCCGGGCAGCCCTGAAGCTCCCTCTTTGGCAAGCGCCTGCCGGGCAAGGCGGAGAAAAACAAGCTTTTGCAGCGGGAGGCAGCCAAGCGCAGGCGTTTCCTCCCCCCCTCGCCTCATCCGCCCGCCTCCTCAAATGCTGATCAGAAAGCTGATGGGAGGTTCAAAAACACACACACAAACACACACACTTTTTTTTTTCTTGCAAAGAGGGAGCCTGTTTCTCTCCTCCCCCACCTCCCCATCAACATCCCCATCCCCTTGATGCGCACCAGCATTTGATGTTTTCCAAAAGGCGCACAGCTGGGCGCTGCGGCGGCAGAGGTTGTCGCTTCTCCGATGTCCACCTCCGGAAGGTCTCCTCGGGCCGCCTAGGCAGGTTCTCCCTCGAGGATGCCCAGCTGAGATCCCCTCATTCTTCTACCTAGGAAGGGGCGCGTAGTAGACCAGAAGCATCAGGAGACTGGCTAGCTGGCTGGCGGAGGGAAGGAGCTGCAGCAGCTGCTGCTGCAGCGACAGCCGCCGAAAGAAGAAAGCCGCGCTTGCCAAGATCCACCCTCGCGCGCCGCTGCGGCTCAGCCGGCCGTCCGGGGCGCGCAGCTGCCTGAGGCCGCCCGCCGGCCTTGCAAGGGCTGCAGCAGCAGTCGCCGCAACGGCGGTAGCGGCAACAGCAGCATGCTTCCCCCGGCAGAAACAGGCACAAGCCGCCGCCCCTCTGTGCCCTGCGCGCATCCGCACAGCGACGCACTCCCTCCCTCCCTCCCTCTCTCGCTCGCTCCCTTCCCCACCGCCAGCTGAAGCCCGGCAAATCTCCTCAGAGCCCGCCTCGCCAGAGCGGCTCCCTCGGCCTCTCCCTTCCTCCCTCGCAGCCGGGCCCCGGCTCCGCCCACGTCGGAGCGGGGCGACCCCGCGGGGAAATGCGTAGAAGAATCCCACGAGAAGCGGGGAAAGGGAAGGCAGAGGGTGCAGTCATTTCCTCGTGACTCTCGCCCAGAATCAGTTCCTCCTCCTCCCCAATACTGTATCTGGAAAAAACACGTCCATTCCTAATGATATTTATTAATCTGCCATTGTCTGGACGGTGCCGTGTACACACAATCGAAGCCTGTGAGCATGCGTGGAGCGTCCACATCTTATTAAACTGGGTTTGGGGTCGTTTTCCCTACATCGCTGCTCTCAGCAAAAAGTTCTACTAGAATCACGACCTGTCCCACAGGGGAGCTCTTGCCCAGTGGCCTCTCAGCATGGCCTTGTTTGAAATGTGTGTGCTTTTTCAAGCCCAAGGCCTTTTGCTGCCTGAGGGCAGGCTGGGGGGAAATGCCTTCTCCCAGAGGCAAGGAGATGCTGGCATTTGAGATAGAATATGCCGCAAATGCCTCTCCTTGCGAGTAAAAATACCACAATAATCAAGTAGTTTAACAACTAAAAGCAGCCACTATTAGACAACTTCCTCAGTCTGTCAAATGGTAGAGCCAGCTCATATGCTGCCATTTACCGCCTTCAACAACTTGTGTTTCTGAGCACCAGGAGCAAGGAAGCAGTCCCTCACCCACCCAGAAAATGCTCATGACTATTGTCCATGCTGGCTGGGCTTGATGGCTCTTGGACTTGGGCAACATCTGGAGGACCTTGGTTTCCCCGCCCTTAGTTTAAACAAATAAGAGAGGAAGAGGGCTAACCTTCTGACTCTTTGCTTCAAGGGCTAGGCCCAAGCCCACCAAAGTGTCATATCCCAAAACTAAGAAGCTCTTTGCCCTTCCTTGCGAATATTCCGTAATATGCTTGTGCTTGCTCAGTTGTGAATAAGAAGGGTATTATCTGCGTTTTTCCTGACAAGACTCCATACGTTTCGTTCCAGTGCAAGAGTTCAGTGTGTAGCTTTTTGCATAACTGCATCCTTAGCTTGCACTTCTACCTGTTCAGCTATTGAAGGCACAAGAGCTTCAGGCAGAAAAAAATGTAAGGGAAATCATTTAAAAGCATTTTTTTGAGAACTGAGCTATTGCCCTGAAAAGTGGATTTTCCCATCATGGGTTGTGACTTCTCATTTTCTTCTTGACAATGCACTTTGGGTTCTGTTGCAACTGCAGCACACAACTCCCCCTGCTTCACAACTCAGCCAAGATGATGGTTAGTGTTTCAGTAGTCAGAAGGGGCATGGTGTTGGCCTGTTTATGGATTTTGAGAAGGCAGGCAGGGAAAACAGGAAGATTTCCCAGAACTTGCCTCCTATCTCCCCTCAGCATCTCAGCCATTTAGCACGCTCCTCATGTTAGATCATATCTCAAAAAAAGGACAAACTACAAAGCAGGCACTGGTGGAAGAACAAGGTTATCAGATGCAAACAGTGTCCCTGTACCTTTAACAGTAGAGAACATTTTAAATTTGGGCAGGTGCAGTTTGTCATTCATGGGTAAAAAGGCTGCGCCTGCTGATATTGTGCCTTCTGCATACCTGTGATAAGTCCAGAAGTCTTGTGCACCTCAACGCTGGGCCTCCTTATGGAAACATTGTTAGTACCTTACAAGCCTTAGTTGTGTTGTATGTCAGAGATCCATATTTCTCAGTTGGATGTCAACTTTTCCTATTCCTCCTGTGCTCACAGTGCCTTACTACTTATCTCCAGCAGCCAGAAGAAACTTTATCTGCTCAATTTCTATTTTCCAGGCTGCCCTTAAAGGCACGAGAACAAGAGACATTAATGATATGGCAAACCAAATCCAGAGGGGTAAGGCCTTGAGTTGTTTTTAAGAAAACCCAGGGAGACACACATATCTGCATTTGCTTTAGAATTAAGTGGGAGTAAACATGCATATGGGATTAGGCCGTGATACTATTTTGCTACATTTTTCTTCCAGTTTGGGGTACCTAAAAGAAGCCTACCTTAACATTGTGGTTGTCAAAGTGTATGAAACTGTTCAGTAGCATCAATAACCCAAAGAGCTACAATTTGGCTTTGGATCATTTTTGCTTCTTTATGAACCCATATATACCCTGCTGACTTGTTACAGAGCTACTGCAATTCTAATCATGTCTACTCTGATAGATATTCAAGGGGGCCTACTCCCAAGTAAGTGGATGATACCTTAGACTAACAACCCAATCTTAACCATGTCTATTCAAAAGTAAGTTCTACGGAGTCCAGTCAGGCTTACTCCTAGTTAAGTGAGGTTAGGATTGCATTTTATACAGTTTTGCAAATTTGCACTGTAACTTTAACGAAGGAATTCTGTGGTTAGGGGTAAAGCAGTGAGCTGGGCACACTAGTGCAAAGGATGTTCTTTCAGAACTAGAAATGCTAGTAAAGGTGATGCTTGCCTGTTTACATTTAATTAATTCATAGTTTAGTTTTTGTTTGCTAAATGCCATAAATCAATTCTAATCTAAAATGTACTTTGCTATGTTGTTGCTTTAATACTGTAAACCAACAACTGATGTAAGTAAAAGCAATCATGTATTTACATTTAATTTCACTTCCTGAAGTATTTATGTCACAGCTTTTATAGTGATCCTTCTATTATTTTGATATAATCATTTGTCTTATTCACAAATAGGTCAGCATGGCTGTTATTAACAGTCCCATTACCTCTCCATTATATAGGATCCTTACATCATCACAATAATTCAGTAAATAAATTGGAAAACTGAATTTGTACAACTTCATAAATGAGATAGGAGTGGACATATTACAGTAGCTGCACTTAGATAAATGTGAAATAAGTTCCAATATGAGATTTCACTGATATGAAAGAGCCACTCTTGTTTGGTATAAATTGCAATTACCATGCTCATTATTTCTATGGAATGTATAATTTAGCTATTGACTTTGGTCCAAGGTCTAGTGGTTAGGATTTGGTCCTCTCATTCTGCAGCCTGGGTTTGATTCCCAGCCAGGGAACAATTGAATTGGTCTAAATTTAAATTCCTTTTTAAAAAATGTCATGTGGCACCAAAAATAACAAAGTGTCTTACATAAATCAGACGAAGAGACAGCATTTCAGCTCCCTGGTGGTCTAGTGGTTAGGATTCGGCGCTCTCACCGCCGCGGCCCGGGTTCGATTCCCGGTCAGGGAAGTTGTGTTTTTTCAAAAGTTGTCATCTCGCTTCCCGTATTACTTTGAGGTTTTCTTCTTAATTACGTAGTTCCCACTCTGAGCAGAACTCACACCTGCAATATGGGTACTGTGATTTCAGTATTTTAGGGTTTTATGATTTGGTGCTTTACTGCTTTAATTTCAGGCTGCTGTGCTGTCCATGCTTTTTCATAAATTCTATTGGTGTCAGTCGAGCATATTCCCAGGTGAACGGGGTTAAGATTGCAGTCTCAATTGGTTCCGTTATGACCCATCATTGCAAACTGTTTTGAGAACATGGTTCTGCTAAAACTCAACGTGCAAATTTTAACGACCACAACCCCCCCCCCAGATTTATAATATATTGCTTTAGAGTTGTCTGTCAACAGTCTCGCGGTTTAGAAAACTTTTATATAATGTGCGAATGAATCCTCCTCCTTGGGACCTGTTAAATTTAAGAATAGTTAATTCTCGTCCCACCCGGAAATCTAGTTGTGTACTAACAAGAAAGTAGAAGTGTGTGAAAGTGACCTTTCTTGCACAGGGCTTGATAATCGCCTGCTTTATCAAATGAGTGACACACAGAGTTGTCGGTGAGAAGAAAGCTGGGCTGTGACAAAATGTTGACCTGTCAGGTAGTACAGGTTGATCCGTTGTGGATTTTCTGGGTTCAGATGCCATTGATCGGGTGCAGGAGAAATTATCTTTAGTCGTAACTACCTTCTTGCGCGCATTAAACCTCTATAATCCTAAAGTTGGGATCCTACGTTCTCGTATAGCTGCACGATAGGCAGAAATCGAGCAGGTTAACTGCACTTCTGACACGTGCCCACTCACCGTAAACAACAGCATCCCATTGAGTTCATCAATGACACTTAATCCCAAGTAAGTGTAGGGGAAGTACAGGCTAAATCATCCAAATAGGGTGCTTAGATGAAGGCAAGCTCCATCTGCTGGGTTCGTCTGTCAGAAGTACTGCTAGGTGATGGTGACTTTTTTTTTAAAGCAGCTGTAACTGTGCAGTGCAAAGGGAGCTCAGAGACCCCTTGGACCCTGCTCTGTTATGCTACAGCAATAACGCATCCAGCTCCTCACCTTCACGATTTATTGTTCGAGATCCTTATCTCGAAGGTTCAACGACACGGCGATACGAGCATCCGGACAGTGTTGTGCAATTCAATACGTGTCCCAGCCCCAGTCTGCAGCGCCGCAGCTCTTTATAAAAGCAAAAAGAGAGAGGACTTTGTGTAATTATTTTCCCCACCCCCAAAATCAATTGCATCGAAATCCAGCAGATCGGCCTGAATAGAGGAATCGATTCGAACTGGTGGAGAAAGATGCACTGATGATCTACCGTGATGCAAAGAATGCTAAGGAACTTAACGCAACTGCAGCAGCGCGCCCGATTCCTAAAATTGGACGTGCAAGTTTTTCAATAGAAGCAAGGAAGAAAGAGCGATGGGCATCCCGGGGACTGGAGAAGCCCGTTTCTCGGGCTTCATCCACCGGGCACGAGGAGACGCTCAAACAGAAAGAAGTCGAGGCTCTGCGAAGGAAGGCTGTCGTCCTCCTGCCCTGAGAAACCGCAGAGGCGAAGAAAGGAACAGCCGCAAAAGCAGCAGAGGAGCTTAGGGTGGTTTCGAAGGCATCCCTGCGCAAGCTGCGATGTGTGCAAGTTCGTGGCGGCGCACAAGTGCCTGCGTACAACTGAGAACTGGGTTTGGGCCGGGAGGGTGTGGGGATTGCCTGCTTCCGAGGGATGTTCTGTGTGTGGACATTTTACTGGGAATCCAGTCCAGCTTCAGCTTTGATCTGCAGAGATGTCACTTTTTCAGAGCTGTCCTCTCTCTTTCGGCCACGCACATCACCTTATCTGCAAATCTAGATTGTGTTTGTGGGTTGGGAACCTTTATGAGCATCAGGTTTGGCAGATTTTATTATGGCTACATAACTAAATATTTTTGTTTTTGCGTTGCCACAATCACCTGCTGCTTTTTATTGGTTTTTTTCTTTTGCAGTTCCAAACTCATTCTGGAGTTATGTAGGTCTGACACGTGTTGAGAATGTTTAAAGAGTAAACAAAAAATGTTTTTTTGGGGGGGCGAGGGGTGAACAGTCATTGCTCTTTGAAAATTTGAATTTCTCCTTATTTCTGTGAGCCGTCGCTCTGCCCCGTAGGATATTTTGAAAAATATATTCCGTGGTGAATCCGGAAGTATACTGCGCAGACAACGAATACGTTACTCTACACTTTTATCTCTGTGTTGAAAACCCGGGCCGGACAAAGAGAACGTATTTACGCCCATTCTCGCGATAGCCGAGAACTTGGCAGACTGGCTAGAAGAGCGACCTATTCTTTGTCAGATGCTGACAGATGCAGCCTCGCCTGCTGCGCTGAGGAGGCGGAGCCAGCGTCAACGTTCGGTTGCAAAGCAGGGCACTAAATAGGAACGGTTTTAAGGTGCGGGAGCAGAAAGTCATGCTGATAGGTCATTTAACATCAAGAGGCGGGGTGATATTTATAGGCGGAATTTATGCAGATTAAGGGAAGGTAAACCAATGGAATACTTTTTCATAAAGAAGCAGACAACCGTATTCCGCAGCTCCCTGGTGGTCTAGTGGTTAGGATTCGGCGCTCTCACCGCCGCGGCCCGGGTTCGATTCCCGGTCAGGGAAGTTGTTTTTATTGTAGTTTCGATGTCATGTTGTTCAACGAGGATCCGAGATGGAAGCAAATGTTCTTTTTCACTCCGTAAATTTGCATTATTTTTGCATTCAGTCTATGGATGAACTTTCCACTAAATCAAAGTACTATTCAGCTTCATAGCTTGCATCCCTATTTCTCCGTGGTAACAGAAATGCAGTACTCCAAAGCCTCAACAACTTCTATGTTTTTACCAGTAGTAGTTGTAATTATTATGTTTTTATTTTTTAAAATAATTTTTATTAAAGATTTTCATAGTTTTACAAAAGTACAAGCATTATCTCTTTTTTCAGGTTGTGATTTCTACAGATGAGTTGCATTTGTTGTGAGACATTGGTGTTACATGCAGTAAAAAGTTGGGAAGAAAAAGAGAGGGAAGAGAGGTGGGTACATTCTTTTATGTACTTAGTGTCAATGTGGGGTTTAGTATCAGAGTCACTTGGGTAGGTTCTCTTTCTATTCGCTTGTTATATTTCCTGACCAGAGCTCTTTAAAGAAAGGGCAGGATGCAAATGTTGTAGTAATGATAATACTAATAATAATACTAATAATAAATAAATACTGTCTACTCTGACTCTTAGTGGTTCCCCAGGCCTTGGGAAGGGAAGCTTCTTTTCCATTCTTCAAAATATTTTGCAGCATTCCAAAAGCCATTTGCTCTACCGTTGCTTAGAATAAATACAGAAGTATCCCACAAGGGGGCATGCTAGTCCCATAACCAAACTTTCACTTGGGCCTAAAATAAATTTCTGTGTTTGTTTTAAATGTAGTGATGCGACTTACAGTAGTACTTAAGACCTGTGTGCACAAATGAAAAAGCAGCTTTCCAAGCTATTTCTTTGTAGGAAATTGTGAGATTCCTACGCGTCACGTGTGTGCACGCTTTTGGTTAATAATTCTTCCGTACCAGGAATGCTTTTGGTTGAATGAAGTGGTCCTGAGGTGCCTTCCTCCTAGCTGACAAGACTCTCTTTTTAAACGAAACCATCCTTTTTATAAATAATAGACGGGAGGACTCATAGCTCCATTGTGTGGTCCGTGCATTACATGAAGATTCCCAATTAAAATGATTAGAAGCCTTAGAAAGTGGCTCAGACTCATGCTTTCTTGAACACAGGACAAGCGGAAATTTCACACTTGTTCAAATGTTGAGATGCTGTTCTCTAACCAAAGAAATACATATGTTAGGCAAAAGTATTCATGTTAATTAAAATAATGTGTAAAATCTGCAAAAATATTCAACAACTTTGTACAAAAATGCATGTATTGAGGGTAAATTGCCTGAAAATTTGTACACATCTTAAAAAAAAAGTGGGAAAATTGAACTTAAGACGGTAAAAAATGAGAAACTGAAGGTTCGTCCATCCCTTGCAGAAACTCAAGACTTCTGTGTTGTTGCTTTGTTAACAGAATTCTGAATCAAAAAATGTTTTCCTCCAGCTCCCACTGAAACAATTTGGAGTTCTAATAGTTTGTAGCCACCTGCAGGAAAAATATCAGGTAACTCTTTTACACATCTCATATATTGTAAATCGCTTTGGGATGCCTCAGGGAAAGCAATGCATCAATGCAAGAAGAAAACAAAATGTTCTGTACAGCTAATATGTCCACTTAGATCTGTAGGCTGTTTTCAATGAACACTTGTGTTAATTCAGCATCTTACAGGGCCCTCGCCCACAAGCAAGCACTACTGTGAAAAGGGGCTTCTGTGTTTGCCCCATATAACCTGTCCCCTCTTGGTCTATGAAGGAACGATGACTACATGCATCAGCCTCTTTATGCACTGGTACTGAATGCACATCTGCTGGGGGCAACTCCAATAGGCGCACTGACATGACTTGCACATGTAACCGTGCTATTTCCCCATTGTGTGAGGGCACTGTAGTATATAAAACACGTGTCGTACAGGAGAGTGCCTATGTGAAAGGCTAGCTGGCAAGAATTGGCCTCCTGAGCTTCTAGGAAGCCACTATCTCTCATGTTTCCAGAACATCTGGCAAGGAATATGGGTTCTCAGCATGCTAGCTATGCTACAGCCCTGTATCAAGGATAAGGATTGCTTCATGTGCTAAGCTTTTTCTCTGGCTGTGTGTACACATGAAAGGTGGAGCTGAAAATCAATAATACTGTCGTCTGTATATAATGGGCAAACATTGGGCAAGATCCAGCTGGCATTGTTTCGTAAGTCCCATTGTGTGTTTTTCGGTTTTTCCCCACTTAGGTTTCAATCTCTCCTCCTAGAATCAATGAGACATAACAGCGCTTAACTTCTGGTTGGATCATACTCAGTATTAGTAAATATTATGTGCACAAATACGGCAACGCTTTCATTCTCTTTACATCTGTGAAGTCTTTGGCACAGAGCAGAATGGTCCACACAGCGAGAAAAACTGCCTGGGAAGCAGGCTTTACATATTTCTGCTAAATTATTTCTATTTGTGTGTGTGCGTGTGCGTGTGGCTTTTGCTTATACTTCTGCTACTGCTTTTGGGCATCCTTGGCTTTTGACGGTCACATCAAAAGAGTTGTTGTGGCGTGAGAACTGGTCAGTATTGAGCCAGATAATGCCTGGATTTATTACTGAGGTCGGTTCCCATGATTGTCAGTGGGCAGCAGGCACTGACTGTCGTAATCCTCATTCTCTTAGAAAAGCACATTGTGGTTGAATAGTGATTTACTAATGTGACTCATTCTTGCAGGTTTACCAGGTCCTGAAGGAAGACAAAGTGGCACTTAAAGGAGTAGCCAAATATGTTTTTCCTTCGTTATTACTGGCCGCAGTATCTGTGCAGATCAGTGTTTGTGGCTTAATCCAATAAATATATTTGCATCCAATTTGTTCAAGAGCCTTGTAATTTCTTTGCCCCTCCTTCTTAAAAGAAGTTAGGTAAAGGGAATATTTTGCATCTACTTTTAAAAGCATCGTGATGCTGAATTGTTTCTCAGTGTCTTAATAAAGCTGTTCTTAAGCTTAGCATTTGAAGTAAATTGTTTGTAAAACATTACATGGTTTAAAAGGGGATCTCAAAGGTTTAGAACATTTCTAAATTTTATCCCTTTCTCTTTTGCTATGATAGTGCTGTACAGAAAAAAATATATAGTTTTGACAATTTTTTTCTACACAGCATATCACTACAGCCAAACCAGTTCTGTAATGACAGAGCACTACACTGGAATAACACTTATGTCCGTTTGAGTTACTAGATTGTGATTCCCATGTGAACCCCATTGCTTTGCTCCCTGACAGCAACATGGGCACAAGCTGTAGGAAAAGCAGGTTTTATTTGAAAGGGCTCAACTCATTCCTGCTTTGTTAATTCAGCATCTTATTACAGTACAAGTCCTATCCAGCCCTAGCATGCAAGCAAAGCTTTTCACTAGCATTTTCTAGCTGACATGCACACACTTCGCTCTCCGCTGACATACACTCACTTTCAGTTCAGGCAATATCCTCTAGATATTGGACCACAGCTCCCATAATTCTTGCCCACTGGCCATGCTGGCTGGGGCTGATGGGAACTGAAATCCAGTGACATCAGCAGCGCCATAGGTTCCCCAACTCTGGTCTACAGTGGTACCTCGGGTTACAGACGCTTCAGGTTACAGACTCCGCTCACCCAGAAATATTACCTCAGGTTAAGAACTTTGCTTCAGGATGAGAACAGAAATCATGTGGCAGGGGTGGCGGCGGCAGCGGGAGCCCCCATTAGCTAAAGTGGTACCTCAGGTTAAGAACAGTTTCAGGTTAAGAACGGACCTCCAGAATGAATTAAGTTCTTAACCCAAGGTACCACTGTACAGGCTTCAGCCTGAGTACCTTTGAATGGGGCAGAACCTGAGCCATAGTTCAGAAGTGCATGTGTGAAGTTATAGCTTAAACTGTACTCCTAGTAAAATGAAAGAGATGGAATCAATGAAATACTGTGTGAGATAAACACAAAATATACTGCCTAGTTTTACTTTACAAAAACCCTGTTCTGTTATGTGAAGGCCATCTAGGAGAAGTGCAGAGCTGATGTTCTTGGCCCTCCCAGATAACTTATTAACTGAGCTAAGCAGCAGAGTGCCAATCTAGGACAGGAACTGTGTGCTCACTTTGTTGTGGATTGTTCATGCTGGAGCCAATGGGGTAACCATTTTTGTTTTCCGTGCAAACTGCCAAGGAGACAGCAGGGACCCTCTAAGGAGGGTCCTTAGAACTGCAACACAGACAATACCTTTTAATCTGCTTGTTCCCGTGCTAATATAAAATGTGAATTTTTCAAGTAGGGATTGGGAGGCAGGAGGCAGAGAGAAATTGGATTTAAAGTTTGCATTTAAAGACAAGCCTCGCTTTCTGAAATAGCTGAACCCAAGACACAGCCGTCGATCAAAATTCACACTTTGTAACCAAATATTGTGCACAAAAATGCATGCGTTCATGAAAACAACGTACAAAAATGCATCATACTAGGGGAAACAGTTTTTCAGAAATCCATTCAAAAATGTGTATAGTAGGAGAAATTTGCACTGAGGAACTGATGAAATTTCATGAGGACTTTTTTTAAAAAATGCAAACTGATGTGGAAATGTATGTAAAAAACCTAAGACAGGGAAAATGAGAAAGGCCATTCCTAACTGCTAGCCATCTTTTTTGTTTTATCCTAGGTTCCCCTTTTGGGAACTAAAACCATTGAGGACTGGGGAGAATAGCTGCAGTTATCTATCTTTCTTATTTATCATGCATCACCAAACACTTTGAACCAATATAAGGCCATCCTAGATGTTACGTGTGTGGTTGTACCTCATGTGCTTGGTTTTCATTAATTAAATAGCAGCCATGGGGACAGAGCATGAAGGGGAGGAGATTTCTCCCTGGAGGAAAACTAACATTGGTAGCTTCTGTCCTGGGGGCAAGTAGAAGTCATTGGGGAAGCATAGGGCACAGTCAGCACTGTAGCAGCATTAACTGGTTCAATGCCCTCTCCACCCTGCAGCCCCCATTCTGGATCAGCTCCCCTGCAACTGCTATTTAACCAACAAATGCTAAGCATACAAAGGACCAGTTATGTGCAGAACATTGTGTCTAGCTCGGCCTTCCAAAGTCACTCTTAGGTTTGGACATTCAACTGTAGACATTTTCAGTAGCATGATGTCCCCAAACAATCAAGTTATGCAGAAACTGAGAGACCACATTGCACACTCAAAAGTTGTAGAATAGGTTAGTACTGTGTGTTTGCACAAGCACACACAGACCAGCAAGTGCAGGAAGTTTCTCCATCTGGGCTGATCTGAACTTCTGCCTCACATTCAGACCTTGCACTTCCAGCGGGCACACCAAAACAAACCAGAAGTCAGTCAAAAAAAGACTTCATTTAATTAGTGATACTTAAAGACTTTTGCATAGAAAAAAAAGGTTAACAAAATAATGCACAATTTTCCCACCCCACCCCTGACTAGGAACAGTATTTTTAAAACAAATATTTTAAAAGTATATTTTGCATAATGTTTAACATTCTCACTGCTTATTGCTTTCTCCACACAGCAGAGAAATGAAGTGCATAATAATACATGCTGTGCTTTTATTTAACTTGCTTCCCCGACCCACCCCCAACAACAAACTTTCTAGCTCTTGAGTCAATGAATTAAAATACTTGTTATGTCATGTTGCTGCAATAAAATAAAAAAAAAAGCAAAGCATTTTTGTAGCACTGCTTGTCTGGGTAGTAAGAACATAACTTAAACTCCCAACACTTTTGTTTGGGTTGAGAACTGAACCAATACAAAACCAATGGCAACGGAGAAAGACAACCCAAAGGATCCTGTTGTCTGCATTACAGCTACTCATTCATGCCAATTCCCAACAGCTGACTGTGAAGAGGACTTGCATCCCATCTGGAGGATGCGGTATTTTCACTTGCAAAGGGAATCAAATAAATCAGATTTATCCTGGTGTTCATACATGTACATGTAACACACTTGGCTATAATTTTATGCCACCTAGTGCCAGGATGCTTGAAGTCTTGCAAGACCAAGCACTGGAAAGATCAGTGCTTCTGTCAATATCATGCATGTCACCATCTGACAAGTCTGCACAAAGAAAGTGAATTAGATCAGATTAAATTTAGCATATACATCCTCAGTTATCTGCTTGGCTATTCCATAGTTTGTAATCCTGCACAGTTAGCTAGCTTAGATCCCACTCATGTCAAGGGAATACAGCCTTAGGGTATACATTTTGTTTAAGAATGGTATCCCTGTGCTGGATCTCTGTACTCTTCTCTCCAGCATTATTTTCATACTTGGACTTTTATTATTTGCCTTGTAAAGAAAAACACATACACGTGCACACACCCACCTACACCCACACCCACACCCCACACACATTTGGAAGAGGTCAGGCACTTGCGCATTTTAAACTTAGCGTTCATCTTTCAGGTAGGCTTCTTTAGCTATAAATCCAGCGCCCCTTTAACAAATAAAAATGCATGGCAAGAGGATTAATTCTACACTCTATACATTTCTCAGGAAACGCCTACAGGGGAGTCATTGTTCTTGAAGATCACTGTGGTCCAGTCTGGTGAACAAGAAACACCTCCTGTTCATTTTGACCAATATTAAGGCAGAATACGTCTTACTATTTCCCACCCGTCTTCTGGGAATCCAAAGGGCTACTTGACCTGTTAACAGTCTTTGTGTGAAAGACTTTCTATTGCAACTGTAAAATGCCCCAGGAAGGCTTGCGTAGATTTTTTTAGAAAGCTCCAACTTCAGTCCCCCAGGGTCGGTAGGGTTTACTGCTTCCGTTCCCACTGGCTTGCTGCGGGCTGGCAGATGCTGATACGGACAGCGGTGGGCTGATTGCTGTTGCAGCTGCCACTGCGGCCGCTGCACTAGGTGGCAGCATTGGGAACGCCCCAGCAAAAGAGAGCGGAAAGCTCTGAGCTGCCGCTGCTGCTGCAGCATGTACGGTGGCCGAGAGCGAGAGGAGAGAGGTAGAAAGCGGCGGGACGCAGGGAGCAACGCTGCCGGCAGAGGGCACTCTAAGCGTAGAATCGGCATGGGCAAAAGTGGCCGTGAGCAGAGCAGATCCATGGGGAGGCACTTCTGATGCTGTCGAGAGTCTGCATGGGGAGATGTCAGAAGTGTGGAGTCCATTCTGCTGCAGTAAAGCTGCAGGGAGATGGTGGAAAGCTGCCGCCCAGTGGTGAGGATGCAAAGGGTGGTGGTGATGTGCCATGGTTGAGGTCATTGCTGCAGCTTCCCTCTGAGAAGCACAGGAACTGAGATGAGAGACTAGTCTAACTCTGAGAGGGTCAGATGTGTCCAGACCTTCCACTGAACTCAGGTATCTCGCAACTTCAGTTAAGCATTCTCGAAACCCAATGCTAATGAAATCCATGGCGAGAGCATGAGCGTCAAAGTAACCTGGAACACAGAAAGAAAGAAATGAATTTAGCGACCCAATGGGATTTCTTTGTTTTTTTCTTTTCTTTTGGTCTTTCTTGAAATGGCAGTTCTATAATATTCTAGCTCAGGGGTCAACAAACCTTTTCAGCTGGGGGCCAGTCCACTATCCCTCAGACCTTGTGGGGGGCCAGACTATATTTTTTGGGGGGAAATGAACAAATTCCTATGCCCCACAAATAACCCAGAGATGCATTTTAAATAAGAAGACACATTCTACTCATGTAAAAACACGCTGATTCCTGGACCATCCGCAGGCCGGATTTAGAAGGCGATTGGGCCGGATCTGGCCCCCGGGCCTTAGTTTGCGTACCCATGTTCTTGCTCTTTCTCTTTAAGGCTCCCAGAACATTATTTTCAAACGGCTTTTGTATTATGCATATGCTCACTGATGGAACTGAAATGTGCTAAAGTCAACTTGCAACCAGACATTACAGTGAGAAAGAATGAAGACCATCAGTGTCTGAGACTCTTCAAACACACACACACACACACACACACACACACACACACACACACACATTTTGAACAATAGGAAAAGGATTAAAAAGACTAAACTTCCAATGCAAGATTTTCCACCATATTGCTGAACAATGCCTGTGTATGTCACATACATAGGCACATAATTATTAGCCTTTGAAATCCTGTTCCTTTTACAGTGATATTTAAATACAATATTTGCAATATTTCAATATTGTGGATTTGCTCCTCCATACAACTGGTGCTTGCCATTATTATTATTTTAACAAAAACAACAAGGTCTTCTCTGGGTGGGTGAAACAAAGAGCATCTCATTCTATTAACGCTGTCGAGGACCCAGAATGCAGCAGCTTTATAAAGGGGTGAATCCTGCATTAGGAATCATTAGGAAAGGGACAGATAAGAAAACTGTCCATATTATAATGCCTTTATACCAAATTATTTTGCAAGACCAAATTTGAAATAAAATGTACAACTCTGGTCAGATAGTCTCAAAAAGGATATTGTAAAGCTTTTGAGGCCCATGACACAATTGCATTGTATTTTAGAGGAGTGCAGCTTGGAAATGTCAACCATGGTGAAGGGCTACTAGTAATGTGAATATTTAAGACCATGTGTGTATTAGTAGGAACAGGAAGACACATTACCAGTAGTTAATCGAAGAAAACCATTTATCTTTCCAAAGGAAAAAGTGGCTGTTGTCCACACTGATCAAATTCACAAATATTCCCCCTTCAAACAAACATACCCAGCATCATTTTTGAAAATACCAGTTCTTAAGGTTCAGCAACCTCCCAAATTCTTTTTAAAATCAAGTACAGCACAGAAGGAGTTTGTTTTGCACACATATTAAGTCGTGCAAATTGTTAAAAGGATACTAAGAATGTATCTTTTATTTGATGTGCAGTACTTTGGTCTCCAAGGGACGCGGGTGGCGCTGTGGGTTAAACCACAGAGCCTAGGACTTGCCGATCAGAAGGTTGGCGGTTCGAATCCCTGTGATGGGGTGAGCTCCCGTTGCTCAGTCCCTGCTCCTGCCAACCTAGCAGTTTGAAAGCATGTCAAAGTGCAAGTAGATAAATAGGTACCGCTCTGGCGGGAAGGTAAATGGCATTTCCGTGCGCTGCTCTGGTTCACCAGAAGTGGCTTAGTCATGCTGGCCACATGACCCAGAAGCTGTACGCTGGCTCCCTCGGCCAATAAAGCGAGATGAGCGCCGCAACCCCAGAGTCGGTCACAACTGGACCTAATGGTCAGGGGTCCCTTTACCTTTACCTTGGTCTCCAGAGACAATCTGAAATAGTGTAGCAGGGGGAACTGGCAAGAAAGGAGGGGGATAGTTGTTAATGTTCCAACAACCTCCATGTGAAATACAGTTGTATCTTGGTTCTCAAATTTAATCCATTACAGGAGTCCATGCGATTCCCGAAACAGTTCGAGAACCAAGGCGTGGCTTCCTGCTGCCAATTGGAATCTACGCCAGACGTTCAGCTTCCGAAAAACGTTCGAAAACCGGAACAATCACTTCTGGTTTTCGATCGTTTGGTAGCTGAAACGTTCAAGTTTAAAGGTGTTTGACTTCTGAGGTCCGACTGTAGGTTGGTGGGTGGGGGGCATGCAAATGGCGCCTCAATTGGGAGAACGTGACTTCTGCCTGGCCCATTCCCCTAATAAAGAATTGCGCAGACAGGCAGAGACCCACCCCCAACCCCAGGCGACTCCCTAGTGGAATAATGATTCATGACAACGTGTTATGGGATTAAAATTGGCCGCAACTTTATTATAAAGTTTCAGATGTAGGGAGACCTTGGCTTAGGAATTGGGCATTTATCCCTCCCAGTCCCCAGCCAGGGATCTGGGGAACATCAGGGTTAAGAGAGCCCGCCCCCAGAGCCTGGGAAATTCCTTCCTTCCCAGTCCTTTAACAGCAACCAATGACGTAGCAGTGCCCACATACCTGTGGAGAAGAGGTTAACCTGCAAAAGAAGGCATAACTGAGGGAGGGTACGGTGGGAGGAGCTCTGGAGCTGAATGAGGACTCCCAGGTAAGTTCCACCCTCTATTGTGTGGGCAAGGCAGTCCCACCCTACCTGGCCAACTTCCCTGGCAATGCCCCCCCTCGCCGGGATTGGTTAACTTAGGCAGGAACCTCCAGGTATCCAGTGTGGGAGGGGGCAAAGCCAGGTTGTATTTTAGGGAGCCGCGTAGGATCGGGGGGGGGGGGGACTATGCGCAACCACATAAAAAACGCCCATTTGATGTGAGGAGAGGTCATTCTCATTTTAATACTAATGCTCATGTTAATGCTCATGTTAATGTGTTTATACCAGAGATGGGGAACTGGTGGCCCTCCAAATGTTGAACTCCCAACTCTCATCAGCCCTAGCCAGTATGGCCAATTGTCAGGGATAATGGGGTTCCCTAACCTTGATTTATTACAGGAATGGGGAATAAATAAAACAACAACTGCTACTATGAAGAAGAAGAAGAAGAAGAAGAAGAAGAAGAAGAAGAAGAAGAAGAAGAAGAAGACGGCCTTCCAGTTGTGGATGTAGTGCAACTCCTATCACCCCGGTCATGAACCACACTGAACAGAGCTGATATCCAACAATATCTAGAGGGCAGCAAGTTATTCATCTCCAATTTATACAGAGCTTGAAGATGCTCAAAACCCTTCATATACATTTGCACAGGAATTCAGACAGTCATACTGTAAGGTATACTTCCGACTGGAGAATGGGACTGAATATTAAACACAGTGGCTTGGGTAAAGCCACCAGTGAATGGGAAATACTGTGGAAAGATCTGAGCTACACAATTTCCAGCACTAAAGTCCCAACGATTACATATTTACCAGTGTTCAAAACTTCCTATTCAATTTTATCAATTTCCATTTACAAACAACAAAAATAAAGTAACCCACAAAAATATTTTAAATTAACTTTCTAGGCTTCCAGATGTTTGGCTTCTGAATTTCTAGTGTGCAGTGCAACTAGATTTTCAAAAATTCTCTAAACCAAAGCAGCTTGCTTTTCTTTTATTTTTTTCAAAAAACGGGATAAGAAAAGAGACAGTATTCTCTTCGAAAGCCACATTCCCAATTCCACATTGCAAACATGCAGGCACACAAAATAAGCACTGATTGTGGATAGCTCTTTTTCTAGTGGTATTGGGTTTCCTCTTAACAATCCAACAGAAGATCCAAGCTTAGATGCTGTCCTGGTGAATGAATGGCACAGCCTAATTTTGCATGGAAAACATTCTTTCTAGAACAAAGGGCAATACATAAACAATAAGGAAAGTTTCCTCTGGATCCACTTCCCGTGGTATAGCAGCTGCATAATGAATTTTAACTTTGGTTTTTCATGCAGCACAATTGTTGCCGCAGCCCTCCTTGTTTATGTTTGGATGTTTGGGGTATTTGTTTTGTCTCCCTTGTGCCGATTTCAGTGCTCTTTGGAAACCCCAAACAAATCTCTGACTGGGCTGCCTGTGAATGAAGCCTTTACTCTCCCACAGTGTTATGAAAGCAAACACAAGCCCAGGGTCAAGTGGTTCTTTTGTCCCCGTAGTTCTTTCCCACGAGTTCAACCCTGCCTTTAGCATTGATTTCCAGTCCTTTAATCTAGAACTGCCTACCCCAGCTTGTCAAAGGGAGCGTTTGCTGAGATTTCCCCCTGCTAATATTAGAAAAAGTACAAAAATCAATTCCTTACCTTTCCCGCCTGTCGCCTGGAGCATCTTCAAATGATCCACTGTCATTTGCAGGATTTCTGCTTTTTCTAATTTGGCAGATCCCTTTGAGATAAGAGGCACAAACAATAAAGGCTTAAAAGTATTGCATGCTTTGATTTGGTATACCCTCTTTTGAGCTCCATCTTATGGTTTCAATTTTCCCAACCATTAGAGCATTCTCAGTTTAATTCTTCTACCCAGCATCTGTATCCCACACTTTATTTTTGCACACAAGTACTATATCACAGTTTCTAGCGTGGCATAAACTGAGCACACATTTTCTATGAAGCACAGAGTAGTGCAAACAAGGAAAACATGTATAGTAGATATACACATTCACAACTTTCAAAGTAGCATTTTAAAAAAATCAATATTATTATTTATTTATTTTACACATTGCCTTTCCCCACCAGAACCAGGACTCAAGTCAGCTTACACAAATTAAAAGAAGCCTGAATAAAACACAGAAAGCTAAAAGCTAAAAAATAGTTAAAAAGTAATTGAACTTTAATAATCAAATTAAAACAATGTAAAAAAAACAAAAACCTATTAAAATACAGATACTAAAAACAGCACAGAACTGTTAAAAACCCTTTCCTTAAAAGCAGCCAGTTCCCAAAAGGCCTACTGGAATAAAATAGCCTTAACCTGCTGACAAAAGGAAAACAAGGAGGGAGCCAGTCTAGCCTCACTAGAGATGGAGTCCCAAAGTCTGGGAGCCACCACCAAGAAGGCCCTCTTCTATGTGCCCATAGATGTGCCTGTGAGGGTCGTAGGACTGAGAGAAGGGCCTCCTCTGAAGATCTTAGAGCCGGGGCAGGTTCGTATGGGAAAATACAGTTCTTCAGGTAGCCTGGGAATAAGACACATAGGGCTTATAACCAGCATTTTTAATTGTGTCTGGAACAGACTAGTGGAGCTGTTGGAACAAGGAAGTTGTATGCTTCCTATAAGCAGCTCTGGCCAACAGCTTGGCTGCAGTCAGGGCTGAATCCAGGAACACATCCAAACTGCGAAACGGCATCTTCAGGGGGAGTGTTACTCATTCAGCACAGGCTGAAACCCAGTTCCCTGTTCTGCCTCCAAATGGCCAAGAGCACCTCTGGATTGCATTTCAGTTTGTTCACCCTCATCCATCTAGTCCATTAGTGATGGCAGACACTGGTTTAGAACCGATGCAGCTTCCTTGGATTTAGGTGGAAAGGAGGAGCAGAACTAGGTTTCGTCAGCACACTGGTGCCACAAAACCCCCCAAAAACTCTGGATGACCTCTCCCAGAGGTTTCATTGTAAATGTAGAATAGCATGGGGGACAGAACAGAATCCTGAGGCACTCCACAAGCAAACGGGCAAGGCATCAAACAAGAGCCCCCCAGCACCACCTTCTGGGGCTGGATCTAGACATGCCAAAGAAGCAATTCAGTTAAACGCGTTGTAAACTCATACAGGGAAATCTGGTATGGAAAGAAGGGTCTCCACAGAGCCACCTGGTGTCACAGTGTTATATTGCATATACAACGCATATAAAACACTTTTTCTTTACCAAACTACCGGTAGTTGAGTCCTGGGTTTACCCCTCCAGGAAGGAATGGAGCCCCTGTAAAACAGTGCCTCCAAGTCCCATCCCAGCAAGGTGGCCCAGAAGGATACCATGGTTAAGCTGCTGAAAGGACCAGCAAAACCAACAGGGACACACTCCCCCTGTCCAATTCCCAGCATAAGCCATCCACCAAGATGACAAAGACGGTATCTGTCATACAACCAGACCGGAAACCAGATTGAAATGGACCTAGATAATCTGTCTCAGTAAGAAAAGGTGCAAAAATCCACACCAGGATTGAAAGGCCAAGAAAACCTCAAAGTTGCACAATCTTATTTGCAAGCCCCAATAAAATAAACAGGAGTTATAGGACAGCAAGGTATTTCTTTCTGCAATGAGTTTTGTGCAGGACAATGTCCCAGTGAATTGTGCCTAATGAATGGGACAGCAGTAATGCCTAACAAGTTTATGCTTTGTAGCTATGGAAAAATAAACTTGGTTTTAATACAAATTTTGTTTAGTTAATTATATATTTTTATTTTTAAAAAGCATTTGTTTACAAATCAGGAATTCAGGAGGGGGTGGTGTCTTTATCCCTGTACTTACTAAAAGGCTACCCACACTGACCCATAACTTAGTGAAACTAGACATCCTTGTTCAAACCTATTCCTAGTCTTCACTTGGATAAAGAAAAGTATAGCTTCTCATTGAAAATCTAAACCCAATTCTGTGGAATGGATTCCCAAAAACAACCTATGAGACTTGGTTCATTTTTAAAATGGAAAAGTGAAACACATATGGTCCGCATGAACAGGAGCCCCCCATCTATGCATCCAACAAAGTGTCCTTCATCATTAAGGCTCATTGGAGCATGTTAGTCCTTAAATGTGCCACAAGACTCTTTGATAATATTTAAATCAAAGGGGAGGAAGAACATGTTTTAGCAATACATATACTTCAATATTCATCTTGCAAAAAATATCTAAACTTTTTTTTTTAATGCCAAGCTGCTCTAAGGGTTAAGTTGCAGTAGGCATGTTGATGACATCATGTTATGAATGATGCCAGATAAGATGCCCATCTTTTGGGGTCGTAAAATCATTTTTTAATTTTACTCTCACGGAAGAAAAACCCTTTCTCCATTTCAACAGGAACCAAACAAAAAACCTTCAGAACTGCCCTTATCTGCCCTTTCCCGTTCAGAAGCTTTGGGTGGGATTTAAGTAAGTTGTTGCATGTGTGAAACCAGATCCACTCCCATGGTGGAACTTCCTCCCATCTCCTCTTTCCTGTGCCCCCTAAATCTTGGGAAAATCCCAGAATCGGTTTAGGGGCACATATGGGCAAGTCCCATTGCATGAGCTTCTTCTCATGCTCATTCCCCACTTAGAGCAACATTGAATTCCACCTGTTATTTTCCAGTGCCACCAAGATGAAACACTTGAGTTATATAACGAAGCACCAAGCTACAGCCAATGCTGGCAGAGGCCAGTTTGTTTAGACTCCAGTCTGCCTCAATCACATAAAAAGAAAAGGAGTGGGGCAGCCCTATTTATATAGTAAAAGGGGTCAGTGGATCAGTGGAAGGGACTTGAACTATTCCAGGGCCTGCTGTTTATCTCCCCACAGCCTCTCCCCGCCTCCAAGTCACTTTATCCATCTTGAGCTCATTTCTGACATATGAAGCCAGCTGGCAGGAAAGTAATCTTGGAAAGGGGGGGTTTAATTGTGGGAGGGATGGGGGTTCAGCACCCCCTACTCATATGTTCCTTTTGCTCTCCCATGTGATTAGGTGTGAAATCATGGGTCTATCCCTACAGTGTGCAGTTATGTTCAGAGCTCCATCCAAGACTTGCTATGGCCATCCTGGTTCTATCAAGGCAAAGACAACCGACGATTCATCTTGCATTACCTCAAAGCACATTGCTTTTCAATAGCACCTATTCACACATTCAGCTGCGAGTCAAGCCATCGAGTGCTGTGCTTGAACATGAGAAGTCCAAGTTTGTGCATCTTACTGAGCAACCAACTTCTAAAAGTCACTTTCTCTCTCAGCCTAACTAACTCCCAGGATGGTCCTCAGAATAAATGAGCAAATAACTGTGAAGCAATTTGTGCACTCAAAATTGCTCAGGCTCCGCAACACTCTGATCCCTAAAAGTCCATTATCTTTACTGCTGGAACTCCATACAGAATTTAAATATTCTTCAATAAATGTCTAAGACTGCTACATGTCTTCAAATGAAAAGCTTGTGATTTCCACTTAGCGACTCAATGATTGATTTATTTTTGTTGGAAGCACCCTCTGGTTTCTGCCATCAGCCAAGGGACCAAGGACTAATGGAAGGTGGCACTCTTGGCCTCCCAGGAAGGGCATCATGGCAAAGGGAAGAGCAGCATAACCCAATCCATTCTCCATTGAAGGAGAAATTGCAAAGAGCTTGCTTCCCTATGAGGAAGAACCCTCTGATCCAACAGGGGAACCAAAGAGAAACATGCGCTGGTCCAGGGTACAAGCTTGTGCGCGCGCAAGTGTTGTATTGTAAGACAATCAGTCAATTGAAAGACTGGGGTATGTCTTTAAAAAAAAGTTTAAGCAGAAATGGTCACCTTTCCCTTTGAAGAGCCAACTGAATGTACCTATATATAGCAGTCATAGAAGTCGGCTGAAGAACATTCAACAGTATCTTCAGTTGCACCAGTAAAGAGAATGGATGTGTAGCTTTTCTCAGAATGACTTGGATTACAACAAACCTGAATACTAATACTATTTTCTTTCTTTTTTAAAAAGCCATTTGATCAAGACTAGACAGCAATGATAACACGTGGCCTGACAGACTGTATGAAAGTTTATTCCAATGGCCCTTTCCCCGTATTATTTATTATTTTTATAAATGTAATAAGCACAGTAAGCCTTGGCATTTTTAGATTTTATATGACCTGGGTTATCTTAGATTGCTTTGCTTTGCTTTTCCTTCCCCCGTCCTTATCTTTCCCCTGTATTACAACTTGTACTTTCCTCAGTGCTAATCTTTTCCATTGACCCAACACAAACATTTTTAGCAAGAGCTGAGTAATAGCTGCCCGATGCTGGGTAATTTCCAGGAGCTTTAGAAGCCTTTATAATGTTTGTGGTTTTCAAGAAGTAAACAATGCAATGGGACAATCAACTGTTGTCCCTTGTCCCACTTTCTCTGACTAGCTCAGGACAACTCCATGTTCCCATGCTGCCAAAGTCTGCTGAGCTTTGCAAGTTGCTAAAGGTATAATGTGGGTAGCAGGAATGGTGTTTTGCCTGCTCATAGTCACCCCCCCCGCCCCATCTGCTTGTATCTGCATTAAAGGCCTAGTCTGTGCATAGTATATACCATCTACTCCACCATATATAAAACACATCAACTTTCCCTACAATGAGATATGAGAAGGAGTTGCAAGAATAGGGAGATCTACATATGGCCTAAAATAAAAGTGCTTGTTTTCTTCCAATGTGGGATAGCTCCCTTAATAGAACATTTCATGACCATTGGGGGAAAAGTAGTGTTGGGAATCAAAATTGGAAAGGTAATATTTCCAGAAAATTTGAAGGCACGGGGAAGAGGTTTCCCCCCCAGTTTGGGTAAATATATATACGTGTGGAATATTTTAGGAATATATATATATATATATATATATATATATATATATATATATATATATGGTGCTTTCAACCATTTACAGTTTGAAAGTCACTTTGTTACCTTAGGAACATAAAATGTATCATGGTTTGCCATAAAATTATCATGTCTGGTTTATTATACAGTTTATTCAGACAATAATCCCAAATTGAATTTACCATATAAGACACGCCCTATTTTGGGGGACTCAGATTTAAGAAAATGGGGGGAGAGATGTATCTGTGTATAAGGCGCCCCCTAATTTTTGACATTATTTTTTAGGGGGAAACCTAGTCTTATACACGAAAAAAATATGGTATTTTTTAAAAGAAAATGTTTACAAACTGAGCTACAAGCTGCTGAACTGTAAGGAACCTGACCTGTAAGAAACTTCTTTGACTATGCCAGTTTATGAGGAGCAGGCAGAAAACAATAAAAACAAAAGAAAACACCCATATTAGTAAAAGAAAGAAAAATATTACATCTCCTCCAGTCCTCCTGTGTCAAGCAGACATAAAGCACTAATTTCCATAAAAAGAAATGAGGGAAAAAGCAAGGGGATAACCAAGACTCAATGAATGTACATGAAATTTAATTAGCTGTGCTTTCTCAGCTATTGCTTTCAGTTTCTACTTCTTCCAATTCTTCATATTTGTCATCACTATAGTTATCATGGCCTTAAGGGTTGCCCAGTTTGAATTGACCTTCTCTATCCTTCTACAAAGAAGGCCTGAAACCTTCTTCCATCCCTTGTGCCCATGGCAGCGCCCCCTAGAGGCAGAAATACATCTTCCTCTTTCATTTGAGAGCTGCACTAAGGACAATCTTGTCCTCTTGTGTACAGGAATCGTAATCATCTGACACTGTTACATAGTCTCACATGAAAGTGTTCCTGTTAACAATAGTATTTTTGTTTGTTGTCCATTTTTTGTTTTTGTTTATTCCAAAAACAACCACAGTCAGATGGGTGGGGTGCAAATAATAAAATTATTATTATAATATTATTGTCATGTTATTCCAGACTAAGTGGTATGAACCTGAACCATGTAGTTTCAATTTTTGAAGGATGGAGAATAATTCCTCAAATACATAAACAAACATTCTCTCAAGAGTTTCAAAGTTAACTCGTGTAAGTTGATTTCGTACAGGTTTCATTGTGTTATATAACATGATACTCATCTCACGCTTTCTTCCGTGCAAGCAATCTATCCCAGAGCCTACGTTCAAAATACTTACCGCATAGAAAATGCATTGTATTCCCTTAGATTTCAATGACTCTGCACCACACTGAGGTCGTAATCCTATGAGCACTCATCAGGGAAGGAATCCCATTTAACTCAGTGGGACCTACTTCCAAGTAGACATTTCTGTATAGGATTCCACTGTAAATCATAATGATTGCAATTTCGAGGTTGCAATTACATTTCCAAATTTTGGACCTATTGCATCTTCAGCACCAAGAGAAGCACCTTTCTCCAGACTTCTCTCCCAAAGTCAAGGAATCACAACTGGTTACGAGTCAGTAATGAGATGCTAAAAACCCTCCAAACTTTTGTTATTGTTGAAGGGGCTTAATCGAGAGGTTCTGTTTTCATATTTAGAAATGATCCAAATACAACACTTGTGTTCCTCCAACTCTTATAAGCTGGTGACTGAAGTGATTTAATTTTTCTCCTGTGTATGCAACACAACTTCACATCACCTTGAATAATTCCACAGAAGAGTAAGGTTCCTTTCATCCCATATAGTTCTATGATTCTACAAAGCCAGTGGAAATCTTTTGAAGTACGTTACGCTTAGCAATATTGACGAAACCTATTTGTGCTGTTCTCAGGAATCACAAATTTACATTTAAGAAAGGGGTTCTGCACAACGTTTCACTTTTTTTTGCGAAAGCAAGATAAAAATATCCAAAATAAATAAAACACTATATAGAAAGATCAGTAATTATAATGAGTGTGCCGACACATTACATCAGAACATGTCCAACACAAAGTTTTGGCTGGGACAATTCTGCAAGAAGAATGCTAATTTTATTTTTTAATATATTAATTGTATAAACCAGCCTGGGATCTTCATAGATGTTGGGCAGCTTAAGAATGGAATACATAACTTTTTTATATATAGGAAATAATTTTTATTCACCCTTCCTCATGTGATCACCCTGCAAAAACTTACATTTAAAAAACTGTATTCCAACTTGGACCATTTTAAAGAGCTGCAGCACTAGCAACAATTGTTATATCTGAACAGCTTCTTTTTAAGAATTTAAATATTTGAGAGAGTTTATTAAATAGCCAGCTTATTAAGGATCTGAAACAATCAGATTATTTTACTAATTAAATTTAGAATTAAATAAAAAAAGTATCAGAAAGGAGAGGGATGAGAATACAATGCTGTTAAAAGATTTATGCAGGAGGGTATTTGACATGTGTGGGTTTTTTAAAAAACTGTAAGGAATAAAGCACTTTTAAAAACAGCAAAACAAAACCACTACTGGAATGCATAGAAAGAACAGAGACAACACGAACACTATTGCCCTTAAGGGAACAGCAAACCAGAGAATGGAAATGTTTTTCAGCCTTGTGGAGAATTTTGCTTTTAATAGTTTTGCCACAACAAAGCATTTTATTGAAGTGCCTGCTCTGTGCCAGATCAGAACACATCCAGCCTTATTTTTAATGAGCTTCATGAAAGACCCAACATGACCAGATGAGTTGAGATACAGAATATTTATGCTTACTTGTTTTTCAAATGCTGTTGGCACAAGCCGCCTCAGTTCGGATAAACTGTTATTTATGCGATCACGGCGCCTTTTTTCTATGATCTATTGCCAAAACAAAGCAATAAATTGATATAAAAGTTAAGGTGCATAGAAGGTAAAAACAGCAGAAACAAATGCAATTGTTACATTAAAAATATAAGGGAAAGCCTTACCCCTCTTCGCTTTTTCCTGGCCATGATCTGAGATGTTGTCGTAGGCGAATTTGATCGGATCACTGAACTGGCACTGTGCCTGAGGAACAGTTGAAAAGGCATGTCAGGTACAGCATCCTATTGCGTTGTTTGTTGCAGAGGTCTAAACAGAGCCAGCTCAAGGCATTTTTCCGCCCGAGGCGAAGGAAAAGGTGGTGTCTTCTGCCAACACACACACAGAAGCCAATTCGACTGGAAGTTGAATTTTACTCCAGTCACAAAATCTTACTTTACAAATGTTGAAAATGAAGGACAATTATTCCTAAGCAAGTATTGTTTTACTCTGTCCTGTTTTGTACAACTTTTTTGTTTTCAGCTGTACCGGCAAAAGGACAGTCTCTTCCACTACACTTGAGGGCAGCAAGCTAGTGTAGGGGTGTCAGGGCAAGCCACATGGAACACACAGCTGTCTCCTCCCTGTACCTCAACATCTGCCACCTGAGGCAGCTGCCTCACTTTGCCTCATCATAGGGCCAGCCCTGGGTCTAATGCCTCCCTCCTCCCACCAACACGAGGGCTATGTAATTTATATCGTAAACCGCCCTGTGATCCTCAGATGAAGGACAGTATATAAATTTTAAAAATAGGAATTATAATAACTTGAGGTTCTCTATATACTGTTGAACACCGAACTCTCATTGGCCCCAATCAGGTTGGTCAATGGTTAAGAGATGGTGGGTCCAACAACATTTAAAAAGGCACGGGTTCCCCATTCCTGTTTCAAGTGCTCAGTAAAATATGGAAGCAGGCAGAAGAAAACTTTCACTACCACTCTTCAGCCCCATCACACCATCCCCTTTAGTTTTGCTCACCAAGAAGTTCATTTAAAAAGTAAAAAGAGTCCTCCCAAAATATTCCACGGTCCTGAGTTCACCCTGACTGGGTGACCTCAGTACCGGCAAATATGTAAAATATTCATTATATAAGAGTTCAAATGTATTAACCATGTCCTCAAAAGAACTACTGATTAAGTGTCTAATATTGAGCACACTCAAGCCTACTGCTTCCAATACAGCAGAAATAGATACTTGATACAAAAAGGACATGCCTCTGACTTGCCTATGTTTGGCAGAAATCACTTTATCAAGCAAAAGATATAGAAGCAGCAGTCTGAAAAGGATTAGGCTCACTTCCATGTATTTTGCCGAGCACACACACAAGAAATATTCACAGCTGATGCAAGGCACATGTATTTTGACTAAACTCACATCTGTGTACAAAAAACATTAACCAAAAAATGGTCATCACTTGGAAATACAAATATTCCACCGAGATCAATGAGATTTCCTAACTACGCATGTTGGATTGTAAAATGCTTCATATTCTAACAAACTTGATTAGGATGCTTGGGTTTTTCTAAAAAGCAGAGTGCCCAGCCTTCAACAAAATTATCAGGTACTTCTGTTGTGCAATCTCCATTCATCTCAGAAGGATAACCTCAATTACAGCCCCTTTTAGTTGACAGTCGCTTGAACCACTAGACCAGGCATAGGCAAACTCGGCCCTCCAGATGTTTTGGGACTACAACTCCCATCACCCCTGACCACTGGTCCCGTTAGCTAGGGATGATGGGAGTTGTAGTCCCAAAACATCTGGAGGGCTGAGTTTGCCTATGCCTGCACTAGACTGCTTTGAATCTAAGGCAGTCCATCAATTATCCTCATCTGTCAATCACATTGCTTTAGATAATTCCAGATTAAATATTTTAAAATTCTTGAGACAATCCAGTTAGAGTTAAATAGTTGTATGTACCACTGATTACTATGTAAGCCATTTTTTACTTCATTCTGAATAGATTGTTTCCTTTTCTTTTATAACAACCAATTGCAATTGCATATGACATATATATCATCTGGACCTCAACGAAGAGGAAACTTTTTTTTTACTGACAGCCGATATATTTAGGTGATTATTTCTGACATACTACAGGCCCTAGAACCTAAATTTAGCATGCAAACACCTGTTAGTATTTCCTCCTCTGCATTTATCCAGCTACATTTTTTGGCTTCACTCAGATAACGACATTAATTGGAATTAAATTTTCTCTGTTGACTTCTACGATACTACCCCAGAGTAAGTGATTTGTGGCATAACACTACTGTAATTGGATTTAAGGTTTAAAACTTACACAATATTTCCATGAAATTCAGATGTAATTGTCCAGCTAATCTACACTAACCATCTTGATTGGGAATGAGACCGAACTACTACAGCCAGGGCGTTGTTTTTTTCCAGCTGAAGCTCACAGGAGCTCAGTTCTAGCATCTCTCAGGTGAACACGGTGGAAGTTCATGGTGAGCTGCAGTATCTCTTTTGCTAGAAAAAAATTGCACTGTGTACAGTCTATATAAACCCAACTGGCTAACATTAAATACTACTACTGTGTAGATACCCTGAAACAGGTTAATTTAAAATGGATTATAAAAAGCAATTGGATTTATTGCATCATGTGGATAATGCCTCTTTAAACTCCCAAATCATAACACGTCTGAGCAAACCCAGGAGAGCAGCATTTTAAAAGACAAAGGGAATCACTGACTGAAACAGTAATTTTACTGCTATCTTTTTATAGCATCTCTGTTAACAAAATTCTATCAAAAACTACTTTCTTTAGTCCCACTGGGCAATATCCAAGGAAGTCATATTCAGAGGGAACCCATTAAAATCAATGGACATGTTACTGAGTAAGACTAGGGCTGGATACTACCAAGTTTTCAATGAGAGATTTAAGCATGCCACTGATATAATTGGGAGTTAAACATGTCTAACTCTGGCTGAACTTTGTTTTAGCTTTGACTCTGCATTGTTTCATGAAATTAATTATTAAAGGCAGCCTAAAAATTAGGCACAATTTTTGTTTATTAACAGTGCAAGCCAAGCCATGTCTACTTAGAAAGTAAGTTCCCTACTGAGTAGGTGCCACTAACTGCGAGGTAAGTAGAGCTAGAATTGCAGTGTTACTTATTCAGTTGTTTTCTACTTTCTTCAGAATCACAAACCAACCCCAACCACTCTATATTGAGACTTGGTAAAATTCAAATTTCTTTAGCTGATTAATCAACTAATATAATTCAGTTGGTTGACAGCCCTCTTGTGAAAATATCTTGTTTTGCTTTGATAGCAATCACCCTTTCTTCAAACACTCTCACCACAAACATCTCAAGGCCTTGAGGATTGTTACACAAGCAGACGTAATGAAGCATACCTTGCTCTACTTATCTCAACAATGCTCCAGCTTCACCTATTATTCTGAAGCAACTGTGCCCCCCCATTTGAGTTCTATAGCATTCTAATCAATCTCTCTTTTCTAGGTTTCATCCATACTGTTGTTTAATGTGAATAGCCTGGTAGCTCCATTAATTACTCCTTGTCCATAAGAAAATCTCTTCTAAATCAATGCCTCCCACACTTTCTCAACTATTAATCCAGATGTTTGAAGTATCCCTTGTTATGAGAAAATCCAGATTGATGGGGAAGAAAGTGTGGGAAGGCAGTGATCTGCAGAACTGAAGAATTTATGGAGGTATAGAAAACTTAGTGTCCATATTAAACAACAGTAGGTACGGCTGAGACCTTAACTCATTTCCACCCCATCCTTCCTAGCAGGCAAACCCAGGTCATTTGCTGGGAGGTGAGTTATACTGGATTTGCCTTCTTTTCTGACAATGACCTACAACAGTACACACCTAGAAAAATTCTAGTAACACAGGATTAGTAGTATAAGACTGGTTCAAGTATTTCAAGGGATGCCTTCCACCCCAATTCTAGTCTTGCAAGCGGCTGCAGCTCCACTTTACACAGAATCTACTAGTTCAGTACTGCTACTACTCAACACATGCTAATTGTCAACAGCCTACAGGACACAAAATGTGATACTCCATCCCCCACACTCCCCTTTTTGCTTAACATCTAGCACTAAAGAACAGTTCCAAAAGATGTATATTGACCAAGACTATATGGCTGACTGTGATAAAAGTACAGTACTCTGCTACTGTTGCTATGCTTTTTTTTCTACCCAGACAAACTTACGCTCTTACATATATCCCCAAGAGAATTTTTTACAACTAAGGATGCCAGTTAGTGAAGGGAAAAGTAGATAGCTGGGGGAAAGAAGTGTGACGTCCGAGTAGGGTAGAAAATAGACCCCCTACGTTCTATTAGAACCTAACAAAATGGGGTGCCATTCATCAGGGCAGGACATCAGGAGCCCGTCAGCAAAATGAGTAAGTAGCAGGACCACAAAGCCACGTTTTTGAAGCAAATTATCTAATACATATTAACAGTGAAATAGCACTCTTACCCCGCTCCCTTCCACAAAACCATCAAGTCCAGATCTAAAATTTATTAACTGCCCCTCCGATGCCAGAATATCCAACACTGCACAGAAGTCAAAAAGGGGCGCCAAGAAACAATGGTCCCACACGGGTGGGGGTGCCTTTGATTTGGCTCTCCATCCTCCTCTTCCACCCCCTCCCACAGAAAAAGAGGAGGCACGGTCCAGATTTTTTGTTCTTGTTGCAAATAAAAAAAACAACCCGGAACGAACAAACTTCGTCCTTACCCAGAGTAATTATTTTCACTCCCCACGTCTATAGTCTCGTCCATATCGCTGTCTGAGGTAGTTTCCTCGCAAGGCCGCTTCATTGTGGCCCAAGGAAAGAGTCCAGCTTCCAAATCAGGAGATAAACAAGGAGAACTCAGGTCTGCGGTTTCCCTTTTTGGACAGTGACTCCGGATTAAAGCCCGCCTATCCCTCCCCAGCCGGCGCCAGCGAACTGAATGGATTTCTGAAGCTCTTTCCCACGCTGCAGCTCAGCCTCGAGCACAAGAGCCCGCCCACAGGAGGGGCGAAGCCACGCCCCTCCTACTCCGGCTGAGCCCTCTGGATTGGGGCAGCGGAGGAGTGAGTGACAGGCCTCCTTCCCCGGCGCTTCTGCCCGCTTCTTCATTGGCTGAAGCGCGGCAGCGGTCCCGGCGCCAAACACTCCTGGGCGTCTTGGAAGCGTGGGAAAGCCCGGAGCACCTCGAGCGCGCAAGGGAGACGGGGAGGAAGGAGGGCGGGAGGGTGGCTGGAGCTGGCCGGGAGACACCTTCAGCTGGATAGCTCGGGCAGGAACTGATCAAAGCGTGTGTTTCTGCTAGGTGGCTTCGCAGCCAGCGAAGCAAGCCACAGACTGCGAAAGGGATTAATAAAACCCACAGAAACAAGCGCAGATGCATGCGCGAATAATGTCAGTCCGGGCACGCAGCGTTTACACTTCTCAAATCTGACCCAACAGTGGAAAAAGTTCCAGAGAGAAAAAAAGTTTGACGGGTGGAAATAATTTGCACCTTTTTATATACTGCAGGAGAACACAAGAGAGCTTTAGGGAAAGATCCGGCTGGAGGGGGCGAGCTTTGTCCTATTTATAAAACAAAGGCAGAAACTATGAGGAAGGACTGCTTGTAGGGGAGACAACTCTTTGGTGGTCTTTGCGTACCGTCTACGGATGAGGAAGAAGGATTTTCGTCAACAGGCGTAGGATTTCCCCCTTAGGTATCACTCTCTTCCCGCACTTTTGCAAGGAGAACCAAGCGCACGGGCGTCTCTTTCTCCTTTGCAGACAGAAAGCGGAGAGTGGGAAGAGAGGTCACTTTAGGAATAATTAACAGTGACACTTACAGGGTTCTTTAAAAAAATGTTTCAAATATGCTTTAGGATGTCTTTATCGCTTTATCACTTGTTTGCCATCCTGGGCTCTTTTGGAATGGTTCTAGAAGGTAGGAATCAAAAATAGCTGAGCAGATTGAACATCTGGAAAAATTTTTGCAGCTTGAGATATAACACGTAACACCATAAAGACACACTTTAGAAGAAAAGTCCTTGCACAGCATCAGAGGCCGCATTCTGCTTACAAAGATGCTTGTGGCCTATTAAAAGGAGGGAGCCACAACAAACTCGGCAGGCAGCGTTTGCTTTAGTTTGACAGAGTATTTAAACTAGGGCTCCCCCTCCTATTTGTTGGCGTATGTGATTTTGAGTGTGTCCTCTGGCCATGAACGTCTACAGCCTGCAGGAATTTTTCAGGGGAAAGGAAAAGTTGGTTTCTTACCCCCCTCCACAATAATAAATAAATAAATAAATTAGTGACTGTACTCTTCGCTTCCTACCTCAGGTTCTACAAATGCCCAAACCTCCCTTTTAAAAAGAAAAGAAAGCTGGGATCCTTGGGATTAGGGTTCATGGGAGTGGGGGTTTCATTGCCTCTCACTGTATCTCTGTTGGCAGTGTTTCTTATGGGAACCCATTCTGTCTTCCAGTTCACAAGGCAATTGAGTGAAATGTAGTTGGAGCAGGGCCAGCTCAAGACAAAATGGCACCTCCCTTCTGCCATGGAAGAAGTGGAGGAGTGAAGATCGATACCAGGAACAAAGGCACTGGCAGAATCAAGATCTACATTGGGATCCATTGGCCTTGTGGATTCTGCCGCCTGAGGCAGTCACCTCACCTTGTCTCATGATTGGGCCAGCCATGGATTGGAGGCAGAATTGGAACCGAAGAGAGTGGGAAATATTGGATTACCACTATATTTACATCTTGTTGCGTTTACAGCTTCAAATAATAGCAATATCAATACAGGTCAACTAACACAGTGTAGTCCTATACATGATGGAATTCAGTGGGCCTTATTTCAGACTCAAATAAACCCAAAGGGATTTATTCCAGCACATTAAGGCTTCAGTGCACTCTCAACTCTTCACATAGACATTATAGGAGCATTTCGTGGATTAGAGATTTTTAGACTTCTGCCTCCTTTGTGCCTAACTCATTGACATGGCGTGATAGAATATAATAAGATGACATAAGAGAGGGAAGCGGGGGAAGGCAAACGTTAAAGAAAAAGGCAGTGAAGTGGGGAGTGTGAAAAAGAACCGAGGCAGAAAAGTGCAAGAAGAGGCGGGAATGACGGGAGAAGGGAGAGAGGGAAAAGGCCGGGCGATGGACACAGGGCGGAGGGGCGACGGGACTTTACAATGAATGTCAAACGCAGAGACTCGAGGAGAAAGGAGGAGGCAGGCGGGCACAGAGGAGAAAGAGGAGCGGGTGGAGGGCAAGGGCTGCCTTTGGTCGCCCGCCCGTGCTGCTGGCGGCGGCGGGGCGGCCTCCCCGTGTGAACAGAAACCCGACCCGTTTCAGCTCGGATGGCTTTTGAAATGCAACCTGCCTCGCGCTATCCCCCGGCCTGTCTGTCATCCGCCAGGCCTCTCCCCGCAAGGGCGGTGCCCTTTCCCCCACGGTCTCCTGCGCGCCCGACCAGGCCCCGTCCACCCCCAGCAGAGGCCGCTTCCTTGCCTCCACCCGCCCCGGGCAAGGGACGCTGGGTGCTCTCGGAGGCGCTGCGCGGCCACATAACAAGAAGCCCGCGGACCTGAGCAACAACAGGGTGTTATAATTGGGAGCGTGAAGGCAGAGGAGGAACAGCAGCAACTGGATTTTGGCGACCATCCTAAATGGAAATGCGTCCAGCGACGCTTGCAGACCAGCGGACATAAAACCAAGCCGCTGTTCGTGCCCTTCACTCTCTGAACACCTAGTGCTAGGCAGAAGCCACTTGGGAGAGGAAAAGGGTTGGGCCTTCTTTGCCTTTTCTCCTTTTCTGTTTCTCTCTCTTCCCTGCCCCTTCAGTGCCAAGATAATTCTTGGCCCCCCTTCAAAATTCCCCAGAATTAAATACAGATAAAACGTTTAGAAGGAAATTAGGAAACATCCCCGTTTTCTTCGCAGGAATATGAAATACCTAGGTTTGTCATGAACTCTGAAGTTTGTGCTTCTTCCCGACAAAAGTATAGCAATGAGAACTTTTTGCGAAGGCACTTTCAGGCTCCAGGCCCAGCGTTCATGTTCGTGTTTTCTAAGTAAGCATCTGGGGGCAGCTTGCTTATTTATTTTCCTGCATTTAACGTCTGCCCTCCCTTCCAACATGGGACCCAAGGCAGCGTATTTGGGGCTCCCGGGCGGTGACCCGTCCGCGATCTCCAGCAGGGCGGCCCCTGAGCCTAGCGTACCTTTAGGCCGCGCCACGAGACGTCGTTCAAATTAGTCTCGCGAAGCTTATTGGGCCCTGCTTTTGCCTTTCAGGGATGTGAGAGAATGCGGGTTAACCGCACACGCACCTTCCCGGGTCCCTTGGAGGGTGCGGGGCGGGGGGCGAATACAAAAATTATGCAACCAATAAATAATAGCACGGTATATCATATATGTTCGGCTTTGGAAAAAGGGACGCAAATATTCCGCCTCTCCAGCTCCATATTTGCGTGCTCTTAAAATGCTGAGACTTTAAAGAATCGTAATGGCGGGTTATGGGCGTAGCCTGGCCGAAGTTGCAATGCCTCCAAGCGATCCAAGAACGTAAGAAGAGCCTGCTCAGGCCACTGACCCATCTAGTCCCGCATCCTGTTGTCACCGTGGCCAACCTGATGCCAGTGGGAAGCAGGATGTGAGGCGCGCAACAGCACTCTGGCCTCCTGCGGGTCTACTTAGAAGTAAGCCCTACGTTCACTGGCCCTCTCAAGCAAGCGTGCAGAGAATTGCTGCAGGCTTGAGACGCTTCGCCTTGGGCGCCCCGGTGCGTGTATGTGCAGACCTTTAAAACCACGGGGGCGACTATTCGAAGGGCTTTTCGGATAGGTTAGCGCAGGCCATTTCCTGCCAATCAACAGAGAGCGTCGGGCAGGCAGAGCGCGCTCGCGCCCGGCGCCTGCTCTTTTGGCGCCCGCTGAGGCAAAAGAAGCGCCTCGGTTGGTTCCACGTTCGGCCCCTTTGCAAGGCGGCGCGCGTCTTTGCAGAGCTTTCCTGTCGAGTTCTGGTTTCTCTTACCAGAGGTGCTGGCGTGGAGGCGCGAGAACTTAACATAATATGCCATAAGTTTAAAAGGAAAGGGTATATGCACACCGTGCTCTATCGTGTATACATAGGTGAAAAATTGTAAAGGGAGAAACGCCCCGCGGCAAATGTGTGTGTTAAACGCCAGGCACTGGTGTATGGTTAGGGAAAGCGGAGGAGGATTGGACGTGCAAATTAGAAAGTGGTGTGTGCGTGCGCGGTTGGTTGCGCGTGCAAGTTGTTACTGCGAAAATACAGTGTGTGAAATGAATTAAAAGTTCCTAAAAATTGAGTGCAATAAATTAAAACCGAGAGACGGTGGGTATGTGCATCAAATAGGTTACAAAACACAGCCTTACCAGTCCCCTTTTTTCACCAGCGCCCGGGGGCTGTGTAATTATATATAGTGACATGTTGCATGTTGCTCTTTCATGTGGCTGTTGTTACTGCGTAAAGGAACTGGGGGATTTCATGCCTCATTGCCTCTGCAGGGACATCCTTCTCATGCCCATGTTTGCAGAGTTACTAAAAACTGCACGGCTACTCAGACACAACAAAAGCAACAGCTCTCCTTCCCCCCTCAGCAAAAACAAGCAGGAGTTCTCAGGGATTTGTTTTTTTAAAAACACACATTCCCCACAATGGACTGATTTAAGAACTAGACACCCGCGCGCACACAAAAATCTCTCTCTCTCTCTCTCCTGAAGGGAGTATGTTGTGGGAGCTGTACTTTAGTAAGAAAGCAGTCCAGAATTCTGGAATTTAAAAAAAAATCAAAATGTAAATGGTCACCATTTCACTTCTGTTTTTCAGTATATATATAAAAATGGTTTGGGGGTTTTTTAGAAAGTAACATTAGGCATGATTCTAATGGTTATTTAAATTAAGTATTAAATCTTAACTATATTAGATTTTATTATTTCCATATTGCTTCTTCTGTTGCTTTTTGGTTAATAAATAAATAGTTTCCAATCACAACTATCCTAACTCCAGCACATGAAGTCTACTGTTAGTTGCCTCTTTTAGATCTAAAGACACCCATGGTATATCGGGGGAGATTGGAATTCACATTACACTTTTTATATAGTTCTAAGAAGACGTGTATAGGATTGTGATGTAACAGTAATGTCCCTGAATATTTGATTGCATTTGTTGAGAAGCAAACTGTCTTAAATTTACAAACTCCACCAAACATTTCAGCACTAGATTTTATCAATTTGTTTATGATTCAAGGGTTCCACACTTTTTCCTAGCAGTCTGATGAGTTCAGGAGTTATGCACAGTTAATCTAAGGCTGAAATCCTAAGCATTCTCACTTGGAATAAAATACTTCTTACTTGGAAGTGAAATAAATGGGGATTGCTTCTGAACAAATATTGCTAGGACTGAGTTATGACCCATGTAAGATTGTTGTAGCCTAAACATATCTGCTTGGAAGCTGGGATAAACAACAACTGCTTCCAAATAGCTATATTTGGCTTTAGATTCCAAGAAAATTAATGGAAACTACGTGTGCTTAGGATTAGAGTGGCCGCCAAATTTCATAACTTGTCCAGAAACCAAAATACTTGGATTTAAGCCACGTTACATCCACATTTTAAACACTTACATGGGTAGAATTCAAGGTGGGAGATGAGGTGGGGTGGGGAGGGGAGGGGTAATGGCAAGCTTTTGAAGGGGTAAGCCAGTTTGACATGTGTGAGCTTTCTTTAAACAGGGAGTCAAACCATTACATTGTCTTGTTTGGCCACAGTTCATATTCAGTTATAAATGTGACTGAACTATTGTACTGAATTCCAGATAAAGCCAAAAAATGTTCATGGCAGGCCTAATTTCTGAAACTTATTTAATTAATGGGAGATAGTACTGTTACCCTGATTAATTTTCTAAATCATTTCTCCTACAATATTTTATTAAATAATTGAAGGAGTTAACTTCTTTAAAATGTATATTTTTGGATATGTGTTATACCACTGAGTTATGCCATCTAAAGTTATACTTCAGCTGTTGTTGAAGTAGTAAACTTTGAGGGCAAGTCCAGAATCCTTCTTAGGGATTATCTATTATTAATTTATTCATTTCATCCATTTATATACTGCTTAATCACTAGAGTTTCTGAGCAATTGTAGTTAGCTATGTAGAGAATTTTTTTTTTAATGGAAAAGTCATTCTGAAGTGATACATAAAGCCCAAACACAAGTTTAGTACCTCAGTCAGAAGAAAACCTGAGTCTTGTTTAAGTCTTGCTTGACTGAGTCTTGCTTGACTAAGAAGCTATGCGTTGAGCGCCCGTTGCTTGGTCCCTGCGCCTGCCAACCTAGCAGTTCGAAAGCACGTCAAAGTGCAAGTAGATAAATGGGTACCGCTCCGGCAGGGAGGTAAACGGCATTTCTGTGTGCTGCTCTGTTTCGCCAGAAGTGACTTAGTCATGCTGTACGCCGGCTCCCTCGGCCAATAAAGTGAGATGAGCACCGCAACCCCAGATTTGGCCACGACTGGACCTTATGGTCCGGGGTCCCTTTATCTTTACCTTTAAGAAGCTACACACAAAATTAGTAAATAAGAAAAAGGCAGTTCATAACCGTGTATTACACATATATGCATATTCTGAGTTGATAAAAGATCTAGCACTAGGGGTTCCAACAAGGGGTAGTAGAGTCTCTTCTTGGAACAGGTGTCGTCTGAATAAGAAGTGTCAGGCTGTGCCTCAGTAGATAGGGAAACTCCAAGGATCCTACTTCTCCTCCTTGAGGATTTAATTGGGTCTGATTGAGATATGAGTACTGGTAGAGCCTGACATTTTGTCTGTACAGTGAACATTGGCATAGTATCTACAGTTGATCTGCGGCTTCAAGGAGATAGGAACCAGCACAATACTGGGAATAACTGACATTCCATTTTGCAAACAGAATTTTAAAAACCGTCATTGCCTGCTTCCACAACCAAGTCAGTGGCCAGCATGATATCAAAAGGCCCATATTTGTATCCAGTGTTAGTCCTACTCAAAAGCAGGCCCATGGAAATTGATAGGCATTGGGTCTGTAATTTCAATGGGTCAATGAGTATAACTTAGTTTGATACAGCCCTCAGAAAGTAAAACAAACCTCCATGCATATATGTGTGATAGTATTATTATTATTATTATTATTAGAATTTGTATACCACCCTATACCCGGAGGTCTCAAATCTGTAATTGACAAGGAAGTTTTAGATTAACAAAAACCCCACAGAGGAAGAAGTGCCAAGGAGGTGAACTGAAGATGATAGTCATGTGAAGAACCCATAAAGTAGCAGTTGGCATGATGCTTAATTGACCAATATCAAACACTATCTTTTTTTTTAAAGAATAATTTTTTATTAACCGACCAATCACATCAAATCAAACCAAATTACATAAATTCCAAATTACACAGCCAAATTTTAAATTTTTGTTGGGGGTACCCATATTTCAAGTTCCGAAGGGATCCAATCAACTTCTTGCTTCTTACTGCTGTTTTAATGTCCACAAATCTAACCTTATGATGTTCACAGTACTATCCAGTCCTTTCTTATTATTTTTCCACATCTCTTGTTGTTATTTTCATATATTTTTCCTTTCTCTTTGTGACCTCTGATAGTCTCCGCAAGCTGGTTAGAACAGTTTGTAATCCTACGTGGATATTATTTTTTAATCCAGTAGCCATATCCAGACGTTTTCCATATAACATCACTTCCATACATCAAAACAGTCTTAGCGTCATTAATCTTCACCAATCTGCCTCCTTTCTCAAAACCTCTGAGGAGATTCACTAGGAATGCAGTCTGAAAACAAATCCGTTCTTCCTCCCAGCTGTAAATCCTTTGGCAAGATGGCGACTCCGAATTAATTGCTGCGCCATTCCCAAAAGCTCTTATTGCTTCTTGGTCTCCATAAAGCATACTTTTGGTTAAAGTTTATCTCCACACAGACCTTAATCATCCTGCTTGGCTCAGGTCACCCCACGGTCCTAATGAGGCGGGGGTCTTGTAAATCACATCGAAGGAAAGTAAACAAGGTTCACCCCCATTCAGCCCCGTTGTCAACATACCCCGCCTTTGGTGTATCTTCATCGTAAAATATTCCTGTTTCTCCAGCCCGTCGTCTTCTTTCGCAGAGGTCACTTAAATTAGCAGACTTC